TCATCATCTTTTCGTGCACTCAGTTATTATTAATACTCAATCAGCTCTAGCCGTAACAATATCACGCTTAGAAGAAATGCAACAGCCATCGGCAGCGTAATTCGCTGGAGGTAGTCAGTATCAATTACTCGCTCAAGAGAATCGGAAGACAATGTTCCAACAGCGTCCAGAGCCTACTGGATCTATTTCTACAATGCAATGTCGCTGTTTCTGATTCACTTGGGTCGCAGATGTGACACTACTGTAGTATTTCCAAGTGGAGATGTAACGCATTTGATGGCAGTCAGGTTTGATTTTTATGTTTACGTTTTTAGTTTACAGTTGCGTACAATGATCAGTCCTCCGCCATCTCCAGTTCCCACAACACAGTGCCCACCTCGCCCTCGGCAAGAGCAACGACGATATGGAACAAAAGTTCGTTTCCTACCCCTTCCAGCGCGTCTGACTGCCACTCCCCGGACACCCCAATTCTGTATGTACTGTCCTTATGTACGGGGCTGTATTTACGCTGTATTTACGTATTTCTACGCGTTTTTACGAGTAAAAACGTAAAAGCTATTTTTACGTGTAAAATTGTAAGTACGTTCATTTTTTACGGCTTAAAAACCAAGCGGGGCCCCTTGTTGATTGGGAATGGCTTTGGGGCCCCCTCGACTATTGCACCAGTGTCTAATGTGGTGTGTCCAGCTTCGGGTGACTAAAAAGGAATAGTAAGGCTAAAGGGACCTGTTGTTGAGAGTGTTTGGGGTTTGTTAGTATACCATCACCGAAAGAGATATTTAGAAGAGCGCATCAAGTTCGTTTATATTACAAGGTGTAGAGCCCTCTTGGGCGGGATGAAGACCTGCAGTTAGGTCCAAAAGGACCCAAAGGTAACTAGTGTTGAAATTGTAGTTCGATTCCAAGTCGGATCACAGTAATCTTCGCCGAAGTCCGACTGAGCCACTGCCTCGCTGAGGTCTAGTGAAGTGCAAGGGAACCGGAATAGACATTTGGAGGCGATCAAGAGACAATTAAAGCATATATGTATTATACAATTAGGAATTACATTTTGTTACATGTTGTCCTCTGTCAAATACAGCCTTGAGGATGAAGGCATGAGCCAGCACGAGGAGAACTTTCAAAGCAACAGCAGGCCCTGCAAGACTAACACTCCCCATACTAAGCGCAAAAAATTAGAGTGCCCACCCGCTCCGGTGAAGGGTAGCCTGTCAGAAAGCACCCAAGCAGCTAAGGGACATTCATTGACCCAAGATCAGGCACACAACCCACGAAAGAGCTGGAAAGAGCTATCTGAGAAGGTTATTAAAAACTGACTTGTGCTGAATGCACACAAAACCAGTGGAAAAGCTGGACGCCAAACTATACTCTGACGACATATTGGTGCCGTTTGGCGGTGTAAAAAGCCCTGGGAATAGTACTAAAGCAGGCGTGGTCATAAGCACCCATCAGCTGGTCCAGCTTTGAAAAGCAGTTGGTGTTGCGTTACTTTGGTTTGTGTCAATCCATTTATCTATTGCCCGATTTTGATAGCGAAGCTTGCTAGGCTAGTTAGGAAAGTGAGTGAACTGATCTGGTGCATCTTTTGCACTTTAATGCATGGTGTCATTGCAGCCGGCTAATTTGGCTAGGGAACTTGGGTGGGTGAAAGGTCAGTTGGGTTTCCTGCGGAATTCAGAGCACGTAAAACGCGAGTAGCTCATGCAGACACAGGCTTGGTTTTTACGTTTACGTTTACGTTTTTACTTTTATGTTTTTACGCATAAAAACGCAACTTTGCAAAAGAGCCTATTTTTACGGTTATTTTTACGTTTTTACGGCTCCCGGGCACACTTAGATTACACAACAAAAGCTGCGTACAATGATCAGTCCTCCGCCATCTCCAGCACCCGCAACACCATGTCCACCTCGCCCTTGGCAAGGGCGATAATGGCGTTTAACAAAAACTCATCTTCTGCCTCTTTCAAGGCGTCTGGCTGCCAATCTCCTGGCTCTGCAAATCTGTATGTACTGTCCTTATGTACACCAGGCAGTTTTTACGTTGTATTTACGTATTTTTACGCATTTTTACGTGTAAAAACGTAAAAACTATTTCTACGCGTAAAAACGTAAATACGATCAGTTTTTACGGCGTAAAAACCAAGCCTGTGCAGACAGATGGAACAACACCTGTCACGTCGCAGCCTGTGACAGGACTCACTTCCGGTTCAGTCAGCTGCCCTAATCACTTTCAGCTTCTCTGTACATTTGCGCTTGGGTTTGCAGTGGGTTGCTGCCTGTCGCTTGGGTGCCTCTGTCTGGGCGTTTGGATCGGACGTTCGCTCTGACTCATATGTACATGGCTGTGGCTCACCAGCCACAATCGGCAGTCACACGTTATGGCCATTGAACAGATGCCATCATTTCGTTCAATCACAGGGGTTACAAATCGGTGATTGACGAGGCCAGCTTCGTGGTCACAACCGGAAATCCGTGCAATCCGTGGATGTGGGTTCGCCCATCAAGGGTCCAGGGGTTGTGGCTGCTTCATGTGCTTTTGCAACTTGGAATACGTCATCCAATCAATCAATGCACTGTGTTGGCGCTTCTGCGTCGACTGCACGAGAACGGGGAGCCACGAGCTTCCCACAAACTTCTAGAAGAAACGCGCATTGAAGAAACCCCTGGTATTATCTCGCACTGATTTGGCGCGGTTGCGCGTCGAACACCCCCCCATCATGACATCCTGCCTCGAGTCGCCAGGCGTCGACTCAGGGGCAAGCGCACATCGGGCTTGAAACAACGGCCGCTCCGGGGTGCCATCAGTGCGCCTTGCGTGCACATCACGTACACATCAACTTCCTCCGGCGCCCGCGCCTGTCACCATTCCTTCCTTCTCAAGTTCTCGAACCCCAGAGAGTTCTCCCGAGAACGACTGGTGTTGATGGCCCCTGTGATGGTCGAGGGCCACCAACAGCGGGTTGAGCGCCAAGTTCCACTGGCCCCCATCAGTAACGATTGGCTTTGCGGCGCACCAGATGGCGCCACGTCGCATCTCGGGCCGGTGTAGTGGCCCCCGGTCTCAGAACTTTGCGGGTGTATGCTCGTCGTGGTCGCGCACGGCAGAGCTGAATCAGCCCCGCGATCCCAGAGATCATGAGCCGGTATTCGGGGTCGTTGGAAGAAATTTGGCATCGGATGGACAGCAGTGGCGGATTGGGCTCGTGGTGAGTACCACCGTTTGAGAAGCGGAGCACATTCGGCGTTCCGCCGGCGTCCGGCCGCACATCAGCCGGCCCGGCGCGCCACGGCCTGTGGAATGCCCTAAACCGACGCAACCTGTGTTCCAGGTTCGAACCCACCGGCGTCTGCAACGGACTTGGCGTGAAAAGCGCGCGCCGGGCGCCATGGCGTCTCCGCAGGGCGGCGAGGCCGCGGCCGGCGAGGCGAGGGGTGCCCCCGCGGTGCCGGATCTCGCCGAAGACCGGTCCGCAGATGTCAAGCAGCATGCCCTCGACGCAGGTGGGAGGCTTTTGCGCACGCCCTTGGGTTCCGATTGTCGGCTCCGGCAGGGGCGATGAGCGACCCATCCGCGGTAGTCGCCTGCCCGCCCGGGTTCATGGCCCTCGCGGAAGCCCTTGTGAATTGTCGGCCCGGTGTAGAGCCCGGATTGGTCCGTCCCGCACCGAGGCTGACCTGGCGTTAGCTTGCTCGCTCGGGGCCGCGAACGCCGGATGCCGGCGCGGGCGCGGGCGGGGGCTGGTGCTGAGAGCCCGGGGGCGATTTTGTGGCCGGGCAGCGGCTGGACCTGGGAGCAAGGGGGCCGGTGGCGCCCGTGGCAGGGGCGGAGGGTTTCGGCGAGGAAAACCGTGGTGGGGGATGGACGGGTTGCCGCGTTCGCAGTCCGCCTGGGCTTGGTCGCCTCTTCGCGTGGTAGCGGCTGGCCTGGGGTTGGAGAGGGCTGTGAAGAGGGCCCGGCTGCGGACTTCCCCCTCAAGGTCGCCCTCATTGGAGCTCATGGGAGTTTGCGATACGACTGCCAGCCCCATGTCAGCCTCGCCGCCGAGTTCGGCCCGCGAGCTTGCATTCATGCCAATCCTCGCACTCAATGACGTTCCCATTCGCCTGACTTGAGCCCTGGTTCGTACCTGCGGGGTGGTTTGCGTGGCCCTGCGGGCTTGTTTGCGTGGCCGTGCGCCTGCGCCGCCCGCGCGCGTGATTGCGCGAGGTCAGCGGCGCGGAGGGCGTGCGGCGCGGGATGGCGGGGGCGCTGTGCCCCGAGGCGCGGGGTGAGGCCGCGTGTGACTCCCCCGCCCCGCTTTGGCTGCCAACCGCGTGCAGGAAGGCCCTGACGGTTGCCCATGTTGTCCACCCCGTGGTAGTGCGCGTCCTGCCCGACAGCAAAGCGGCCCGGGCAGCGGATAGCGCCTCGACGGGGAGCCGCGCTGCGCCGCATCGCCGCTTGGCATCCCTCCCGCGGTTGGAAGTGGGCGCTTGCAACAAATGTACGGGGACGTCGTCGATCATCGTCGTACGGCCTCTATCTCGAACCCGCCGTATGATGTCGCGTCAAGCGCGTCTCGCCGGTGGGGCAGCCGCGGCGCGGGCTCCCCCGCCATCAGTCGCGTTCCCCCTGGGCATGAGTAGCTGCCTCCGACGATTGGCCGGTCAACGAAGTCAGCAAAATGTCGGCATCCTGGGTGGGACCCCGCCGGTCGTCCGCTGACCGTCGACCTGCTGTGCCAGGCCCAGGCGCCCCCGGCGACCAGGGCGACCTCCAGGGCGCCCCGGCGGGGCAGGAGGACTTCGTGTGCGACAGCCCGGCGGCCGTGGCCGGCCTGCTGATGCTGCAGCACTCGATCGAGCCTGAGAAAGTCGGCGGGCCTGTTGAGCGGAGCCACGGCGATGGCGAGCATTCGCCCTCCATGGACGCAAAGCTGAGCGACGGCTCCCCTGAGGGCGGGCTTCAGAAGCCGCCTTCCAAGCGGGGGCCGTCCCGGCTGTACCAGGGCGTCGGACACATGGCGGAGCCGGGGGCATGCGGGCGAGAGAACGGGGAGGCGCATGAGGCCAACGAGGGCGTCGTCGAGGAGCGCCTGTGCGGTGGCGACGGACGCGGTCAGGAGACGGACAGTCAGTGCTGCACGGCGGAGCACACGGGGAGAAATAATGAGGATGGCGCGCAGAGCCAGGGGGAAAAGAGGGGTGACTACGAACGGAATGTGTATCCGGGGCACGACCGGAAGATGGACGCCGTGCACGAGGCGGTGCAGGGGAGGGGTGCGGTGGGCACGGAGGGCGCCACGCCGGCGGGCCGCGGCCGGAACTTCTTCAGGGGCGTGTACAAGTACAAGCACATGGCCGCGCCGTACTCGGTGATCAAGTTCCAGGGCAAGCAGTGCTTCCTGGGGTGCTACCGGACGTGCGAGATGGCCGCCCACGCCTGGGACGTCGCTTCGCTGAAGCGCACGATGGAGATGGGCCGCTCGCTGTCCAGCGCCAAGCTCAACTTCCCGTTGGCGTACTACATGACCAGCGAGGGGCTCATGACGACGCTGGTGCAGTCCAGCTTCGAGACGGTCATGCACCAGCTGAGGACCGCCAGCGACACGGGAAGGAACGCGGGGATGGAAGACCTGATGAAGATCAAGTCGGGCGGCTCCCTGTGGCGCAAGAACCGCAAGCCCGGCGCCGCGGAGGGCCTGGATCAGCCTGAGAGGCGCGACTCGGCGGACGCGGAGGCCGACGCCTGGCCGGTGCCCTACCTGGAGGACGGCGGGGGTGGCGGCGGGGCGCAGGACGGCCAGGACTGCAAGCCAGAGTCCGATGAGCAGCAGACCGTTGGGGAGCTGTACACGCGGCCCGTGAAGCAGCTGCGGACGCTGCACACCGGCACGCGCGCGGCGCAGAACAGCTGGATAAAGCGGATCCGGGACGACCAGAAGTTCAAGGGGGTGTATTTCTCCAGGGATGGGGTGCCGTACTCGAAGGTGGAGCTGGAGGGGAAGTACCACTACCTGGGGCGGTTCGAGACGATGGAGGAGGCGGCGAGGGCTTACGACCTGGCGACCCTGAAGAGGGCGATGCTGCACAACCAGAATGCCGTTTCCCTCAACTTCCCTTTGGAAGACTACACGGAGGACGAGGAGCTGATGCAGTTCTTGAAGACGGCCAACTGCGACGAGGTGGCGTCTTTCGTGCGATCTCTGGCTGGCAACAAGCGCACCGCCAAGCCGGACGCCATGCCAAAGGTTGGCCACAGAAGACAGAGGTCGGGTGAGGTGACGGGGACGGCCGTGATGGGAAGGCGCTGCTTCCTGAAGCCCGGGCTGGACCAACAGGCCAGCCAGCCAGGATGGCTGAAGGCTGAGGAGGCCGAGGGCGCGCTGCACGGTACGGCACACGACTTGCTGGGTTTGAGCGAGGCTGCACAGCAGGCAGATGAACATCAGCCTGATGCGGATGGCGGCGCCTCTGAGGCGGAGCAGACTGGCCTGGTGCAGGGTGCGATCAGCAGTGAGCCCGATGGGACTCTCCAGCGAATCGCAGCCATCAGGCAGCGAATGATGGACGGTCAGGGCATGGGCAAGGGAATGGCTAAGGCACGGATGTTGGTTGTGAACAAGAAAATGTGCGACCAGAAGCTGGCAAGCAGGATCCTGGGGGTGCACGGATGGACCCAGGTGTCGCAATGTGCCTTTGCTGTCCTTGTGACAGCCCACTGCGGGCCCAACTCGCAGTCCATGAAAACTCTTCCAGGTGGGCAGGGCAGTGGTCAATGTTCAAGGCAATGCATATGACAAGAACTTTGCGATGAGGTACAAAGCGCAACAGAAACCAGTGTGTGCATTTGTCTGCAACAGCTCATGTGGGGAATCAGACGCAACGGTTTGTGCAAACAAAGTGCAGGCTGTACGATGACCTCGTTGTTAGGAGTTGTGCTGTTAAGCATGCATGTTTGTGTTTCGTTGCTTGTGCCAACAGTGAATACACCCTGTGGTCAAGATGGCCGATTCCACGGACTGCTCCTGCACACTGATTGGTGTGTGGACAAAACCATCCTCTGTTGTGCTCTCCTGTTGGCATGCAGGCCCAAGTTGAGGCCGAACACAGGCAAATTTTGCAGTTGGTTTTGCAATCGAGTGTGTCTACAGAACAGAGACTTGACGTGTCAGAAGACCTGATATCCGCGCATTATAGTTGTGGCAGCCCCTGCAGACTCACATTCTTTAATGATTTATTGGCAGTGTGCAGGGCCAGCACAGAAGTTTGATTCTGGCCACAACTCTGACGTCTTTGGCTTTGGTGACTGCAATTGCTATGGTGTGCTAGCGGTGGTGCTGAACTGTGTCATCTTCCTGGTGCAGCGGCCATGGCTGACTGGCTGGAGAACAACAATGCTAAGGACCAGATACTTGAACTGATGGACACCACCGGCAAGCAGCAGTACCATGTGACCTGCACCAGGAGTAATGGTGTTTGCCAATTGACTGCTGGGTGGAGCAATTTTGTGCAAGAGGTGAATCTGGAGCTGGATGACGTGCTGCTGCTTGTACGAGGGGACTGTCCCTGGAAGCTGCAGTATGGCGTCTTTCACATGCCAGACGTCGTTGAGGTAAGCACAGAGCCTCCTGTTTTGCAAAGTTGGTGCTGACTGCCCTGCAGTGATGCAGTGCTTGGTGGCTCGATGCTTGCCCATGACTGCTTGTTTGACTGCCTGCAGGATTTAACACCGCAAAAGCTGACTGAAGGGAAGGGCACGCCGAGTCAAGGTGCCAATGGGCAGCTGCCCGGCCACCCGGTGGCTGCACGTGCGCTCGCCCTTTCTCAGCATTCTGGCCAGCAGCAGATGAGTGTGCAATCCATGCATATCGTCAACAGACTTGCCGATGGAAGGGTGATTGTACGAATGCCTATGAAGGGAGGAGGAAGCAAAACATACATGGTCATCTCACACCCTCACAGGCCTGGGGGTGGTGCACGTGTATGTTCCCCTACTGTTGGTATTCCGGCAGAAGCAGCAGACAGACTGGTTAGAAGGCAGCATATTGGCCAGTTTGTCAGTGTCCAGGGAAATGAGGGACAGAGGAGGCCTGGCATGGTTGCCGGACAGCAGAAAAGGGTGCAGGAGGCCAGAAGCCCCCTGGCTGTCGGCTCTCCAGCTGTTGTGGGAAATGGTGTGAAAGCCCCAGCCGTGGCGTCACAGGGCCTCCCCGCTCCTTCGTACGTTGTTGGGGTGCCGACTCAAGTGGGTGGAACTCCTGGACAGGTTCATTACATGGCTCAGCAGGCTGCACAGGGCAGACCAGGCCAGATCCAACAGCGCCCTGGACTGCCTCCCACGGGGCAGCAACGTGCAGGAAGGACGGAGTCCAGTCCGCCTGCGGCTGAGGTGATCGACCTGACTGAGACGCCCACACCTCAGGCGCAGGGAAAGCCAGGCATGAGGTTCACGATCCCACCAGGGGTGAAACTTGCAGATAACTGTGTACTGGTCCGTGACAACAGAGGTCAGGTGAGGATGCTTCCTCGCCTGCCTGACAGTAACATGGCTGTTGCAAACGGCCGAATTGTTGGGAGGGTGGATGGGCAGGGCCGCACTGTGCTGACGGCAGGAGCGCCTACCACCACCATGGGCCCGGTGTTCATGGCACAAGAACTGCAGCCTGGACAGGTGAGGCTGCCTCAAGGTGTCGGGCAGCAGGGCCGGCAGGGTGGCGTGCTCAGGCTGGCATCCGACTCTCATGGGAACCCTGTCGTTTTCCAAGCAGTGGGCAGCAAGCGTGTACGGGTGGGCGCCCCCGACCAGGGGTTGCGTGCTAGGCGCACAAAGAGCGGGCCTGTTCGAAATGGCTCCTTTCAAGCCGAGGGCCAGTTGCAGGATGCTGCGCAGCTTGATGACGACAACCTGGACGTCATGGAATGCAGCAGGGTGGGCGGTTGTGGCACCGACGGCGAGCGGGTGGCTATCGCTGACACTGACCAGCAAACCCCTTGCACTGCGAACAACAGCTGTTTCAACCGAGGCTCGCAATCCACGTCCAACGTGCAGCCAAGGAACCACGAGCGTGTCAGCTGCTCTGCAGACAGACCTCAGAAAGAGGATGGAGCAGCGTCCAATTCTGAGGGCTCTGGGGATGGGCTCGAGCTGTCGGCCTTGTACTCAAAGCTGCTGAAGATCTTGAAAGGCTGTGGTGAGTTGAGCAATGACCTGGTGCAGAGGTACAAATGGGTCTTTGTCAACCAACTGAACAAGGGCCAGCAGAAGTTGCACGTGATGGAGTTGTCAGAGCTGAGTGCAGAGGGAAAGAGTCATGAGATAGCGGCTTGGGTGGAAAACACGTTGACGAACGGGCAGCGATGACGTCATTGAATATTTAGTTTGTGCAGCGCGGCAGGACGGCTTGCGTTGCTGTCGTGTGTGATACGCTTTGGGCGGGGTGCCATGATAGTTGGACGTCTGCTGCCCATACATAGTTCCAGCGACAATGTAATATACTGATATGACGACAGTGATGGGCCAACGAGATGCGGGCATGTTGCCCATGCCCAATAATCTACCCTGGCACTGCTTGTTGTTCAATCGTTGGCAGTGCTTTGGCTCGGATGCACTCGACCTGTAGCCCGTCGCCCTCTCTCGCAGTAGAGTATGACACTTTCCCAACGCAACTGGTGTCTCCCATCCGGTGGCGACCGCTGTCAGAATACGATTTCATTTGCGCCTAGCGATCAGTGACCTCATTCAAGAACTCAGCCTCGCCGCCAGCAAGCACGGAAGGAAAACTGATGGAGCGGCCAGCCTTCCCTCACTCCCGAGGAACAGCGAGGTGCCACGAAGTAAAGCATGGTGGCGATCGGCTCCGGGGGATTTTGCCACCAACGAAACTTGCAGTGCCACGCTACCAACACAGAGCATTGCCGCTGCTGGGGCGACTGTCTGGTACACAGAGCAGCCATGCCTTCACCCTTCACTACTTGTCGCCTGCCTGTTCATGCCCGCCCGCACACACCAACTACAGCAGACGCAGGGCACAACTGCGTCCTGTGTGTGAAGCCCGCTCTGTAACCACACGTGGTGCCCGAATTTCTGGACGGGTTACTTCTGAAACAACTTGCATTGCGGCAGAGACGCTTTCCTCTCTGCACCTAGCAGCTGCTTCGTTGCAGAGCCCATCAAGGAAAGCACACCCTCAAGTGCAGGCAGGCAAGGTTGCATACTGTATGAATTGTGTTCAGCCCTGTTAGGGTGATGCTTCGGTGGCCACAAGATCGCCATGCGTTCTAATTCCACAGCTCGACAGTTGTGCTGTTGTGGTTGACTCAGGCACAAGCAAACTGACCTTCCGTCATCATGGGGTGGGACGTTGTGACCTTTAGTAGACCGGTGCGCCTGACGCTGTTCCAAGGGGCGACAACCCCCTGTGGGCGATCTCGATATCCATCTACGGGCTTGTAGACCGCTGCAACAGGTTTAGCTGGCCCACGAAGCCATAGTAACCAATGGCACTGATTGTGAACTGTGCAAGTTAAAATCAAGTACTAATTGATAGGGGCTCGCCGACATTTTCCTTCGCCCCCTTCTATCCGACCAAAGCCCAAAAAGTAACAAGTGTTCAGCCAGCAGGAAGATCCACGCACCCGCTCCTGGCTACGCCCCTAGGGGCGCCGTCCACATGCCACACGCCATCAGTGCATCCTTTGGAAGACGTGTTCAACCGGCACCTTTTTGTCAACGATTGTCAGTGCCAGTCACTGCCAAGCATTGCTACGAACGCAATGGCGTTGTCCCCTGCTCTGGTGAGTGTGGAAATGTAGGACTTGCACTTTTTAGCATTATTGCTGTTTTGGCGATGCTAGCTGGGATGCCATTTGAACATAAATGGGCGCCGTCATGGCGATTATGATGGCATCGGAGCAACTCTGATGGCATCAATTTGTGTCAAAATGGCATCGACGCTGGCATCGTCACCAGTTTGTGTTTTTCGCTGGCCGCTGATCCACGGCCGCTGATTTTTGCATGCAAAGCATCATTCATTTGGGGGAAGGTAGCTTTTGCCGATTTCCTTATCTTCGTTTGGTGTTGCCCTCCAACGGACACGTCTCATTCTGTATCCACCTCATCGCCGTTACATTGTTGAATTTCGCGATCAAGGAAGGAATGGGCATCTGGAGATCTGACAGGCTGCCTTGGTTTGTCCCCTGTTGCTTTCTTGCACCCAGCTGAAATGCTGCCTTCAGTCGTGTACGTTGCGCTTGCCAAGTGAATTCTACCATTATCTTTGCCAGGCAGAGCTGGCAGCCAAAACCCGGAATGTTGGAACTAGTGCTGCCACTTCCGTGTTTGGTACAGTCGCCTCCTGGTCAATAATTGCTTCTGGCATTTTGCCTTCTGTGGATTTGAGCCAGGGGCAAAAAGCCCTCAGTGATGATGTCCAGAGCGCCCAGGAGATGTTTGCCAGTAGCGCGTCCCTCGAGCCGGCAGGCGATACTAGAGAAGTCCAGGAGCGTGATGCCGCTCATCTCCGAAGATTGCGACCGATTGCCAGCGGTGATTGAGGACCCAATACCGCAGCATTAGCTGATTCATTGCCTGCGGAGGCCGCTGAATCAGCGCCCATGTCAGTTGATAATAGTAAGGTTAGCGATGCTTTTTCCCGTCCGACGTAATGATTTGTGCCCGAATTGCATTCAACGACCGTCTCCACACTCCAGAAGTGCCGCTACAGCAGGCAAGTTGTCCAGGGCAAAACGCTGGAGTACAAACCCTTATTCAGACATCATCCCACGAGAAAATCACTGGGGGGCCCCATTTCGGACAGATGGGGATGGACGATTTCCCTTGTTGCCACAGCTGTTGGGGGGACAACTGCAGAGGTGTGCTAATCGCCACCAAGCTGTCTGCAGTACTGCATCGTCGAATTGTCGATGACGCCGCATCAGCTCTGCACTGGCGCATGGCCGTCACTGTGTGCTGCGGTGATCACCGCAGTACGCGTTGCGATTGACAACTTTGCGCTTTGTCGTATCGCGGCGCCGTGCACCTTGCGGTGCACCAATAAGTCACCGTTTGCGGCTGTACGCTGGCTTCTGTTTAAAGCAGCACACTCGTACGTAAGGTTCCGGGAACCGCACGTGCATCATACTTTGTCGGGACCCGGTAAAGTATGATGCATGGGGGTCAAAAGGCCTCTCATGACTCACGGCGGGCCTAACGTTAGGCACGTTAAAGTAATGCAACAGCGAAAGCATCTGCCAACTGGAGTTGACAAATTGTAAACAAATTACCTACATTTTTGATAGGCTTCTCTTTCTGATGGACTTCTACCAAGAGTGGCGTTGGGTGGGCTGCCGATGCTGCTTGAACCGCCCACCCTTTCGCCTGGGCATTTCTGGTCCCGCTCTTTTGGTTCTGTCTTCCTGATGCCTTTGTGGTCAGTGAACGTCCAAGGCGCTCAAGGAGGTCCATGGAATCTTGGCGCCCCTGACATTGGCAGGCTGTCGATGGACGACAGTGGGCGGGTATTCAGGCTGCTCCCATTGGCGCCCACCTTGCAATTCTCGCATCTTCCCAACCCGCCCGGGGAGATCGAAGCTCGTTCGATATGGGATGGGCAAGGGAGCGAAGAACGGGATTTCCGGGCAGACTCAGGTCTCGTATCAATGAGTTTCAACCACCGTTTGAAGCGAATGGGCACAAGTGCACCAGCAAATAAAGGGGCCAAATAGCGTTTTTTGCGAACACATATGAAATGCATTTCATCAATGTTCTACACGTTTAAAACACAAAAATAACCTAAACCCGTAATATTTGCACACGTTCGAAGACGTGTTATTTGGCTCTTTTCTCCTGGTGTGAGTGGGAACCTCGGGTTGTTAATGGTTGCTGGCACCAACTGGGTTTGACAATGAAATTGGATATCATGTTAATAGGTTGCTGTGAAGGGCAGCGTTGGGTGGGGTACGCCGATGGTTTGAATCGGCAGATTCTTTTGATCGCTTTGTGTAATGTTTTGTCATACAGGGCAACGCATGTGTGGGGGTGTCAAGGAAGCTGGCAGGACAGAAATGAGAAATGCCGGAAGTGAGGGGGATGGTCACACGAGCTCATCCAGCTCTCGCGGCTCCTCTGCGATTGGATGACAGAACTGTATCGCAACCGGTGCTTCTCGGGATTGCGGAAGCCACAAGAGGGCAAAATAGCAATTCAGTCATGAGTGTTCGAGGCTTTTCTTGGTTTTTGCCCACCTTGTCGTATGCCATATGGAAGTAGCATATTGCAACTGACTATGACCAAGATCTGATCAACATGGTATCATCAAGATTAGGAGTGTAGAAACCGGGCATCAGAGGATTTCAGCTCAACTGCGGTTTTTGACGAAGAGGCGAGAGGTGGGCCTTGAAGCGTAAACGAGCGGTTGCAAGATCTGCTCACACATTCTGTTGTGATTGGGCGTGCACCGGGAGGAGGGCATGTCGCAAGAAAGGGTACAACTAAAGGTGTGCACCGAACTATACCGTCCGAGGACTTTGTGCCATGGTATTCCGAGCTTGTAAGACCCCCTTGAAGGTGGCGGGATTGAACCCTTGCATTTACTGTGTCAGACAAATTTTGGACCAAGACACCTTAGTTCCAACAAAAGCGTCTGGCCAGAATTTGGGAATTCAACCTCAATTTGGACCTTGTCCTGCAAGGCTCGACGATGTAAAAATCACTGAATGTAGCCTCAGCAGCAAGGGTGCCAGTTCAGCTCCATTGGCGATGGCAGAATGAGCACAACTGGGAATCACAGCTGTGACATTGTGGTTAATTTTAGTCAAATAAATTTCTGATTGGGAAGGCGACGTTCGGCGCTTGTGATGTGTCAGCCACTGTGAGCAATGCCAGCATCAAAGCCATTTTCTGGCAGCCACTCCCCCATGGTTCACTCGGTGCGTTTTAACTAGGGCCCAGGGATCTGTGGAATTTAGACACAAATGCCCAAGGGAAGCAAGAATTACGCACTGGTGGGTGCCGGCAGGGGGGGGGAGGGGTACCTTGTTCAAGGGGTGTCCCAAAACAATCAACTTTTTGTTCCCACCCTCCTATCCCTTGGAGATTGAGTTTGTCCAGAGGAGTACGTGCAGGCTGGGGTGCTATTGGGGACCACAAGTTGGTCGCGAATCTAGTAGTAAACTGAGATTGACGGTCATGGGCACAGTATATACGGGAACATTGGTGAGTTTGCGTTCCAACATATTTGGCGAGCGTGTGTGTCGGGCTGGGAGGGAGTCTCACCGAACAGAAATAGTGGTGGTCCACGCGCGTTTCAACAGAAGATCCAACATCGCGAATCTTGGGGGAAAGTAAAGGATCGGACATGGGCAATGTTTCAACAGTGATGGGATGGACACCAAGGACGGCGAGGGATGCGACAGTTTGCCGTATACGCAGATACGGTTGAGAGCCGACCGTTGTCTTTGCCGTCTTTTTTTTTTTGGACCGTCGTCGTTCTTGTGGGACCTGCTGGCCGGTGGGCCTGCTGTGACGCTGTGACGGCTGTCGGCCGTTGCAGCCGAGAGCCGACCATGAGGCAGCTGAAATATCACGAGCGGAAGCTCCTGAAGAAGGTCAACTTCCTCAGCTACAAGCGGGAGAGAGAAGAAAGGGAGAAACAGGTGGCTCGGGGGACTGGCGCGCCAGACACATCCGCCCCGTACTGCACGAGATCCATGCCTGCGAAAGCGGCGGAGGAGCGGCGCTTGGCCTCCAAATCTTGCCTAGTAGCGTTCGCGCGCCGCCGGGTGTTGTCGCCGGCAGGGGATGCTGAGGATGCTGCGGGGAATGCCGCACACGTTCCCTTTTGGGAAAATGGCGGCAGCGTTGCATCTGTTTTCACAACGCAAACCAGAGCCCTTGCGTAATAGGCGAATGTTAGGCACATCCGCATCATATTTATCCCTTACAACATATTTATCCCTTGTCCTTCATTCATAGGTTTGTCCTCTTGCCACCCGACTGCAGTTCGTGCAGATGCTGATAGAAGGAAAGAAAGAAACGAAAGGACCTAGTGTCCCTCATGTTTCGAGTCTTGACCTGGGTTGTTGAAATCCAAGCTTTGGCGGTGGTTACGCCCGCTAACACCCCCTTTTGCGGTGCAGATTACTGTGAGGTATGTGTTGCAAGACCGGGACGATTACAAGAAGTACAACAAACTGTGTGGAAAGATTACGAAACTGGTCGACGTCCTTCGGCAGTTGGAGCCGACTGATCCCACCAGGCTGGAGCTCACACAGAATCTCTTGGACAAGTGAGTGGTGCCCACAACTTGGGAGGCATAAAGATAATCCAACATAGGCGTGAGAACTGTGCCTCCTCTCTGGCATTCTGTTGTTGTGCACTCCTTCCAGTGAGGTGTGCTGTGTCAGTGACAAGACCAGGATGAGGAGCCTGGCGTTGCAGCCTGTCACGTCAAACTGCCGTGAGTGAACTTCTGTGAGTATCTGCACTTGTTGTTTCTGGTTAGAACTGGCACGACCAAGCACAGTCGTGTTTCTTTGACAGCTCGCCATGGTCACTCGATGCCTGCCAACAGCCAAAACTTGGACTTGCACAGATGATGTCAAGATTTTGACTGTTGCAGTGTCATTGAAAGCGAGTTCTGGTTGCCAGAAGGAACTGCTGCACTGCAAGCAAATTGGACATCAGAACAGCAGCCCAGCCAATAAATCAAGTTCAGTACAAACCCAAACCTCACGTCATCCAGGGCAGCTTTCTGGCCCGGCAGCAGAGGTGCTGCATTGCTGTTGCAAAGGATGGTTGCAAGCCCCTGCATGCATGGTTGTGCTCAGTTTCTTGCTGTTTTGAATGATGTGCTGCAACATGCACGCAGTTTTGTTGGTAAGGTTCCAGGTTCTGTCACCGCAGAATCTGTTGCTCCTGGACGCACCCAACTGATTTGCTGCAGCTGCTCCACTTGTTGGGAATACTGTTGGCAGGGATTGATGTTTGTGGTATTGCTGTCGTGAGAAGTCGTGTGTGCTGTGCTGCACCTTCCTACATATATCTTGGAACTGTACACTTCTTGCCAATGGTGAAATCTGAGCATCCAAGTGAGAGATCCTTGCTGCCTGGTCGCAAAGCAGTGAAGATACTAGTCTGTCTGCCCGGTCAACACTTGACTTCTTGGCAATGATCAGAGCGTACCTTCGTGTGTAGGTTGTACAATGCTGGAGTGACACATGTGAAGAAGAGTTTGGTCCAATGTGAGAGGATATCAGTTTCGTCGTTTGCACGGAGGCGTTTAGCTGTTGTGATGGTGAGGCTCCGGATGGCTCAGTACATCTCAGAGGCAGCTGCATTTATCGAGCAAGGCCACGTCCGAGTGGGCCCAACCACTGTCACTAATCCTGCCTTTCATGTGACTCGGAATATGGAGGATTTTGTGACATGGGTGGATACATCCAAAATCAAGGCTAAGGTTCTCAAGTTTAATGACCAGCTGGATGACTATGACGTGCTCAATTGAGTGCCCTTCTTAGCGACTGCACTTTTGGCAGGATTGTTGTGCTGCCAAAATAAGCACGTGGACAAAACACTCTAGAATCTTTTTGTTTGCCTATCCACACCTGTATTGAATTTGTAGAACTTTTTGCAATCTCAACGTGCGCAATCGTCTCTGTCTGGAATCCGTTTGCTTTTGATGCTGTCTTTGCCCCAGTTGGTGCTGCTCCCTTCAGTATCTCGTCAAAAGAGGCTGTTCCTCAATTGATTCGACCCAGTGCACAATGACAATGTTGATTTTTGTGTTCTTTCACTCCAAAAAATGGCACCTGTGGCCATGGTCTCTTCTTTCCACTAACCCATTCCCTGTTTAGCACCGTGGATCGCATCGCACAATTGCATTAAACGGCACATTCTCCTGTTGTGTTGTTTTCGTTTGTGGCATAACCACTGCAGAACAGATAGAATTTGCACCCATAACCATTTGGAAGCATTGAGTGCTGCCATCCTCTGGCTGCACACAAGCACAGCACATGGCTCCCAGAGAAGCCAGTCAGGATCCGATCATCCCAATTGTATCACTTCTCAGGACACATTGGGGCCTTCCAGAGAGCAAACTCAGGTAAAACTTTTGAACAACATGCGCATGTTGGAAACGACAACGCCAAGCAGTGCCTCTGCCCTCCTACCCCACAAACACAACACAAATGTTGTGAGCCATTCCTCAAGGCATCATGCCCCATATGCCATCAACAGAAAACGGTGAACTGGGCGCATCAATGAGATGATCGATCATTTATTGCAGGTAATGCCTATCCCATTGGTCACAATTGACAGGCCATTGCTTATGAACCTGCTGGAGACAAATGGCACCACTGCCGCATTGTTGGTTTTTCCTTGAATTACCCGTCCACAACAGTTCAAAGACTGGCCAGCCACTGGGAAGTCGTCTTTACCTTACTTTGTGGAGTCCACATTCGCACTTGTGATGCATCACAAATATTGCCACAGAAGCGAAACTATTCATGCGAATATTCGGTGTTCTATCATTTCATTGTTGACAATCCCGATCATGTGTGACATGCCACTTCAATTTGAGATGCTGGGGATGCTATAGGATTGCCAATGCCGAAGATCGATGCCTCTCAGATTGAGCTGCAACTGCATTTGATTTCTTGACAACCCAAGGATGTTTGTGACAAACCAATGACGAAGATACCTTTCCATGGCATGTATTTAGAATGAAATGGATGTTTCTCCAGTCAACGTCCTTCCTCCCGCAGAATCAGGAGACGTCCATACGGTAGCAGACTACATCCGCAACGAAGTCAGTCACGAGTTGCCACACCGCGCTTGCACGTGTGTCCTCTTTCCGGCTGGTCGACCTTAATTTAGGGGTGAGACTGTGTCGACGTTTATACGCTCAATGTCAAATTGTTGATAAGCGCAGCCCTCGTCCGCCTCCTTAGCTCCCATCCTTATGTCGATGCCAGCAAGGCCCAACGACACCACCCAACAGCATGACGCAGCAATCGGGCATTGAACAGGCAATGAACCATCAAAGATAGCTTTGTAATGACGACATAATGACGCAATTTGCATCCATTGGTATGGGGCACCACACAGCGAAAGAACCTCCGGCAGAATGAGGCAAGACGAGGATTACCACCTGTCGGTGCCGAGCCGGCACAGTAGCTGCCCTTGTACACATCCGCAAACTCCCGGGCACATCGTATTCTGCGGGCTGTTGGAACGTTCTGCGCGCGGTCCCCACATCCTTGTTGAACGCACACAGCCTTGCCAGGCGCAGTGAAGTCGGGGACAACCGACACGTCCGCCACGCCTGCGGTCTAGCCAAACAGCTTTCTTCTGGCTCTGGCCTTCCAGCCAGCATGTCAGCTTCTGCGATATCGGCGCGGCCTGTGCCGGTGCACCTTGCTCGACCTTCCGCAATGGACGTCGACAGCGCAGCGCCGGACGAGGAAGCCGAGGACCTGTACACAAAACTGAAGACCCTGCAGAGAGAGCTGGAGTTTTTGGAGATTCAGGTGGCTGGACAGGATTGTAGGCATCGTGCGATCAGTTGGGCGATCCTTTGGAGCCACAGCACCGTCTTGCATTGTCGGCTTCTGCTGATTTTATCAGGGGACCTCTGGCCTTTTGAGTTCTCGGAACGCTCCTGGTGTGGGATCTTTTGCCCTAATTGCACCCACTTTGCGCTCCGAGGCAACGTCTTCTTGTGTGCTGCCACATTTTCAGGAGGGTTACATCAAGGAGGAGCAGCGCAACCTGAAGCGTGAGCTGCTGAGGGCGCAGGAAGAAGTGAAGAGGATCCAGTCTGTGCCCTTGGTGATCGGCCAGTTCTTGGAGATGGTGGACGCAAACACGGGGATCGTGGGGTCAACGACGGGCTCTAACTACTACGTCCGTGTGCTCAGCACGCTCAACAGGGAGCTCCTGAAACCGTCTGCATCCGTGGCTCTGCACCGTCATTCCAACGCTCTTGTCGACCTGCTACCGCCCGAAGCGGACTCGAGCATCTCCATGCTGTCAGATGCAGAAAAGCCAGATGTGTCGTACCAGGTGTGTGCTGCCCCTGTGTGCTCTGGCAATTCGTTGATAATTCACCGACAGTGGGACCTGTCACTCCTGAGGACCTGCGCCGTGATCGGAGACATTTCGTATCATTGCTGCGTGGAACTGTGTGCAGGGCCCCAGTGGCTGTCGTCACCAATTTCCCCAGTTCAATCCACTGATCTCAGAGTCCAGCCACTATGTCTGGTCACAGTTGTTGTTGGGATGTTCGCATGCTGCTAAAGATGCTCAAAGCACGTGCACTTGCGTTGTGTGGTCGGTTCTCTGGGCATATTATCTAGCCTTGGCCTCAGCAGCAACGTTATTGCTGCAAGGGTGCAAGGACTCCACTTTGTCTTAAAAGGGAAATTGATCCAGGAATTTTAGCTGCAACAACAAATGCTTGGCTGTGAAAGCTAGCATTGCTGCAGTGAAGAGGATGAAGGTGCTCATGCGCATATGTGTGTTGGGTTCGGTGGTTGCAGGACATCGGTGGCCTGGACATTCAAAAGCAGGAAATTCGAGAAGCTGTTGAGCTGCCGCTCACCCACCAGGACCTATATCAGCAGATCGGCATCGATCCCCCACGCGGCGTCCTTCTGTATGGCCCGCCGGGCACAGGAAAAACGATGCTAGCGAAAGCTGTTGCACACCACACCACTGCTGCATTCATCAGGGTGGTGGGGTCAGAGTTTGTGCAGAAATACTTGGGCGAGGTGGGTTCCACATTCCTGTGGGTCTGTGTAATGCTATGTTGCAAGGCAATCACAGTAGGAGGCAGTTCACTAGCTTGGGACTTGACCTCTCCAAACTTGTGGCACTGTGATGCATCCTGCTGCAAGTCTGTGTGGTGGATTGACCATAGTAGTGTGTGCAGTGTGTCTTACCTCCTGCCACAAGACTTGACTGGAACTCAACAGGATGAACGCTTTAACATTAGCAACAAGGATGCCGTGGCTTAATGCCTTGCTTTGGATCTGTGGTTGCACAGGGACCTAGGATGGTGCGCGACGTGTTCAGGCTGGCCAAAGAGCACTCACCCGCAATCATATTCATTGATGAGGTGGATGCCATTGCGACTGCCCGTTTTGACGCACAGACTGGGGCTGACCGAGAGGTGCAACGCATCTTGATGGAGCTGCTCAACCAGATGGACGGCTTTGATCAGAACACGAACGTGAAGGTTATAATGGCCACCAACCGCCACGACACATTGGACCCTGCGCTCCTGCGCCCTGGCCGACTGGACAGAAAGATCGAATTTCCCATGCCAGACAGGCGGGAAAAGAGGTTGATATTCCAGGTCAGTTATGACCCCAATAGCAAGAAACAGCACCCTGATAGCAAGGAATCTGCCACCATGCACTGCTGCCGGGCTGGCTATGGACTGCTCCACCTGCTGGGCAAATGCGTTGACTCTATTTGCTTTGTGGCGCCTGGATGCTTCAGGTTTGCACAAACAAGATGAACCTGAGTGATGAAGTGGACTTGGAGGACTATGTATCCCGGCCAGACAAGATCAGTGCAGCTGACATTGCCTCGATTACTCAGGAGGCAGGGATGCATGCCGTCAGGAAAAACAGGTTGGTGCTGGATCTGGCTGGGAGATTGAATGTGAGCAGATGTGATTGCGACTAGAGCGCAATGTCAGCGATTCCCCTGCTGTGATTATTCAACTTCCCAGTGTTACTTTGCAGTGATGCTGAGAGTCCGTCCTGTCATGAGCAGATTCTGGTTCCTGTGCCATTTGCTGCAGCCAGGCAACATAACTCCAGTCGGTTTGGAATTCATCAGTATCTGGGCAGCTTGTACCTGCTTTACTGCGGGGATCACGTCGCAGTGTCCTGCCTCTGGCTTCGAACTGTTTTGGCGCTGCCTGTTTGTCAGGTTTGCAAACACATTGTGTAGCCCTGGAGGATAGCAACGAGTGATTCTCATCAACGTGTGCTGCGCTTGGTGCATATTTCTTGATCCCTGTCCGATCTGCTGCTGTTCACCAGGTACGTCATTCTGCCCAAGGACATCGACAAGGGCTACAAGGCCAACGTCAAGGGGTCCGATACAGAATTCGCCTTCTACCAGTGAGATCCTCCATTGCAGTATGGACCGTTTTTTGGTGTAAAACAAAGTGTGTGTTTGGTGTGTTGGACCTGCACGTGCCGCTGCTGCGTTGAGGCAGACCACAGCTTGCATGGCACTCTGGCACCAGGCTATTGGATGATCTTGTTTCGGATTGCCACAGCTGACCTCCGCCACACCTCAGGTGTGCGACCATCCCCGAGGAGCCATGTCGCAGCCATGCACGGAGTGTTGCATTGCACTGTTGGTTGACGTCCAGAAGCTGCCCGTTCGCTCAGACTCTGAGGAGCAGTCGCTGGCAGTTGTTGTCCACATGTTTACGGGAACCTGTCGCAGCCCAGGTTGCGCGTTTCCAAAATCGTTAGTGTCATATGTTAGAGTCAAGGTGTCCGCCGCACAGTGAGCCCTTGTGGGAGCTTCGGATATTGGAAAGCGGCGCCTTCCACGCCCCGCTGTGCTAGAAGTGCATCTTGGTGCACATTCCACCGCCTCTGAAGCTACTGCCCTGCAGTGTCATTCTTCAGCCCACAGCATCAGGAGGCGACAGGGGCACACCCAGCACTCATGGAGCCAACGCCATGGTATGCACAATTCCCAATACAACAAAATCAGCACAACCCTCTGGTAGTCTACTCTACCCTCTCTGCTGTCTCGTTGCTCACACAACCTGATCCATCCTGTGAGCCCCTGGCCCGCATTGTGGGGTAGCCGTGGGGGTCCTAGGTCTCCCAGGCCTGCTCAACTGCCCCATGGCGATTCCTCAACATGCCCCCGGGCCAGCCTCCTGACTGTGCACCAGTTCATCCACTGACACAAGTTCGTCTTCAAACACAGTTGCGTCCCCTCCCTCCTCCCAATCTTCGACAGGCTGGCATTGCCTCAACACCCTGAGCTTCCCATCTTTCGTTCCATACAAGATGCCCTCGCCCGGGATTGGATGGAAACATGCCGTGTTGGCATCGTCTTCAACGCTGTGAAGGACCCGCACGAGCGCCAAGTCCGAAACCCTGTACACCTCCAGGAGGGTGCGAATCTTGCCAATGGCCTGTCCCCTCGCGACCAAGTCACGCACCAGCGACTCGTGCTTCTTTCCGTACGAAAGGAGCACGAGGCTGCAGTCGGGCGAAAACTGAATCGATGTCAGGCAGTGGCCAGCGGAGACGGGCCTGGACCTGATCACCTGCCCCATTGTCGACCTTTCCAGTGAAAACAGCTTCAGCTCGTACTGGAATGAGGACCGCATTTGCCCATAGCCATCCACACTGTGGTCCAAGAGTGCAGTGCATGCAGCAAGCAAACGGCCACAAGCAGCAATGTGCGCGCCCATTTCGCTGCACAGCACGACCCCATTGATGACCAATTGCGCATCGGTGAGCTCCCGGTCAGGTTCCTCCTCGCAAAAGTGCCAGAGAGTGAGCTGGGTTATGCACGGCAGCTCCTGCGACGGCATGGAGGCATATGCTCGCATGGCAGGTGCAGGCGTCACCAAAGGAACTTCAGAGACATCTCCTGTCCTCTGTATGGCAGGCGTTTCCAGGCTGTTGAGCAACACCTGTGACGTCTCCGCCACAGACGGGCTGCCTGAGGAGCTGGCACTTGACTGTGAGTACAATCTGAGCGCCAAGCCCGGGGGCCGATGGCTGTGGGCACTTGAGCTCGTTGGCTCAGGTGGAATCAACTGGATTCCAGAACCCGAATGCACAAAGCCAGAACCCATGCTGGAGGCTTCAGCAGACGGCATGTGTATCAAGTTAACCATCTGGGCAATCAGGTCGTCCCCCAGGGTGCCCAGTGCAGAAGATGATGCCACTCCACTGTGCTGTGTGCGGTTCATCTGTGCCAAGATTAGACTGCTCGCATCCTCTTCAGCGTCATCAGGACCCCTGCCGGTTTGGAAACCAAACCCATGGCCCCCTTGCAGGTCTTGGACTCCTTGCTGCATGCCAGATGGCCGCTCAATCCCTGCTCCCAGCATGAAGCCATGACCTTCCCCCCCAGGTCTCACAGCATGTGTGTGTGCACCAGCCGGTCCCCTTGGATAAGGGATAGCACCCAGTGGAACATAATTGCCATATTCACCTTGGGGTCCGCTTCCTAGCTCAGGGGGCCTGGACACAGCAAGCAGGCCACCCTGAACTCCTGATGCCATGTGCGATGGCAGCAAAGGTGGCGTGTGGCCAAGGCCTTGTGGCCACCAGTGGTGCTGGTCGGCAGTATTACTGGCGACTGGAGCATTCGGGGCCCCTTGCTGTGGCTGGCTGGAGAGGTTTTCTGGCACACCACGCTCCCCACCACTGTGCATGGGCCATACATCCACAGGGACTGCATATGACCTGCCCCGACCACGCATGCCACCGTTTCTTCCACGCTGCCATGAGTTGGTTCGAGTATGCTGCACGCCTCCCTGTGAGTACATCTCTGGGTGGGGATCTGGATGAAGCGACTGGCCAAACCCTTGATCCCAGCCATGAGCACCACCCCTAACCGGCTGTGCCATCTCCGGCCCATGCAGATGCCGGCCTTGCAGGCCATCGAGAGGTCTTCCATTCACTTCCTCACCGCCTTGTGGATGTCTGTTGAGACCGATGATGTCCGAAGCAGCACTGCTGGCAGAGCTGGCCAGTGACATACGCCTGTCCAACCAGGACGCAGACAGCCGCGACTGAGCAGAGCCCCATGACGACCCTTGCCGCTGGATATGCTGTTCTTGTTGCTCACCAGCGGCATGGGCTTCAGGTGCATTCTGCGGATCCATTCTCTCTGTTGTGAGAATGTACGAACAGCTGAGTGGATGGAAGTGCACTGTCCGTATGGTTTTCGATGTTTTCAGCACAATGTGGACTTCCTCAAACCGCTTCGAACCCTCGTTGTGCACCCAGAGATAGACCTGCAGGGCACAAGCACACAACACGTCATGGCAAGCACAGCACACCTGGATGGAGAATCATTGAAAAAGGCAGCAGATGAACAAGCTCTGTTCATCTCCTTCCATGTCGGAAGCAGTGCACAGCGGCTGCATTCTGCTGGCAGTGCACCCAGATAGAAACACTATGTCCACCATCGACCTCAACCAGCAGAAGCACTGCAAAGTGCACTGCCCTGCGGCTGGCACACAAGCCCAACAACAGCTTGCACAGCAAATGATGACACGGTCAGCCTTTGCTGTACCTTGCGACCAGCCGCCACTGCCAAGAACTTGCCAGATGGGTGGAAGGCCACTGATTGAATGTTGCGGCCTGTCCAGGCAAAGCTGTCTCAGTTTGCTTGAACTGGTGGGCACCAACACATAGCACAAACCACAAGGCCGATGTCCACAGTAGAGACCCGTCGCACATTGGGTGTCCAAAAATAGCGAAATCATTTGAAACTCTGTGCCGTCCTGCACATGGTGACTGGATGCTTCTAAACACAGATGCTGGTGATGAGCCATTCTCCTAAGCACGGCAACAGCCAGCCTGCTGCTGGGCCCCTTACCAAAGTCTCTGGACTGGAGTAGCTGCCCAGTGTTCACATTCCATAGGCGGACCTCGCTGTCCAACGAGCCGCTGACAACGATGGCCGAGTCAGTGGGATGGAAATGGACCTGAGGCCATGGGCACAAAACCATGACATCAGCCCGCTGATTGCTGCAAAACAGAGCAGACATGAACCCCAATAGCACAGCTGTGCGCACCGTCCATGGAGTCCTGCGATGGCCTGTCAGCTCCCTCACCAGCTTGCCAGTGGCATAGTCCACGATCTTCACGGAGTGGTCACCGCTGGGGACAGGACACAGGGACGTGAGCCACAGAACAAGGGACAGGAGTGTCCCTTTGGGCAGCAGGAGGGTAGTCCACTCGAACACGACTCACTGCGTGGAGGCCACCAGCCTGCCATCGGGGCTGACGGCGGTCGCGATTGTGGATCTTGGGTGGGACTGCAAATCGCACAACTCGCTCTTGCAGTGCTGCAGCGCGTGATGGGACGCCCAGATTTGAAGATCTCGGTCATCGCGCCCGCAGCCCGTGTGGCGCCACGCTGTCCTCTTGCTCGGTCGCCCGGACTCCCTGGCCGACAAGAGGGCCAAGACGCCCCCTGGGCACATCATCTAGATGAAGCGCCTTGGGGCGATCTGGGGCCCACAGCGCCCGGGGGCCACCGCCCCAAGAGTGGTGCCGCGCAGCAGAAGGTCACCACGGTGCCCCAGGGATGCCACGGGCCGAACCACCGCCAATACCAGACGCTGCACGAAGATTGGATGCACGTGCCGGGCGGTCTGCGGTTAGCGACTCGTCAAGGCCTGGCGGTGGACGGTGGGCAGGGCAGCCGAAGGTGACCTTTGGGGCCTGGGGCGGAGGGCGCGCGCCTCGTGGACCGCAGCGAATTTGGGGCCCGGCGGATCGTAGGTCCGCCTGCCCCCCGTGCGCGGCCTGTTCTTCATAGGAAACAGGGGCGCTGGTTCCCTAAGTGTGGGATTGCTGACGGCGTCCGGCCATCGGGCTGGCCTGCTGCTGGGCATTGGACAGCCAAAAGTAGGTCACTGCGGACAGGTGAGCCTGATAGAAAGATAACGCTGTTCGCGCCATCCAAATTGTGCTGGAGTCAGCACCCTTAATGCTGCAGTTGAGGCAGCCATTTGGTGGCTTCCTATAGTGTTGACAACAAGGGATCGCGACATTTTTTGGTGCCTCGGTTGAAATTCTTGGTTTTCTGCTTTCAAAGACTATTTGCGAATTCCAGAGAATCACAGGTTCATTTGCGAAAGGTGGACTTCAAGCTGAAGATCGATGATCAGCACCAGTTCTGCGTCCTGTACTGGCACCGCTCCATTAAGCAAACTCCCCAATGCCCCCGCCTCGCCATGAAGTCACCCTCCCCTCGCTTGGTTTTTACTGGTTTGCGTTGGAAATCTCCCCGTCGCTTGACGGCTGGCCCCTCGCCATGGGCCAATCCCCCGGCGTGCCGCCACCCCAGAATGCTGTGCGGATCCAGCTCGGAGTGCTGTGGCGCGACGAGTACGACATGCGAGACCTGCTGCCGAAGCCCAGCCGCAGCCTGGCCGGGCGCAGCGAGCAGCGGTTGCACACCCTCCTCCCTCTCCTCCGCTCGAAGATCAGGCAAGAGGACTACGAGCGCACTGTCACAAAGTCGCAGCAGGCCGCCCTCGTGGGCTCGCTCAAGGCACCCAGGCGCAAAGAGAAGGGCTCGTCGCGGCGGCACGCGACCAAGGCAGGGCGACCGGGAGGGCCTGCCAGGTTGTGGCCGCCACGGAGGAACGGACCCAAGAAATCCGAGAGCGCTGATGCCGGGTGTCGCCCAAGAAACAAATGCCGCGGGGAGGGCGGTAAAGATGAGGGCTGGGAGCGGTACGTGGAGCGGGAGCGGTCCACATTCACGTCGAAGCTCGTGTTCATGTGGGGAGGGCGGTTGGGTTACAAGGGCCCCGAGTTTAACCCCGAGAGGGTGAAAAATGCCTCGGGGAGCATGCCCCCTCTCAGGCTGTGAGCCGGAAGGGGGCTTGAGGAGAAAGGAATCGTCCTGGAATGGCTTGGGCGACGCTGACTGTTTTGACCGAGTTTCGGGGTGCAGAATGGTGGCATGGTGTCTAGTCTGTGGATTCCTGCGAAGGGAGCGCTTGGCGGTCTTCCATTCATCTCCGCCTTGCCCTCGGGTACAGGGTCACTCTTTGAGCAGCTATTTTGTTTTGTTGGCTGTCCCCCGTGCGCTCCTGGGTTCAGAAGGATCAAAGGCCACTCACGGGGACCGAAAGAATTGTGGGTTTCATGTGTTTTCTGGGGAAGGGTGTTTCGGCGCTGTACGGTGCATCCAATCGATTTCTGTAAGGCGAGAAATATGGCACTTGAAGGTAAAAGCAGATAGCGGTCGGCGCTCAAGCAGTGGACTTCAGATTGATTGTTCCTGTCCTTGGCCCCGGCAAGAGAGTGGGTTTGATTGATTGCGAGGCGGATCACGGAATGGTAGCAACAGATTGGCGCAGCGGGCGATTAATCATTCCGTTGAAGCCAAAAAATGCGGCGAGGCATCTGGCACATCGTTGTGTGCGTCTTGGATTGACGCAAGCGATCAAGGGCACTGCTTCTTATGCGTGTGCGGTAATCTCTCCCGTGTGGTTGATCCATGAATTTGGCAAATGAGCGATCGGAGGGGGGTAGGTCGTCCAAGAGAGTTGAGGCTCGCCGCAGATTGCATGTGAATAGTCTTCGGTTTAAACAAAGAGTGAGCGGATGCGGCTTAGTCGGCAAACATGTGGTGCACTGGAGATCTAACAGTGTGGCCAGTGCGTGTTCTGGACATGGTGTTCATGTACACAACTGTGGACAGCTGTTTTTTTTCGAGTTCGCTCCAAGAGCGAATTGTCCAGGCGACATTGGTCACATGTGGTGTTACCATGAGTACGCTTTGGGTGTCTTTCTGCCCGTCTATCGTCATATTAATCGTTTCAAACTCCTGTCTACCTGTAATGACGTAAAGCTAATACGGCTTGGATGGCCGGCAAGGTTTAGGGTAGGCTCGAGGAATGTCGCCACCAACCACTGGCGCGTTCCATCCGTGCGACGTATGTTGGAAATACGAGCGCGAAATTTGCGCTTTGAACAAATAGCGTTATTAATTCACTAATGTAACAAATTGTTAACGCAACGTTATTGAGCACAGGACATGCCTGAAGCCCTGCGCGATTGTGACGCAGAAAGACGCTTGAAATTGTCCAGAACATGCAGCTACAGGCTGCGCATGTACAAGGCTTGCTCTGGCCGTCCTCCGCATTTTTGCCCACGCATATCGGCGAACTCGAGCAATCATCGAGGCCTTGTGCTTTGTCCTGGAAACAAACGTATCCCACGGCCGCCTATTGTTTACTAAGCTGCGATGGAAATTGAGGTCCGAGGACGCTCACGCTTAGTATGACACCCGTGCGAGCATCTGGGAGTCCAATCCACATGTTGCGCACAGCGGTCTCTGGGTTATGCTCGGGAGCTCTCCACTTAGCTGGAAAGCGACGTTCTCCACTGGGCGCTCGATGTCCGCGCGCCAGGCAATGGCCACAAAATGATATAAATCATAACATGTTCTGTAGTGGGCGAGTGCTACACGGTGTTGGATCGCGCTAAAAGCGTTTCCGAATGGCTTTTTCAGATTTTACCACGTGTGTTACATTAGGTAGTTTGCCAATAAGGTAATTTTGAAGAATGTGGGGTCAGACCCGCCATTCAAAACCAAAACTTGCCCTCCTGAACTAGTGGCCTTGAATGTGAAAGGAAATTGTGGGTAATTCTCCAAAGAATAAAGTTTCCGAATCTCTATGTACTAACACAACACAACAGCGGCACCGCCCTCCTTCGTTTTCAACAGCTTCTTCTCCGCTCTCGCTCCCAAGTCATCCTCTGGTGAAATGGTAGAATCAATTCGGGAAAGAGCAAATACGGAAAACACAAAGCTCTATTCAATTCCCTGCTATCGCATAAATCTCAAAAATTCAACATGGATTAATTAACATGCAATTTTTAAAGATTTCTCCATCAAGAATTTCACAATGAGACATTCTCTGTTCGTCGCACACATCCTTTGAGACGACTCAGGAATGTGTAGGTCGCCGCTGCCAAACACCTCCAGTTTACGGCTTTACTCATTTACTAGGCTTGGGAATTTTGCAAGGATGAGCTAATTCGGTCTTTCAATACGACAAATTTCTACTTGCCAGCAGCTATGGTCTGCCGCAGAGCTAAATTTTCCTTTCATAGGAGGTGCTGTCATGAGCGACACAGCAGATTGTATGTGTTAAATTGGAATGCCAAATTGGAACCCTTTAAATATGTCGTAAGCGTGTGAACTGTTTCGTGTGGAAATTGTCCATTATGCTAGCAAGTCTCGCAGAGTGACGCAAAAAGAAGGTTGCCCCTTTTATGGCGAGATTGGCAGAATTTCACCATTGCGCAGCGGGACTGCAGAGTTGCTTATACCGTGATACACGAAAGCGCCACTGGCGCAGCAAGAAAACACACAATCAAAGCCACCTTTCCCAATAGAAAATCAATCCGAATATGGACAAACAAATTTTCCGGCAGCATTTTGCACAAGAAACGACTATCCACGTGTCCAGCTGTTTTGACACTGCGAGCCATTCGGCTACCTTTAAGTGTGCCCCCGACGAGTAATCGCCGTCGTCCAGGGTGGCGCGAGATGGTCTGAACTGCAGCGAGGCCCGCTGGTGGTAACCATTGGAAGTACCTGTTGGTGGTAACTCCAAGTTGGCAACCTAAATTTGCATCAGAGAAAATAAGTCAGGATTTGTGGCGCAATTTTACATCACCCCCACAATTGTTAGGCATTGCCAGCGGCCATCACGCTTCACGATTCGCCATACTGCATAATCGCCATTGTGTTCGGCACGCTTACTGACGAAGAGTGCGACCAGGAGCGACTCCAAATCAGCGAACAAATCATGGACAATGCTTTGCTCGGGCAAAAAGAAAGCCGGCGGCCGCCTCCTCTCCCTCCTTCAATTTTACAGAACGAGGCACTGAGATAGGTCCTCACCCCGTCATCGTCATCATCCCGTTTTTGACAGAACAAGGAACAACGACGTAGGCGTCAGCATCCTATTACCATCGATTATCGCTTCTAGGCATCGAGAGTTCACAGAATCATACATTTAGTTTGTGTTTCTCAATAGATTCCAATGAGCCGATCACCGACTCTGCTTTGCTCGGGCAAAACAGGAAGCTGACGGCTGCCTCATTGCCTTGTTCTGTAAAAAATAGTGAGGAGGAGGAGGATGAAAAAAATCGTGATTGCTCTGATGAATCTACGCCAGTAACTGAAGCCGCCCAAACCAGCCCCCCGCATTCGAATCAGCCGCACCGCCAGATGCCCGCGGCGAGTCATGGTCCCTGACGCCGCCGCCACGCCCGCGACGCATCCCCGCCCGGGCCGCCCCGCCCCTCGCCATGGCCTCCAGCTCGGGCAGCTCCAGCGGCGAGCACGGCGAGCTGCCGGGGCGCTACCCCCGCGTGGTTCAGTGCTCCGCGCGGGCCACCGCCCCGCAGGCGCCCAGGCCGTCCGCCCTGCCCAGGCGCGCCAACCCCAACCTTCTGGCCGTGCGGGCGGTGCTCGGCAAGGCGCCGGCCGCGGAAACCACGTCCGACAGCTCCACCAGCAGCGATGACTCACCGACCTCGCAGGGCGGGCCCCGGAGGGTGGCCGCCTGCAAGGAGAGCACCGAGCCGCGGCAGGCGCCGCAGGCCGCCCCGGAGAAGTTCTGGCCGCGGTCGGGATTGAGGCACGGCGCGATGCGCGGGGGGTCGCCGCTGCACGTCGCCGCCGTGACGAGGCTGTTCAGGAGGGAATTCGGGTCGAAGGTGCAGTCAAGCGGCGTCGCGACTCTGCCTGGGCGCTTGCGCAATGATCTCGCTGATTTGCAGGGAGAGAATTGGGGCATTTCAGCCCGAACCTGACTCGCATCTTGAGTACAGGCTTGGCGTGGCGAAAGGCTCGAAGTGCCCGATTCATTGCGCGTGCTGCTGGCATTGTTTGCAGGCGCCCAAGACCCTGAGCTGGGGCGGTGAAAACCAAACTTCGCAGCGGCGTGGGCGCGCCCCGCCCTCTGAAGCATCAGAGGATTACGCGACGTGGGTGAGCAATGGCCCAGCAGGTGGTGGGTTCTTGAGTGGGGTGCCGGTGCATATCCATTTCTGTTTCGTGGCGCGTAAATGCTCCATGATGCATTTCGCGAGCCCTCCTAGGAAACAGCGCGACAGCCGATTGATAGTATTGAATCACTTTGTTGAAATTTTCATCTGAACGTGTGTTTCAAAGGCCAAATCACCAGGGATGGGGGATAAACTCACATGCCAAGCCAATGGCAGGTTTTATGTGTGTTCTGTTTGCCTGACGTGGTCCGTACTGCACTTGCAGTCAGCACAAGGAGGGGACGCCGGAAGTGCAGAGAGGGCCTTGCTGGCGACCTTCAATGAAGCCTCATCGAAGGTGCCTGTTCACGGGGAGGACGTTGGTCTGGAGTAGGTGTTCTTGGGATTTGTTGTCTTGCCTTTGAGTGCAGTGTGGAGGATGGTGGTGGATGGAGAGGCACCGTGCGCTTGCCAATGGCGTGCCCATTAATTAAGGTCCGATAACATTGCAATGTGGGAATTCGAGGTGGTGGGAATCGTAGACGTGAGCCCAAATGGCCTGATTATTTCTATCACATTCTGGCGGGTGCAAGAGGGATCTTTTCGACCATGCATAGGGCGAGATATTCAGCTCGAGACTCCGCCGGTTCATTGAGAATTTGCAAAAGAAGACCAGGCGCAAGGCAGCAAACGAGGGCTGTGCTCAGATGCAGGGCGAGATCCGTCATGTGATTGAAGAAGTCAGGGATCAAATAGAAAAGGAAACGCGAGAGGACGACTCAATGTCGGTGGCAACGCTTGAGTGGTGAGACAACACGCTTCACGGCAAGTAGATGATCGGTTCCGCACCAAACCAACAGTACAAAAACAAAGCAGGTGGCAATGACCCTGCCATTGCTCTATTCCAGGAGGTCCATGCTCCGCTATGTGTGGCTACATGGCAAGGCATCTGCAATCAATTACGCCACTGGGAACCCAAATATATCAACCACGGTCCCATGGGTCAGAAAGCCAGTTCAACTCGACAGCAGTGCATTATGCTGCATAACTGCCAGCTGCCCGGTCTGTTTGGCAAAGTACTGGGGCAAGAACCACATTATATTTCGTTTTGCAAAGCACATGAACTTTCGAAGATGTATATCCCAAAGAAGCAAAGGGCAAACTACTTGACAGCCGTCTCGTTCGGTGCTGCAGGGTTCTGGAGAAAGCCGATTGTCTCCTGAGCACGGATGCCGACACCCTGCGTTGTGATTTGCAGGACCACGTCCTTGACGTGCAGGTAACACGAACACAAGGACACTGTCCTTGGTGACCTTTGCTTACGGTTTTGATTGGGTTCGGGGGTTTAAGCAATGGGGCCGAGAATGGTGCACAAAGCAAAGTCGGCGGGCTCCGCTGCGTGATAACATCCCACGCTCTCTCCTCGGGGCGTACACGAGAAGAGCAAAGATGATGCGATAGATTGCAATTGTTCCGGTCGAAGAGCGTCAGCTCCGAGGATGAGCAGTCTTGTACGGACAATTCGGCATTGTGATTTGCACTGCAACGCACATGCATTCCTTCTGCTCCAACGCATCGCCGTCTGTTCGAGCAAGCATTGCGTTCTCAATGATGTATTGTGAGCTGTAGGGTCGTCTGCGCAGCTGCAGCTGCCCGGAGAGTCAAAGAGCGTACTTGCTTCGTCTTCTGCTCATCTTATCAAAATGCAGCCGATGGTTGTTGGCCGAGACAGACACATCTCAAAACAGTCAAGAGTGCAGGCATGCAGAAAGAAACGTCCACTCAGGTGAGGTCTGTCACTTGACCCGCAGCACGTGAAAATGGAGGAGGGTTGCTGAGCATTGAAAGTTGTTCCCTTGGGAAGTACACTTACCTGTCATGCTCATCCGCGTGGCCGTGTGCGTTCCTCATATTGGCGCCATTACTCGATTTCCTCAGAAATTTGACACGGTTACATAATCAGTCATTCCTCTTAAGGCCATCTACACAAGGAACAAGAGCTCCAACTGCAGGAAGTCTTCATGCAGACGACAAGTTACACTTCGAACTGGAAGATTAACCTCATACCCCATTTCTAATGAGTGCTCTGCAGCATGCGAAAACTGCATGCAGCAGCTATATGTAGAATTGGTGCGTTCATCTCTGGCTTGTGCTGTATTGCAGCCTCTGGACCTCGTTGGACTGCGGATGTCTGGCATTTATATTTTCATGCGTACCAAGTTTCGGCATTGTGCAGACATTCGTGGCATTCTTGTTGAACCAACATGCAACAAATTGCCGTGCTTGTCACGTTTGACTTGCAACAAGAACTTTTCCTGTCTTTCTGAAGGTCGACGATCCCCGAGTACCTCGAACAAAAGGCGATCTTCCCTGCAAGTTGACTCCAGTGGCTTCAGCAGGTACAGATTAAACATACACTGAACAGTGCATGTCCAGACCCATGCCATTCCTTCCCAGAACCATTTGTTCACCCTCCATTGCCAACCACAAGCATGTCCACTTGATAACTTGCGCTAGGGTGGTGACAATCTGGAAAGGGCTTGTGGCACTCTGCCCTGTGCACCTGGCGGTGACTGTGTTGATACAGTCGCACACCCCTGCGGAGAGCAATTTGGTTGCGTTTCCTGCTTGTGTCTTGGGCATGAGAACCTTGCTGATGTCCCCTAACCATTGCAAACAACAAGAGCAAAGACAGTTCCTCTTTGGATGGTGACTGCTTTTGTGCAACTTCCCTGTGGCAGCCAGGGCAGTCAGCCAAATTCCAGGCCTTCTGCCACCAAGTACAACCAATCGAACCAACAGCGCCACAGCAGCACAGGTTTGATCCCACTGTGAATTTCATGCTGTGCCGGTCCACAGTCCTCAACAGGGAGTCACACATTTTGCTGTTGTGTGCAGATGACTCCCAACAAGCAGCGACATCCACATCCATTAGTTCTGCAGATTGTTCAGATGACTATGTGAGCCGCAAACTCCAACCAGGCCTTGGAAATTCCAAGGCAAAGAGTTTTGGAATAGGTGTGAAGAAGATTCCAAACCCATAGTCTGTTGCAACAGCACTATTGCTGGAACTGCACTCTGGTGTATGGACAGGCCGTATGACATGTATGAGGACCTGCACTTTCTGTGTGGCTGTGTTTTGGAATTCAATTGGCGCATGTGCTCAATAATGGACCTTTTGTGTGAAGAGGTGGAGCTCGTTAGACCACTACGTATGCCAAAGTGCTCGAATTAAGTCCTTCCGGGGATTGAAGACCACAGTCTGCATCATGCGGAAGGGGCACATACTCCATGCATCGACAGGGCTGCACATCACACACGATGCCGCGGATAACCGTTAATGATGAAAACGGGGTTTGCCACCACGTGCATTAGCGGGGCCTGATTCTGCCCACCTACTGTCTTCACAGGAGGCAGTGAACCATTTTCAAGCTATTCACTGGAAACTTTGTTCTGCGCAGGCTTATTGGAGCGCCTGAAGCATCCTTTTAGCAAAAAGGGAGGATCGAGCAAGACGTCCACACTGCTGGCACAGAAGGCTGAAAGAATGCTACAATCGGTAAGGTTTCACGCGCACAATACTCTGTGTTGGACGGGCGCGACTCTGGCCAACGGCAGTCAGCGTTTCCTCGGCCGCTGGCTGTCCTGTCCCCGTTTGCGCCATTTTGAGGCGCTCGCAAAATTTTGCGCTGGCGTTGTGCAGGATGGCAGCAGCGACTCTGGAAAGCACAGCGACTACACAAAGAGCACGTCGTGGACTTCACACGGAAGCGCCAACCGCCACCGCGCGGCAAACCCAATGGTAATGCGTCCGCGTCTTCTCGCTCAACAACGGCTGAGAAATCTTGGTCCGCTGAGGGGGCGCTTTGAGGGGGTTCGCCTGCACTTCGCAGAATGCACAAGACTGATGCAGTTAATTTGCTGTGCGACCAAGGCAGTACGTATGACGCTAACGGCCCCGTCTTCTTGCATTTCCAGAACAACGGGGTGGCTTCCGCCAGAAATTCATTGGACACTACACACCGGCCTATGGTGAGCTACCCATGCACAAAGCACCGACATCCATATTCTTCTTGCAAATCAGGAACGTACATTTAGCCTCTGCATGGATCCGTCAGAAGCTTGGCCGTGGGCGAATTTCAAAGCCCAGCACAAGGTCCTGGCCCTAGGCTTTCATCGTTGACTCAAAAATGTTGTACGCGCTGCACATCTCCCTGCGTGCCTGGCACGATAGTGAGATGAGCTTCCTTTCAGGAACGTCGCGCAGGTTCTTTGGACAGCTCCATGAGGACCTGGAATCCTGTCTCCTGCCACATTTGCGGCCAGGAGTGGCCACTGAAGCAGTTTGAGGAGCACCACGCAGTCTGCGAGAGCCTCATCAAGATAGAGATGGCAAGGGGTCCGCCTAACGCGCGGGTGGCGGCCATCTTGGAGCTCTTGGAGAAATACATGGCAGAGCATTGCTTCTCGCGCAAGATTATGTCCATTCTGTACAACATTGAGCAGTTGGCACGGGCCTATTTGGATATGAAGGCTTCTTTGTCTCCGGCATTTGTTGTGCAAAGATGCATGGTGTATGCGCAAGGAATGAAGGTGAGCTGAGGCATGCGCCCCTTGCCGTATTGGCAATCGCCGAAAAGCACCCAGCGATAAGTAACGATTGCTGGCGCGGTAGTGTGGCCGTCCCACGAAAACGTACTAGACATATATAGAATTCGGCGCACATGACGTGGCTGTGAGAAAGGCCGTCATCAGCCGAATTCTCTCTGGCTTTCCGATTGCAGGCAGTGCATGTGTTTGTGGTGCCCAGATAGCTACCTGCATGGGCGTGAATTAGAATCGAAGGCGTGGTTTATATTCATTTCTTTAATGATCTGTTAGCAGTGCGTCTGTATGCAACTCTTGGTGTAGCTAAACTGAATCGAATATTCACTACTGGAACACGCTGTGCCCTAGTTTGAAATGAAGTTTCCGTTGTTATACATTGCTAGGCATTGCGGCCTGCCGACTTGCCAACATTCAACTAGACTGTACTGCAAGACAAGAACTTATTCTGGGGGAATCTGCGTCGCAACTGAGCTTCTTGTGTAGAAACACAGAATCGTTTGGGAGCAGTGCCAGTGCGGAAAAACATGACGTTCCACTTTGCATTGTTCCTAAATGCCTGTGACCTACAACAATCGTATTGCCGTGGCTACCGCAGGCCAAAATCTCCATTTGGCGCATAGCCTGTGCGCGCCAGAAATGCTGCAAACTACAGAAAAACGTGCATTGATATCGTTCCATGCCTCAGTATGGAAACAAGTCCTGTCGTTGCAAACGCATGTTCTTTGATGCATTCTTGCACCGGTGCAGCGGCTGGTTTAATCTTTATTGGTCACATGCGTCGATTTCCAGCATACTTGTCAATCTTTTCTGTACCTCTGAGGGAGCGGCACTCTCCTGGAACCCTCATCGCTGCGAGTGTGAGGTTTCCTCAATTAGACCTACACTTCCGCTCCGCTGCTCTCGAAAGCATGAATCTCTTCAAGGAGGTTCATGCCTCCGAGAAATCTAATTGACTTATTATGGAGATGAAAGAGAAGAAATTGGTCCGGCAAGGCAATGAGCATGTATTGGCAGAGTATTGCATTTCCTAACAGATCGTCCGTGAAAATTCTGATATTCTGGTCATGGCATATGATAAGGGGAGAAGCATACCCTGTTATCGAATATGATACGGGTGCTCGTATCCCAGGGTATTTCAGTATACTGGGTATGCACATCCAGGATATGCAACTTACTTTCGACGGTCGCAGACAATGTTTCATTCTGCATTCTTTGGTTCCTACTCATTCTAGCAATCTCCTGGTTCACTGGTGTCCCAGCTAGCGCAGCTTCAGAATAAAAGCGGTAGGGGAGTTCAGAGATCTCTGATTTTTTAGACCGCTGATTCTTTCAGTCACACTCGCTTTTAAAGCTTGTCCACAGTATTTGTGGACTTAGAACTTTGCCGACGGAGGTCGAAGCAAGCAAATAACTGACACATTCGGTGCTGCGCCCAATAGCGCTTCTGAAGGCGCACAATTCCGGTTTCTTGGGCAGCTGCTGAACCTGCTTTCGTGGATGTAAGTTAGGTTGATTCCATCGCCAGCTGCCCCGAAGAAGTTGAACGTGGGTACTCAGGGGCCGTAACTTTCTCCCAGAAGATGAGGTCCATCATGAAGGAACATGTGCGCAGCATTAACCAGCAGCAACACAATTCAGGGAGTTCTGGAGGCAGCTCCGAATGGTCCCATGATGGATCAATCCCAGAAAGCAGCAGTACGGGGGATTCGAGGTCAGGCATTGGCCCTCAGGCGGGAGATTACGGCTCGGTGAAGATCACTGATTTCAAAATTCTTAAGCCCGTGAGCAGAGGAGCATACGGGAGGGTGTATCTGGCCAAAAAGAGAGACACAGGGCATTACTATGCTATCAAGGTGAGTGATGCTTCGTTATCAACTGCCTTCACGCGAATCCGATGGGTTGAGCTTGCGGCAAGGTATCACATGGTCGACCTTTCGTTGTTGCGATGTGGTGCAGAACATCGCGTTCAAGGGCTCCTAAATTGCAGCGCCTTATTCAGCAAAAATAACTGTCGCCGCGCAATTTTCAGAAAACTAATTGCGGAGAGGCAGCAATGGCAGGATAATAAATCAAAAATCAATTCTCTCGCGCGACGGCAGGCCTGACTTGCAGGCATTAGACTGTGTCCGGCCAAATTATCTGGCGTAACCTACAGCAACGATTGTCTGGCAATGTTTTCTGACAGAAGAATTTCAGATGCGCAACTGGAGAGATAGATCTTGCCCGGGGCAGTCGCTTCAATAATATTGAATGCCTTGGTTCCATGCTTTTCAAGCAGGCGGCTTATCTCGGTTTAGCATTTACCAAGGTCGCAAAATTCAGTTCACGTTAGGCAGTGCTTGGCCAGTATGTCTTGTATCCTGGGTTGGGAAGACATTGCTCCCATTTCGAATGCAAACATGTGGTGACAATACGTTTCGTTTGCAGCTTCAGACTAGAAGAACTTTTCCTCTTCTCCCCAGCAACCACATAAGCTGCTTGCATCGCAGACTCAATTGACCAGATGGAAGGGAATCTACGAAATTTCGTAACATTACCTTCGTTAATGGTCGATTTATGCGGTACAGGGGCAATTTTCACCTCGTATTCAAACCGTCCTAAATCCGACAAAATAGGTCAGTGCACGGACGTTCCTTTCTGAGAATTTCATGAGCACCCAACCTGTCATTTTCTCATGATTCGGAAACTGCGCTCACGGTCCAAAACTGCAACTTCCCCTTCACCGCATTCTGAACGATTATTCTTAGCTTCCTATTGATCCTTTCACTCAGTTTTGATGGATGAATGCGAACATGGACTCTCCACGCATAAATTCAGCCTTAAGGATCTTTGTCTTCAGGTTATGAGAAAGAAAGATCTAATTCGGAAAAACATGCAAGAGAGGGTCAACACAGAGAGGAACATTTTAGCCTATACAAAAAACAAGTTTGTGGTAAGTGGACACCGAATCTCTTTGATTTCAATTTTCAAACATGCAGAAGCACAAGGAAATGTCCTTTTATTTTACAGCACAATAAGATTCACAACGCGCCACTTCTTGATGAAGCGTTTAACACGCACCTATTCTGAAGAGACTGGCTTAAGAAAGTACTGCAAAGTACTACGCCTTGAACCAATTTCTTTTATGAGGAATTCTTTAGATTTCCAGCTTTCTTGCATGCTTGAAAACGAGAATTACAAAATCCATTTGGAATATCATATGGAATATCATATTAATGGCTTGTGTTTTCTTTTCTCGTATATAAATAGGATGATTAAAACTAGCTCGACATCAAAATACCTCTCGAGGATATTGACGTTTAAAAACACAAATGTGTAATATTGCTATTCGTAGTCTTGTAATATGTGAAGAAAGTGGAATTGAAATTGTGACACACTGCTTATGCCTTGAACTGCCAATGGGCAAGAGCTCTAGAAAATCATCTTTTCAAGTGCACCGCTGATCACCCTCAAAAGCTCTTTATCAGCTTTTGCTCTTTGAAACTACTTAAGGAATTTCTAGTACGGGATAAGATCTATTGCATTTGCCTACACCTTCCTCAGAGGTATTCCTTCCTAGGCGATGCGGATAAGTCTGCACATCTATCTGTGTCTCCATTTGAATACATCGATTGCGAGAATGGAAAAAAATGAGCAGAATGGAGCGTTCAATTCAAAAGAAAAAGGCCCTTGGATTCCCCGACGATACCGTATCTAAACTATGTCAAACATTTGGCCTCTGTCAATCCTGCTTGCTCCTTCAGCCTCCTATGCTACTTGCAGCTTGCACTCTTAACTCCGCACAGTTTCTCTAGATATGTCTACGTGTAGCGCTATTCTGGGCAGCTGAATTTGCGTGTGTGCTCTCAGGTTCGTTGTTTCTACACATTCACCAACCACCGGAATCTGTATATTGTTATGGAGTACCTGAATGGAGGTGACTGCAGCAGCTTGCTGCGCAATCTGGGGTGCCTGGATGAGCATGCGGCCAGGGTGTACATTGCAGAGACTGCGATGGCATTGGAATACTGCCACGCGCAGGGAATAAACCACAGAGATTTGAAGCCGGACAACCTGCTAATAAGCTCAGATGGACATATAAAACTGACGGACTTTGGACTATCCTGCGTTGGAATTGTGGATAGGTCGATGACGACTGAAACAAATAGCAGAGACCCTTCCTGGGACGAGTAAGTTTGTTTTGATTTGAAATTCTTTTGCGGATGTAGTGCTGTTTTCTGACATTGCCCTGACCACTCAAAGTTTTTCTAGTGATACTCGCCACATCCAATAGCGTGCCTAGAAATTCTCTCTGCTGCATAGCGCACCATCATTTAGGGTCGTACGAACACGTGTGGCAGAAAATTTCAAGTTGAACAATTTCATGAAAGTTCCATCCGTGCATCTCCCCAACGCACCTGAAATTGACGCTACCAGGTTTGATTTCAATAGACTTTAGCGTGCATCTGTATAATTCACCACGCAATGACACCGTGACGGTAAACTACTTTGCAGGGGATATGCATCAACGTCTACAGCCTCAAACAACTCAGGTACCGCTAATGTCTAAATTGATGTCGCTCCATTTTTTTCCGCACAGCGAACCATTCTACCACATTTTCAAACTTTCATTATGACATTCAGTCTTCAGTTTTGGCGATGTCCAGACATTATACGCATTAGCATATATCAAAGCTCGTAAAATCCTGGCCATCTGCTGTAATTCATGGGCCATGATGCCCGTTTCACAAAGGTCTCAAGGAAATTCAGCGACATGACTGAGTCGTGATGATTTTCTATTCATCTTCAGGACTCACGGAAATGTTGGAGGAAGCTTTAACTGTAATTCTATGCGTTTGAACCCATCATGGTACCGGCTTCATTTCAACCAAATCACCATGCCAGTCTACTAGCTATACACGCATATGTATCGCCATAGTTACATAGAGTAGCAAAAGCTGGTGACAGCTTATCAATACATACTGGAAAGTGTGTGGGCTGCATCCACAGAGTCACCTTTTGCATGAAAGTACATTTTTAGTGATCCCACGGTAAATCATTTAATACTGAATGAATGCATCTTGATTCCTCGAATGCAAGCTATTTTTTCAGGCTTCCATTCATCTCCACATTTTCTAACACAAGTGACCGCTTTCAGAGCTTTCCGTGTTAGTGCCGCCCGTGTTTTTTTGTTCTTTTCGAGGCAAGCCTATCTTTTAATCACGTGCAGCTCTTTTTCTGGTGTTTACATCCCCGTTTCGTATGTGTGTGCATCCTATTGCTGCATCACACGCAGCTGGTTTGGCGAAAGAGGTCGTTCTATGCGCATGCGCAACGCGCTTATTTCCATGCGTGTGGATGCGAATCGCCCAGAAAACAAAGCTCCAAAGCTAAACAAACGAAACCAACAGCCGGAAACACCGTGTTTCCGAGTGACTCTGAAACACTGAGAAAGGGGCCCCAGCAAAGGTGTTTGTAGAAATGGCTGCAAATCACCATAAAACGCGCTGTGAACATGCAACGAAAACGGGTCCAAACTACACAAAAGGTGCTGCCGAAAAAATTATGTGAATTGTTTTCCATTTTTTTGTTATGCACATGAATGCTCTGTGCACGTCGGAAGACCTTGTTATGAGCGAAATCTGAAGCAATCTCCGTGCGTGTGAAGTATCGCGCACAGACTTGTCTGAGGGAGAGGCTTCAACCCAGCACAACGTCCCCATTACCTGGCAGCCCACAGAGCGCCACAAAGCAGTGGGCACACCAGACTACATGGCTCCGGAACTCTTACTTGGTAGAGAACATGGAAGCGAGGTTGACTGGTGGTCTTTGGGAGCAATATTATACGAGCTCGTTACGGGAACGCCTCCCTTCAGTGCAACGACACAAGAAGGTATTTTCGACAACATTTTGGACAGGTAAATGCCTTTGGTAACAATAGCAGGGCCACCGCAAAGAACCGCCATCAGAATTGCGCCTGTCGGTCAGTTTATCCATCGTCTGCACAACGTGAGAGTGCTTTCCTCTTGTTATGAATTGTTCTTTGGAAATGCCGATCAGTTCGTTTGCACACATCATGGCACATTAAGTGGGGCTCATTTTCTGCCAACGCGCAATATCCCAAATTTGAGGAGCTAGTTCTGTACAATGTATTGCTTGTCACTTCTGGTACCTTTACAGGCGGATTACTTGGCCATGTGAAGGTCAAATCTCGCCGGAGTGCCGAGATTTGATCGACCGCCTCCTGACCCTGGAACCGACAGAGCGCCTGGGACATAAAGGAGCATGGGAAGTAAAGCAGCATCCATTTTTCAACGGAGTGGACTGGGACGCGCTGCAAAATCGACAATCGAATGCTGCTTTTGTTCCCAGGTTGGTTTGATGAGGTGACCACGTATTTCAGTTCTTGGATCTTCGAGGGAAAGCACTTAGCAGTACATTGAATGCACTGCATTCTACATGTTTCGGACCACAACGCAGCAGTTGCGGGATTTTCGATGTCCTATTTCACGTCCGGTATGCGTTGGGAGCTGCCTGGCGGATCATTTCAGGGTGAAGGCATTAGTTTCGAAACCATCAGCGTGCCGTGAGTGAAACTCAGTGGATAAGCCTCTGGCCGGCATCGCCTTGATGAGGTAATGGCAACGTTTCGCGCATTTAGGAGAATAAATCTTAGGATTTGATGATCGCATACTTTTGAACGTTGAGAATGATTTTTTTGTAGCGTGGATGGCGAGACGGACACCTCTTACTTCTCGTCAAAGCCAGTTTCCTTGTACTCCATGGAGCTGGATGGTCCGGGAATTCTATCTTCCTCAGGTGCCTCATACTTCCATCAGTATGACAACAGCTCTGGGAGCCAGTTCCCACCTTCCCCCATGAGGTCCAACTTGGATTCGTCGCGATACGATGGTCGAGGTGAGAGAAAAGAGGTGGCTGTTTCACAGATGCCATGATCTGCAGATCTGCGCAGTTGCCATTGAATGTGTGTGAAAAACATGATAAGCACCATCTACTGAACAATAAGCTCAAAATGTGGTTGGAGCTCGAAATGCTTTGCAGTATGCTTGTATGTAGAATGCTTGGCTCTCCCAAGCGAACCTCGATTTCCTGGCCTTGTTTTCGGAAAATGTGCAGTGTAGGAGTGGTTCAATTAAGCATGGACGTTGTTGAATGGCAGATTTCCCCGCTTCCACGGACTGTGACAGCAGCCCTGATGGATCTCATTTGCAACACGACTTCACCGGATTCAGTTTCACCAACTATGACATGCTGGTGCAAGCCAACAGGGAGAAGATTAACAAAATCAGGGCAGAGGTGCGCCACCAACATACGCACAATGGGGTGGGCTTGTTGTGGTGATGGCTCCAGACTGCGCCATGCCGTACTTTTGGACATGTATTAGGCACGCTTTGTACAGAATTCTTCAACACATGACTTGGGCCAGTTATGATAGCACTCCCAAGAGAGTAGGGCCTCTTGTTGCACCGAATCACCGATCTGGTATGCATTCATTCATACATCGTTTGCTTGTTTTACGCGCAAAAACATAAATTTGCGGAAGGGACTGTTTTTACGTTTTACCGGCTCGTTGGGACACCCAGGTTACACGATGAAAATCGCGTACAGTGGTCAGTCTTTTGCCATCTCCCGCACCCGCAACACAGTGTCCACCTCGCCCTCGGCGAGGGCAACGACAGCATGGAACAAAAGTTCGTTTTCTACCCACTCCAGCGCATCTCATTGCCACTCCCAGGACTCCCCCAAGTCTGTATGTACATTCTTCATGTACACGGGGCTGTATTTGCGCTGCATTTACGCGTTTTTGCGCGGCAAAACGTAAACACTATTTTTGCATGTTACAACGTAAATGCGATCAGTTCTTACGGTGCAAAAAACAAGCCTGTCTTATACTGACTGCCGTTTTGGTGTGCAGTTTGGAGAGTCAATGGAAGAAGCAACGCCTCAATCCAGTGACGATGAATCAAACAATACCAGGAAGACTGTGTGAGTAATCAGCAGTCCGGGTAAATGCACAACATCGATTCATAGATATTTGTGCACAGTGCCCATTTCAAGGCTGGTGGAGCAAACTCCACCGCAACAAAACTATGCGGGTGTTGGAGCACCGAGATTGCGCTGGCTCCTCAGCGGAGGGATGGAGCTTGACTTGGACGGCGTAAGTTGCCCTGTTCGTGACTTTCGACAGGAAGACATGTTGCTTGGAGAGCCGACATCTGCAATTGCGCATTGACGCCACTGCCACTGGGGCGCATTCGAAGCGCAATTGTTTGTACACTTGCCGGCAGGAGGAGGCTCAAACCGGGGAAAGCGGAAAGCACTTGATTGATTTCGCTCCAGTGGCGCAGGTGTTTCAGTTTCAGTTCAGGTGTTTCAGGGTGCTTTTCGTGTGTCTTATTATCACCTACACTGCCACATTTGAAATTGTATATTGGTCGACAGTGAAAGGATACTGACAGTTAGTTGTACAAGAGATGAAGCGCTTGGGGTGAGCCTGCTTAAAGTGCTATAGTGCGCGGTGCTGAGGTCGCTGATGCCTGCAGCGGAACGTCGGAATGCAGGCAGAGCAACATTCAACGATATTCTTTCGATTCTTGAATTAGACGGATTATGCAGAGTTTGTGGCTGTACTATAGGCAACGGGGAAGTATGCTTCGAATAGCAGAGATGCACATGATTCGTCCATTGAACAAGGGTCCGCATTCACAACATGCTTGGGGTTTGCTTTCTCACCATGGCGATGTGAATGCCGAACACAGCTTGCAGCAGTGTGTGGGTGCTGGGTGAATGGTTTGAATTATAATTCTTGTAGTTCTGACACTCGCTTGAATTCATCTTGAGACCTAATTGAATACAGTATTGCGTACAGACCAAAATCAAATACCATTGAAGCACTGCTGTGCTTCATTTACGAGATAGCCTTGTGGTTATCTGATACTCACTGTTTCTGGATATGAATTTTATGCAGCTTGTAAGGTTACAAGGTTGGGGTGACCAAACCACATAACCAAGAGCTGGTAAGACACGTAATCCCCAACCCAAAAGTCAAAACTTCAAATCAACCCAAACCCCTTAACCCAAAAATACCACTAGCAATCATGGATGTTCTATCCCTAATTACCCTCACACAACCTTCATATTCATAAATCAATGGTATCGGGCATGTGTGGTCCCATTTTGCCGATTGTTGACAGTTGCGGTGAATCCTCAGAATATGGGACGAAAATGATATCAATGTCGTGATAAATAATTCAAACATCATCGTGGGAGACAGACGTCAGCGCTTTCGAAGGGAATCAGGGCCAGTAATACACCAGTGGGAGCACCTGCGTCAGAATCATGCGCCATATCTCTGTAAGTAGATGCCGAAAGACATGACAATTCAGGATATGGGCAGCCCCTATCAAGGAAACTAACTTGAGCACTTTCCATACCGTATCCTGGCGATATGTCTGCTGTGTGGATATTATGCCCCTTGGGTCATACACGACCTGCGCATACGATGGACATGCATGTCGTCCGCCGTATGACCTAAGAGTAGAAATTTTCCAAAATGTGCAATGCACATGCCATGTGCCGCGACGCCATATTCCCGTATGAGCGGAAAGCTCCGCTTGTTTTGAGGGACGCTCTCTCATTGCGGCGTTTCAGCGAGCTAGTAGCTTCAGCAGCGAAGTTACTAACCCAGTAAAATGCCGCAAGGAGGGAGCGTCCCTCGAGGCGCTGGTGCAGCGCTGGTGACGTTCGTGCAGCATCCACGTCAGCTGGTATTGTGAAAGTAGAAATTCAGTGAGTTTTTGGTTGACAGTTTTGGGGATTCTGCTCAATTAAATGGGACGCCTGATTGAGTTCCAGTGTATTGCAATTCATGTACCGCTGTTCTCTCATTCACTGTGATAAACTGAGGCCCTCTCCACTTCAGACATTCGACGGATTGCCTTGGCCCAAGTCTGGGCAGCACAGTGCCGCAATGGCGGTGGCACCGAGTACTTAATGTGACATTCTCCAACGCGAATGCGATTGGGACCTGATTGGGTGTGTAACCTTGAAGAAAGCGGACATCCATACCCGCTTCTCCGAAAAGCGCATCGACGGCATGCCACAGATGCCATCCATCGGATTCCATCGACCGGCATCTTGTTGGGTATCAGAATTCCAGTACAATGTCACCGAAATAGCACCAAAAGCAATACTGACATAAGACTAGTGTTTCTGTATTTCTTTTCACATTTGTGCATTGGTGGTCGCGAATCACTATTGAACCCCAGGGCGTCGAATCTAACGTGCGGGAACCTTTGAGCACTCAAACAAGCGCCGCAGTGCTTGGAAGGCAATTCGCTACTTGCCCCAATGACCTCTGCAGCATCGTGGTTTTGCTCAACTCAATAATCAACAGTCCTTTCCATTGATAAGAGCATATGGTCATTCGACCCTCGAAGGAGGTGGCGGCTGTGAGAACGCAGTTTAATTCAATGTCAGTCTGATGCGGATTCTACAACATTGCGGAAAACTACTTGTACAAGTATAAATAGGTATTTCCAAGAAATAACGCACCTAGATACACCGTTTCCACTATGAACTCACAAGGCCGCGTTTTCCTTCAAGCTATCTGACTGTCTTGTGCCAAAATGCAGCTTGCGTTTGCTCCAAATGGATAAACCAATGAATTTAAGTGAAGACAGTAAAGCGGCTCACTTTGAGAATGCACATGTGCGGAAGAAAGAGCAACGTATGATTTGACGTGCATGATCTAAAACTACTAACATCAACAGATTCAGCAGCCAATAGCGATGGTGGACACATGGGAGACATTAGAACATCAGCGCGTGTCTTGGCCACAATCTTGGCGTCCCGGATACATGACGAATCATCGACAGATATTTCAAATCAAAGGCAGACCGCAACGCAACTTCTCGGCCGTGCCCGCGCCAGGCAGAACTGTCCCCGTTGGCGCAACAGCGTACTCTCAGAAGCCATGTGCGCCTTTACGCTACATTAGTACAAGGAGACATCCAAGGGGCGATTTCAGCATCCCAAAGCACTCCGCTTATCGCTGCTTGATGGGATTGGCCGGCTTGCGAAGCTAATTTCGCCCAAATCAAGGAAGTTCAAGTGGTCCAAAGTTTTCGGGGGATTTCGGAGGCGATGCTGCCCCCGAAGCCAGATATTCCCCTTCAGGCTCGATCTCGGCTTTTACTGCCGCCTTTGGGGACGCTGGATATTCCGCGGCTGCCTGGGATTTTCCAAAGGCACCCTCGTCTCGACTTTCAGCCAGAAGACCTTTGAGATAGCCCTTTTCTTCCTTCTGGTCGATGACTGACTTGAAAATGTCGAGCTGAGATCGTATCTTTTTACCCCACTCCCAGACACCATCGAACTGGGACACCACAGCGAATTTTGAGGAACTTTTTGCACGTTGCAGACGTGACTTCGATGAACTCTCATGTGGTTGAGCATTCAAATATGACGGCACATTGAAACCAACGTATAGGCGAGTGCCTGGAGCTGTTCATGTTGCTTAAAAAATGATTGGCTAGCGCTCTGCGCTCATTCCCTCCCCTGGGCTCCCTCCACCGATCACGAAATAGAATAGGACATTCTGTTTCGTGACTCTTTGCACAGCTTACCTGCACATCCTTGATTCTGTCAACTTCGTTTACATACTCCAGCAAGGCGGCGTATATTCGGTTGTCCGTAAGCCCCCTCCGGCGACTCATTTGCTCCAATACATCGTTCCTCACGTTCACATGCAGAGAATCTTCAAACGGCTCTGTTCCCCGTGACTCGCTCATTTCGCTGTCCTGCTTCAACTCCGTGGTGCATTTGTAGTAAGCCAGGATTTGGCGAAACCACCTCATGAACTGGGAGAGCGCCACAGCGCAAAGATGTGAGCTCCGCCATCGCCGCAACACGATAAACATTCTCATGCGTTTGTGACGGACTACATCTGTGTGCTGGTACACTGCAAGCGAATCGGCGCCGCCAACGAGCGGGCAACAGGGGACTCCGCGTTTCATGGACATCTGCTATTGAGACGTTCTGTGGAAGGACGACCATCCATCCAATGCTCAATTCTACTGCCTGTTGTCCAAGAACAAACGGCAATCTCCAGAGGGGTCCGAAGCTCGGCTGACGTGATCGAGGGGCCACGGCGAATCAGCCACTGACATCCTGGCATGACGTACCAGTGCGTCGGTGCCCACGACAACCAATAGGGCTCCGTAAGTGCGTAGTCGCGTGGCTGCTTTCTGTCAGCCATTGGCGGCTTTGGTTTCGACCTCGCCTGCATTGACCAGTGATATCGGGGACCCGCAACGATATCACCAAGCATGGCAGGGCTTCCACGTGGTGCTGCAAACTAGCTGGCATCAAAACTCCGATGCCCAACAGAGATTCTAGCCGGCGCGGACTGGTTTCTGGATCCTTGCCACATTTACGTACGTCACGATGAATTGTTCGGTACCCTATCTTCTTAATGTTGGCAAGATCGCGCACTGCCGCGCACACTCGTCCAGGCAACACGCCGCAGCGGCTGATTCAGGACGTCGGCATCACAGGGAACAGCGCAATGCCCGGCATTCTCTACAGGATACATATGTGGCACCTGTTCAGGTTGGTGGGGGTGACTATCATCCTTCATGAGGTCTAACGCGGCTTCTTGTCCTGCTGGGAGCAGGGACAGAGCCATAGCCTCAAGACTGATCTGTGCGCTTATGACAGCTCTTGCTCTTTCATCCCTGTCGTCATGGTCAGTGCCTGGCCCCCTTGCGCCCTCCTGTGAGGCGGACTCTGCTCGCCTCCTTTCGAGAACTTGCAGCATTTTCTGCACCAGCGAGCATTCGTATCAGACAGGCAGAAGTACAATGCCAACAATCAAACACATAAAGTAAGCAACGGTAGGAAAAGAAGGCGAGCCACTGTTTGCAGTGGATGTGGCGCACGCGCTTAGTTTATCCGCCCCCACGAAAGCAATTTTGAAACAAGGAGTTTGCTTATCTAATTGTAGGACGACAGTGCGTTCACGAGCAACAGTAAACTGCTCGGCAGCACTGGATGTTCTACACATATTACGTTGCTCCCATGATTGGTATCGCTCAGAAGTACATGTGAATCACTCTCCATGAAAGAATTGAATACTGACTATTTCAAGGGTTGAAAGCTGATTTTATTCTACCGCGGCCTTTTCTCCCTTTTTCCATTTGTCTTTCGCGCTCATGTTGTTGTCGACCGTTCTCCACACGCTGACAACAGAATGCATGCCCTGAATGGTTTTGAAAGCGCTCTTCCATATCCCCTTGGACTTGTCCTTGGCCCTCTTCCTCTTGGCCATTATTTCCTTCATCTGAAATTGCTCCGCCACCATTGACTTGATCCACAGCTCTACATCTCTGCATAGCGGGGAAAGAAACCACGACATGCAAGCCGATCCAGCCACGTAGAGGACTGTGATCTGGGTCACATTCATGACACAAAGGGCGCTCGTGACTCCTGATCCTGTAGAGCGACGTGGCGCCTCACCGTAAATGAACGTCATTGTTGTCAAGCTCTCATCAAGGATGCGCAACATTTTAGCGACTGAAAGGCAACTTGGATAATAATCCTGACAAATCGTTTCAGTATGGAACAAGCATGCGTAATTTTATTGCGCAGTCGCAGTAACGCGAATCAGCATTTGCGTCACAAACCAGGGAATGATGACGCGATGCGCGTTTTGTGATTGCCTACTGGCCATAGGCGGTTGCCGAGCACAACTCAAAACAACGCAGTCACACGAAGAGCCCTTCGCAAACAAATTGCTGCAGGCAACGTTTATGAGGCAATGATAGGCCATGTATGTGCCACACACAGTTGCCAGGAGGTGATTCCAAACATTCGGAAACGGATGCGACTGTCTCGTCATGCCATGCACAATTAACGCACAATCTCTGACCACCGCTGCATCATTTCAGCATTGACATTCAGTAGCAGGGTTCGAAGCTTGAGCAAACCTGACAGAGGCGATGCGGTGACCACGCCTGAGAGCACCAGCAGTGCGTGCGACGCCGTGAGCATGCTCGCCACCAGGTTCACTTGTCGGTAGGCCTTGTGTGGCTTGAAGGTGAGGATGGTAGAGTGGTACCACATCATCGTTATCAGCGCCCCCACGGATCGCAAGACCTCGTATTCAAGAACGCTGTCCCTTGCCACCGTGAGGAGGCAGACAGCAAGGAGCGCAATGGAGGGGTGGAGGATGCTCATGATCATGGTGGGGCCGGAGCGGTGGAACCCAACGACAAAGGTGACGTACTGCGGGCACCAACAAACATGGATGGGGTCGTCTCTTTGGACGAGATCACGCTTCCGAATGCGCATCACACGATTGCTGACAAAGGCAAAAGGTCACGGAGGAAAATTGTCACTAATGCGTGCGTCAGCGTCCACAGCATGCTGCGCAAAGTACGCGAATTTTCGGTGAATCTGATTCACTGGTTAGAGAAATATTCTGGAGCATCTGCGTGGATTCCTGCTGCTGCTGGAATCGACTTTTGTGGACTCGAGGTCGTGAATGCCTCCACCCGCGGCGGCCACGTGCACCAGACTTGCCTTTCGGCGCGCCGAGACAGCGAAATTTGGTGATGAGCTGATCTTCGCGACTCCGTACATCACGAGCGGAATCCCTGCCACGTAGGTCAGCAGAAAAAAAGCAGCGGGTATGCATAGTCTCCTCCACGTTCCGGCAAACGTGTAACACCTAACGTAGGGCTCCGCTTCCATGTAGTGGTTTCCCGTTGGATCACATTTAACGCAATCAAAAACCGAAAGCACTGCCAAAGAAAGAGGCACCTATTTGCAGAAGCGGCTCCATTTAGGCATTATATTGGGAATCACATCATAGAGTGATGGATACCAATGTTCGTGGTTTTGAAATCAACACTCAGGACATGTAGGCACTGAAAATAGCTGTTCTTCAGGAATAACGGGTACAGACGCATGACGTGTATTAAGCTAACTTCAAAGGCATGCAGAATTCCGGAAGTTGTAGATTGTAGCTCACCTGGAAAAATTGCATATAGGCTAGCATTCCACCGCATACCCAAACACCAATGGCACTGCCAGTTTTCTTTGTCTTGGTTTTAGCTTTTTCGGATCGGGAATCTGAGTCTCCATCCTCGCGATGCGCTTTTAGTCTCTTGTATGAAGACTTCGCTGTCAATTCCTGATTTCCCAACATGGACGATATTGTTCTGACAAGGGAACCACGCTTCGCAGGGCCAGTTTCACTACCACTTGCACTGAAGCCGCTGAAATCCGGTTCATGGGGTTTCTGCTTCGCAATCTTCTGCGTTTGTCTTGGCCGCTTTGCTGCTGCGCACACGACCCCAGCGGCCCCTGTGATGCCCAAAGCAGCGGCCGGAAGGCTAATTGCAATCCACCACTTCAGCTCTGCCAGAGATCCTCCATCAAACAGACAATCCAAGCGAAGGAATTCCACGTTGAGGAGCAGGACTTGCACCGCCTGGCATCAAACGTGAAACGTCCGTTTGGAAAAGCTTAAGGCAAGTGCACCGCATCTTTGGCAGGCAAAAAACACTGGAGGTTAAGGTTCCGTGCCTCTTATTGTATTCAATGTAATTTGAGAAAGCACTCTGCCTGGCGTTTTTGTTGTGCGCTCAGGACTTGAAACAACAACGCACGGCACATCGCTGCATCAGTCGCCAATAGTGCACTGCCGCTTTGCAGTGAGTGACTTGCTCATAGGATCTTGACATACTCATGGTTATATTTCCGTAATTTACACTACAAAGTGAATGTATTGAAAATTGTGAAAGCCCTCATTGGTATGGTGATCTGAGTAGAATAATTTACTTCCAAAAGTAAGTGACAAGTGGCGACCCTCGGCAGGACCCTGTGGGCTCCTGTAGTCAGCACTTTGCTTGCCGTAAATTGCTTCCACAATCACCACACCGTTAATCTGCTGTGCGCATTGCACGCGCGCTTGGGCAATTGCGCTCTTGTGATGCATAAAGTTTTCATTCAGATGAGATACTTTGGTCATTTCTATTGACCACATATCAAATATGTGCAAATAAATTAGGGTGTGCTTAATTTGGGCCAGTCTCACCTCAAAGTATCTGCGAAAGTCCCTTGTCCATCCAATTTGAAATTGACTAGCGGCGGCAGAAACTTGGGCAAACAAGGCGACCAAATACACAGAAGCCCACAAAGCCGCACGCCCGAACATGCGCGACACAACGCACGTGCAGAACACCACGAAGTATATCATCCAGTACACCAAAAGAACGCCCTTGGAAGGGCACTGTTCGCAAAAAGTGAGTGATCGAAAATACCCCGGGGAGCATTTGCTGCAGGCCTCGCCTTTGTATCTGCAAATGGGGGAATGGAGAATGTAACACATGCCACAGGGTGCTTCAACCAAGAACGACGGATATGGTCAAACAGTTCTCAAGCCAACATGAATTTGCGTGCGACTAGTAAATGGGGACAAAATCTGAAAAGGAAGCTGCAAAAGCACATGGCAACTCGGCAGGTACATTGCTTTGACGGCTGCAAGTACGACTCAACAGCAACGGTGCTGTGCTGCAATCACTTGTTTGTGCACAATCTTCGATCAATGCCCTAGAATCTGCGGCGCTGTGATGCGCACGACGAGCATTTCGACTACCCAGTGCTTTCGGCAGGCATGAAATACAATCTCCATCTCAAACGCCACCTTTCAGGGCATTTCAATCGATATGCGATTCTGCAGATTAAGCGAGGAGCAACGCGAGCGCCAGGGCGTCCGCGCCGCAATGCTTACCCCGCAGCGCACGTTTGGTGATTCTGAACATCCTCCATTGTGATCTTTGGGGCGTCCGATTCGTGGTCGAGCCCTATGCACGCCTCTTTAGGATGGCATTCGCGCACATAGGCCGCCCCGTCTGCAAGTCCGGTGACCCAGTGACCTGCAACGGGGACCACTGTCACAATTTATCCGTTTGGCTAAACTTGTGTAAACGGACAGACCTATAATCGCGTGAAAGGATTACTTTTTGTAGATCCATTTTCGACAACAGTAGATAGTCGCAAGGCACCTGCCAACAGCACTAATCACAGATATCTAGCACAACTCCACTTGGTTAGAAGCATGGTTGCATGTTTGCAGCATGGGTGCATCAGACTCGAAACTGACCATGGTAGCACAAGGGGGAAAATGAGGCGTGTGCTGGACGCAAGGTGCAATTGCTACAGCGCAGATCACATCGCCAAGTTACCATCAAGAGGATATGGAAGCTCCTGCCCAGTTTCCATACAAGAAGTCCATGTCAAATGGCCAGGGCACTTGTGGCACTCTCCGTGCTTTCCGTAGTTTGATACAGTGCAGAAGCACTCGTCGATGCTGGAACTACCAAGGTCGCTGTGCGACCGGGGAGGGCAGGCGATGCACTCCGAAGCCCCGCTTTCTGGCTGATACTGGCCGGCTGGGCATAGAGTGCATGCGCTAGCACCCGCATTGCTGAAAGAGCCGGGAAGGCAAGGGGCACAATGTGTTTCGTCATGAAACGCAGTCTGCAAAGTACAAACGCACATGTCACAACCAGATGCGGTCAGTGCAATCAACATACAACGCAGTCGTAGCAATCAGGTGCGATGGCAAGCAGGACACAGGGCAAACATCGCGAATCGACAATTTTCCAACGCGATGCCCTCCCAAATCCTTGGAACTTCAAACGGGCCACAAAGCAGGTGAAGGAAGGGCGCCGCACGGCTTCAGCGGCATTTGTGGTTTCAGGGTTACGCAGGCCTGCTTACCACCCGAGCGACCAGCATGCAGAAATTGTGATGACATGTACCTAAATTTGCTTCAACATTCCGTGCAAACGAGGATTTGCGTGTGTTTCGCAATTTGCTATGCACACGAACAGATGCAGCCTGAGTGTGAATTCTTGCATCTCAAACCAGATGCATGGCCTGCGATGCCAATCCAGCCAAATGGAGCTGCCGCGGCGCATACACGCAAGCTACTGAGATTGCATTTGCCTTGCCACATTTTGTGTGAGAATCGCAAACGTGCTTATTGGCAGAACAAAGCACTGGCATATTTCCAGATAACTTCCCAGATCATAAATTCTCCACCCAACACCCTCTCGGGGCGTTGCGCCACCTGTGCAATGCCCAACCTGTACAGGCAGCCGCACCTATGTTTACCAATCGGGTACCTGCGTTCCTGGGGGACAATGGCGGCAGGAGTGCATGCTCAGCCCAGGGGTGATGTCAATTAGTTCTCCTTCGTATGGAATACTGTAGAAGCCTGGCTCACAGGTCACATTTACGTCGATGACGGCATCGTTGCTGTACAAGTCGCCGTCGAACACTCTGTAAGGAATGGATACCACGGGTGAGCCAGCTATCCCGGCACGGGCGTGGAAGTACACGACGCCCTCGCCATTGAACATGTCCACCTGCGGGGAGGCATGGGAACATGGGCGTCGAATTTTCGAACCGACATGTCCCATCGGCACAGGGAAGCATCTGTACCGGATTTGGCGATGGTGGGAGCACAATATTTACCTTTCCAATCTTCGGTCTCTCCGCTCCGAAGCAAACAAAATGTGAAGAGAGCAGAAGCCAATTTTGTGCAACGCATAGAGTGGCTGAAGGGAACAGTTGCTTCAATTAGTGTTGTATTACTAGAAGTATGACTGTCATCGCTGCTATCCACATTGGCCATTGAAATCAACCAATCAGTAGGAGTGTCAGTATAACATTTTTCGCCTGCGGATGTACTAACGTCAACCTGTGTCCGCAAGATGGACATTAAAGTCATTTGCTCCCTCTTGAAGCGGTAATTGACCACAGCCTTCGGAACAGCACATAGAAGAATGGCTCGAGCCACAGCACATGTCGTAAAGAATTGGCCGAAGTAAAGAAAATAATATTTCATGACGAAATAAACGCTGGTTCAAATTAATGCAAGTGTTCGTTATTGCACAATCGACTTAATTGGATTCATGTCCTAGTCGTGGTTCCGAAGACACGCAAGTGCTCTGAACTCATCAGCCAAATTGCTGCTGAGCACAGGATTCGCTCCTAGCTTCTCCATCACCTTCCCCCATTCCTTCGACGATATTGTCACCGTCTCCAATTTATGATCTTGGTCTTCTTCCAGCTTGGAAAGCAGCCCGACGCCGTCAGGCAAAGCGCCCATGTCGATGAGGCCAATGAGCGCTGTGCTGTCTTTGTCTTCTGCTCGCAGGGCGACGCGAGATCCTCCACCCACGTCGAAGGGAGGGGTGGAGTACACCATGGGGGCGTGGATCTCGACGTTTTTGGCCCTTGGCGCTTGATTCACTCGAACAACAGTCACATCAACCACACCGCTCCGAGTGCCAAGATCGCTCTGCCCCTCCACTTGCATTTCAAAAGTGAACTGGTCAGTGCCGTTCGCCTCTTCGCTGGGAGTGTACCTACAGCGGGCGGAGAGGTGGCTTGAAAATGGGCAATCGCGCTCGGTCAGTATTGGGATGAAACAGGCAGTACCAGCCATTGAGACCATTGCAAACAGATTCCAGCACATTGCGCGGCCATAGAAATGGCGCTGAAGCGCATTTCAGAACACAGGCTTATTCGGTATCAAGGACATCGGTGAGCATGTCAATACATGTTTGACGTAGCTTGTTCGACATTGGAGAGCTGCGGTCGAGCAGGAACTAGCATCACGTTCCAAGGATTTTGGTGAACTTCTCTGACTTCAGTTCACCAATTCAGGGATGTGCTTTGTATCATTAGCGGATGTGGTGCGCAAGTTCCCAGGCACTATGCACAGAAGCCCATTCGCCCCTCGCAGACTTGGCCTTTACGTTCTGTTTTACATTGTTACGCATAAACATGTAAACGCAGAGAAGGGGGCATTTTTCCGGCTGTATTTACGTACTTTTGCGTCTCACTGGGGCACCCGGGACACATGATAAGCTCGTGTGCCATGATCAGTTTTCCGCCCTCCTCGAGCACCCGCAACACAGCGTTCACCTTGCCCTCGGAAAGCGGAACGACGTCGTCGAACAAGAGTTCATTTCTGCCCACTCCAATGCGGCTGACTGCCACTCCCTGGACTCCCTATGACTGTGTGTACTGTCTCTATGCATGCTGTATTTACGTCTGCAGTTGCGCATTATTAGGGAAGAAACTGTTTTGGTTTGGATACGCTTAACGTCAAATTGACGTTGCTCAGGACCCCGCAATTCTTATTTCGATGCCAGGATGACTGAGCAACATTACCTAACAATAGCATACAACTTTAAAACAGTTTTAAGAGAAAAAGCAACCAAAATTGTATCGATTGCAGTGATTTGAAAAATGGGGTACCAAGAACGATGACAGGCGATGAGAGCGGCCCAAAAGCCTGAAAATTGATCCATTTTAAAGATTACCTGGATGACCGAAAGTTTGAGGAAGATTTTGCAAAAAATTATGAGCTAGTTGCCGCTGATCAGCGGCGCTTTTGTGCATCTTTCCATATTATTTTGATTTAAGTACATAGCCTCTTAGCGTCAATGGATGGCACCCACCTCCCCCTCTTAACGTCAATCTGACGTTAAGCGTACCGAAATCAAAGCAGCTTTTTCCCTTAGGCCAATTTGTGCGTAAAGGTGTCAAAACTATTTTTGCGCGTGAAAACGTAAATGATATCAATTTTACAGCGTAAGTACCAAGGTTGGCTCCTCGGATGCCAATACTTGTGCAAACAACAAACTGCCTAGCTCCGGGAGGCCCCAAGGGACCTCCAGTTTTTGGTTACTTAAGTCACTAGAGACACAGCACAGCAACCAAAAGTACAGGTGATGATAGACGCAATTAGCAAATTGCTCACAGCTTCAATTGAGCCCTGATGAAACACCCACAAACAGCGAATTGACAATACCATTCCCCCGGGAAGGGGGTATCACTCACTGAAAATGAGCGGCCGGTGTCTCTCCTTCTTCACCCGTGGGAGGTGCACATGTTTCCACGTCCACCACTTCAGCGCCGCCGCACAAGAATTTCACAGATCCTTGTGTTGAATCACCAGCTACCGTGTACCTGAAGATCTTTGGAATTCGTTACCTTGGCGCCTTTTCATTCCCCTGTACTTGAAATAATGGAAAACGTGGCCCCCAGCATTGAGATTGTTACCGCGGCATCAAGTTACAAATTCGCGATCAGCTGTTTTCAGCAGCTCGAATACAGGTGGTAGTGTGTGGAATGGACAACTCTGTGCCAGCGATGGATAGTATCCATTGGATACTGGTCCGCACTATGGAACTTACATGCATAACGGAAGGGGAATCACCAAGGAGCACGCGCTCAATGCAGAGCAAGTGTGATATTTCCCATAATGCCAGATGTCTAAACAGGGATCTTTCAAGTACTTTTACGGGAGTACGCTGAAGCATTCCAGAGCACTTGGCCAACGCAGGCAAGAGCATAACAGTCCAATCAAGTCACTGCGGGATTGGCCGGTGCAAGGTTGTGGCCGCACCTGATGCTGGTTTCCAAATCTGGGTTCAGTGTTGAAGAACGATCTATTTTGCCAACGGCACCGTCCTCACTGTACAAGACGTCGCCTTCCTCGTCGCCTGCCGATGAAATCGTAAAATCGCCGTTGTGGGTCACAACGACAGGATCCGGAAGCGGAATGGGAATGCCGTCGAACTCTCCCACCTGTCTGGTGGACACAGGCGCCAAAATAAACCGCCACAAGCCCACCAAAACATGGAGGCACTGCCATGCAGTATACAATTTTCTTGGTAAACATGGTTGCACACCAAAGCATAAAGGCATTCCCTAAATATTTGCTCAGAAGCACTGTGCTTGGAACGAATGTATGTTGAGATAGTTGGTCTGTCATGCCCTTCTTCGTACTCAGCTCAAACCAATGGAAAATGCTGGAGCCATTCGATCGGCGCATGTATGAATAAAGCACAGATGCCTAGTGACTTTATGGTATTTACTAGAGGCCTAGGAATGCATACCTATCAAAGCCATCGTCAGCTAAGCAAGAAGTATTTCTTCCGCACATCAGTTTCACTTTCCACTCACTTGAAGCATAGCCAAGTGCTTTCAGGGGCATTTTAGCATCAACAGTCGTAATGGAGTGAAACTGCGTCATGCATCCGCGCACGCTAGGATGATTTGTGTCCATCTTCGAGGATTGCATGTTCTCGCGGATGATAAGGTTGTGTGAAGTTGACTGGAATATAGCAACTTACATCCATGCTTCTGATGTGCTATTTAAAGGTCGGTTGACTTGATCCCCATCCCGAATACCTCCTCCTCGAGAATCATCCACCTGTGGCGTGTGTAGCGACAACACGTTCGTTGCATGTGTCAACACATGGAATACGCTGTCCTTTGGACACATGAGGCAATAGAAGGAACAGTTGCAGCAACGCTGTTCCTTCAACAGAGTTCTCAAAAGGCTTCCCACTAAAAATAAAACGAGTCCTGGAAACAATGGCAATATTTTAAACGCCGTTGCTCAACGAGCTGTGTTATCCACCTTCCTGGCAGAACAGGGTCATCCTCCACTGCGCGGAGCACAAAAGAATCGCTGCGCTGGTGTCAGCAGTGTCCATCGATTTTCCAGGGGATGCTCAACTCAGTTTTCCAAATAGAATGTCCCAATGTGGTGCGATGCTTCAGAATATCAAAGAACCGCGAGTCGGAAGCCAAGGTGGCACGAATCCACCAGTAGAAAAGCGCAGCACCATGTACAATGAAACTGGAGTGCTTTGGTTGCTTGGCACCTCCTCGTTGCTCGACACATACAGGGCGGGAGCGCTATAGCGCCTCCAGTTAGGTGGCGATAGTTGATATTGTATCTTGGATTTTCTCATGGGCTAACGTGAAAAAATCTCGCATAGAAAGGAGCGCATATTTGCCACGTCAGCCAAACTAAGGCGTTTCCGGTGGACTCACAAGAAGAAACATGCCTGTCGGAACACAATAAGATGCACACGGCTGTGCTGGAGATGCTCTCAAGAATCATAAGTTTCAGAGGTCCCCATTGAAAATTCTGATTCTGAGAGAAACAACACGTTCAACTGCAGCTCCGCAAAAACATACGTTAATGAAATTATGGCGTCCACCAAGTGGTAGCTCTTCGGAAAGAACATTTGTACTTGGAATACGAATGGCATTAAACAATTTGAGAGCGATTTCCTTGGCAAGAGCCTTCGCTTTGTCACCGTCCCCACCATGTACTCCAATTTGTCAATTCCTTGGAATCCAGGATCTGGAACGTAAAAAAGTGTGTTCGGTGTTGCCACCCTTGCCGTTCCATTCCTGGGAGCTCTGGATATTGTGTACCTGTTGGCACACAATGGCTGATGCTCAGCAGTGCAGCAAAACGCATCGGACATTGAAGTGAAGATTTGACTCGAAAATGGCGAAAATATCTCTAGTGCAAGGTAGTCATAGCACAAACACAATACGGCTCCGTTGGGTTCAAGCAATAGGCGAAACTCGCAAACCCAGCGATAAATACATACACACCATTCGCGTCAGCACACCACCGACAACTTGCTTAGCACACATTCCTGGGAATTTTTGCAGTTTCATCGGTGCTATTATACAGTACTTTGGCATATATGCTCTTTTACTGCAGATTTCATCGCTGCAGCCATGCTCTGCTTACTGCAGTTTTCTTTGCCATTTCAACTGCGGACTTAGATGCAGTGACAAATTGTGGTGAACATTTTCGTGCCTTAATCTGTCTCCGTCGGGGTCTTTGCCAGGAAGAGGGGCCATCAAAGAATACGGAGGTTGCAAATTCATGCGCTCCTCAATGGATTCAATATCATTGGGGCTGACGAGCTGATCGGCAGATTTGAAGAAGACATGAGAACCCCCTTGACCAGCGATAGGTGCCTTGTTGATTGGTCGTATGAGCACATCGATCTCCAGGAATGGAGTGGCAACCTGTGCAGAATCCCAGGATGTTTAACAGAGTGAACCGACAGCACAGCAATTCCCAACGCTCAACATGAGAGCCCAGGAGGTCCAGCTGCAATACAACAAGGCACACTGATGTGGAATAGCGGACTCGGAAATGACATCTGGTAGAATTTTCCAACTGCAAAATATAGAACTGTCAGTGCCGAACATGTTCCCTTGACTTACTTTAAGTGAGCTAATAGCTAAACTGAGGGCCATCCTGCAATCGAAATTGCATCATGTTAGCCAATCGGTTGACAGGCGGCTGGCTAACATGGGGTCGTGACCCGATTCTGAAAAGGCACACGGCGCGGCATACGTGGTCCATGGCCTGAGGCACTCATTTCAGGGTTGTGGATGCGGAAAGGCAATGGAAGGCATTGTGCCACTACTTGTGACGGTGTGCGAATTCCTTCAAACCACGTAACTCAATATGTTCGAGCCTATTCGTGCAGCGCAACTATGCCAGGCAATGCCACGGATTCCTAGAAAACCCAACAGGTGGTCGCAGAGATCCCAGGAACGGCGTAGCTCAGGTGAAGTGAATTGTTGAAAGTTGTGCAGCTATTTGCAGTGCAAATAGCTGCACAACTTTCAAAGTGCAAATTTTGCACGCAAGAAGAGCTGGGGTTGCAGTGCATCTATTCAGCAAACTGCCGCGCTACTTCAGTTGGACGGTGAATTTCACGTTGTCAATCAGAAACAAGGGTGCCCTTGTGGGAGAGAGCAGCAGAGACGCAGTTCCGGTCACGTGCGATTGCCTACCTGTACTCCGCCATCCTCGGTGATGTTAAATCCAACTACCAAGAGAATATCCTGCATCGCAGGATGAACTATTCAACCATGTATCAGACAAGCCCGTGCTGTTCCCAGAGAGGTCTGCTTGCAGACCAGATATGCCAACAACAAACAAACGCGATCGCTGTCACCCGCCCTAACATGCTTGCACAATTTATTCCAACGGAGCAAAAAAGGGCAAAGAAACAATGAGGACAAAAGGAAATGGAAGTGAGAACAAGCACCACTACAGAAATGAGCATCTTGCGCCGCCCCCAGGGGATTTTCCTAAAATTGAGTATCCCAACACCGTTTGATACCCACCAAGGAACCCTACAGGTCCCTGACGCCCTCAAGAACTGGTTCAGGCAGCTCCCACTGCGTAATTTCACATCTTGTGCAAAATTGTCCATTGCAGGCACAGGATTTAGACATATTGGGTAAGCGGCATTAGGAGGGCGCTTGGATCAACTAAGAGTAAAGTGTACGTGACACACAAGACCATATTACAAACAATATTTTTGCCTTGTCTAATTCTGGCTGTTTTCAACGCAAGGACTAATCAAATGTGCCTGACAGTTTCGCCTACAACTTGAAATACTGTTTCGTCTCCAGTACATGCATCTATTGTTCTCTGGGCCCTGGTGGCATTACCTGCCTGACCATTGCATGAAAAAATATTGCACAACCATGAAAATGGCAACTGCTGTTACAATTCTGCCTTCAATAGAAATTCAACAGAAATCGCATTCATTGCAAATCTGTTCGATACTTGGAAATGTCCAATTTCATTAGTTTTTGTTTACTTTGAACGAGGGCACAATCCGGAGCTCAATGCACGCGCTTATTCGCCGCCTTTCTTATGCTCCGATTGGCTGTCAGCTGTGCAATTGCTAGGCCACCATCCAAGACTTGGATTGGACCATTGTCCAGCATAGGTTCTCAATCATGACCATGCGCCAACTGCACCACAAACTCTCCACGACTACAAGAGGCGCCTCCAGCTTAAGGAACAAACGAGTCCCTGCGCTGCAGCTACACCAACCCATGTACACACCTGACCATGCTTTCCAGAGAATAGACCTATGCCATTGTGAGATAAGGAGCAGGTCTCGAGGCCAGCCACGCAGCAGCTGCATTGAATATAAACCGACCTGCTGCCCATTCCTCGGACACCACGCACCGCTGCCAACCTATTGTTCCGTGGACATCAAACTGTATGTTGCCGGCGACGAAACGAGACCTGGTCTGGATATGGATCTCTGCACATGCACGCTAGGTGCTTGGGCAATAGAGTTGATTAATGCAAGCGACAGTGAGAAAGGCAATTTCCCCTCACTCACCACGTCCTTCTCTGTCGCACTGAAAGCTCCCTTCTTCGGTGTGTAGTACAATTTTCCTTCCGATATTTCGAACGCTTCAGCCTTTCCAGGGTGGCAAACAGCTCTGCCACAGCAGCGAGTTTCAGCTTCTCAGCAACAAGTGGATGACAGAGCCGCTTGTGCGGTGCACCTTGCGTTCGCGTACTCCAGTAGTGCGTTTGCTTTAACTGCGACGGTCACCATTTGTGAACGGAGATTTGATGCATGTTTTTTGCCAGTTCATTTGGAATTCCAGCACCTATCATCAGGGTTGTCAGCCTCAAAAGGCGACCAAATGAACCAAGCCCTAGGTGTTCATTTCTGCTGTGTCCCGCTCCAGAGACAATTAATGGGGTGTAATCCAACAATTGCCAAATGTGTTCTTTCCTTCTCGACGTGAGCGCAAATGCAAGACAAGGGGTTCTTTCTACTTTCCAAGTGCATGACTTTCCAAGATATGCGCTAGGCTCAAAACCGGTGCGTTGCCGCGGCCCCAAAAGTGGATGAAGTTGGTGTGGCTGATGGCAGTTAAATCGACCTACTGACCAGCCCAAGTTTGTTGACCATGGACCGATTTTTTATGGTTGCTTGCGAGCGAGCCCCTACAAAATTTGATGGTGCACGAACTTCCTGAGCGGGCAACCCCTGATTTGAAACCTGTTGAAAAATGTCGAAAGTTGTACCTCAAGCAAGAAAATATTTCTAGATTGGTGTGCTCGCAGTGTTGCATCCGCCATACATCATTGACCCCAAAACGCAGATCTGGGGGCCGAGTACTCCTCCCGCGATACATCGATGTTGCGAACTCGTGTTCTTGCGCACAATGTTGCCTGATGCAGTGCACTGTTGTCTGATAGCCCGCCAAGAGCCCAAAGGTCTTTGGCGATGTAGGCACGCGGGTTGCTCACACCACCACCAACATTCCCAGATATTCGTGACTCATGTAGCTGCAGAAGGCAGGGAATAGCTTGGACGACAGTGGCGTGTCCAGAACATTGTGCGCAATGCAGTCGAAGGGGAACTGTCCCCAAGCAGTGGAAGGGGGTATGCCACCGCGGGGTGCCCACTGCAATGCAAGCAAATGGCACAGGGCCGTGCATTTTTCATTGCATCGTGACGGCACCTGAAGTCATCAGCTTGCAGACTGGCGGGAAGCTCGGCCGAAATTTGATCCCCATCCTCCTGTACTTCGAAATTCAGTGATCCTTGAGATACAAAGAAGCCCGGAGTTTCAGCATGACCAACGCAACGTTCGAACTGGAAACACGCAAATGGCCTGTTTTCTTTGTCGTTTTCAAAACGCAGTTTTGTACAAGCGTGCTCCTGTCCATGTTGTTAAAGTATTTGGCTGCTGCTCCATTGGCCTGAAACGACCCTGTAAGGAGTGCGCAAGAGATGCGTGTCATGCCTGTGGCCGGCGCCCAAACAGCGGAAAAGACGAGCGCAAGGGCTGCAGCGAGGTGAAGCATGGTAGCACAGCCTCCAGCGAACCTGTTCGCTGAACAGTGGGTCAGTCCACGAGGAGGCCACGCATAAGCGGCATTTGGAGATGAGGAAATGGGTGGCGTATTGGAATGCGGGACGTCAATCAGCATGTGCATGGTGAGGTGCGAGGAGGCGCGTGGTGACGACTTCTGAACTGGATGTTGACCACCGCCCTTGTGGACACCGCCCAACCAACATGTGGTGTCTGTGGAGAGTCCCGGAGTCGCAGCTGATATAACGCGAATGTGGTGGCCATTCAAAGAAAACTACACGCCAAGCGAACACTAACGCAGAGCCTTACACATGTCATGGTAAGGGCGGCAACGTTTCATGCCCTGCATGGTGACATCATTGTTGAGAACGGTTGCGTTCTGACAAAAGGACAATATTTCAGCTGTCCATCCGTCGCGTCCTGAACAACACAGAAGTATTCGGAAGCCAACTGCACATCGAAACCTGACACCACAGAAGCGGCTCTGCTGTGGAGGACCTAATGGAGACCTGCGATGGCTTGTAGCACTTTCAATCGACAAAAATCACGCATGTGTGCAGATGAAGAGTCGGAGATCAGCATCTGAGAAAACCATGTGCCCACGTGATGCCGATTCGAGCCATAAGCACTTAGTCACAGCAAATTTTGCTGAAAATTCGGGGCAAACAGCAGCAGACACAACTGATGTTTCTTGGTGGGAGGCAAGGAGACCTCACTGCATCCAAAGAGGATCACCTGTTGCTACGCAAACGCTCAAGTTGCTCCAACTGCCTGCAAGTTGCTCAAATCGGCGACTGGTAAGCGCAATTTGGTAGCCCCAAATTGGTAGCGACAACGCTGTGAAGGGATCACGAAGCATAGCTGTGATTGCGCAATTCGGGCCGTGCAAACGCCCGGTGCGTTGCCTATTTGCCAGCAATATGTGTACACAATTTCAGCTCTGACCGAAATGTGTGGAATGGGCAGTCTCTGGCGGTTATGGAAGATAACGAGACAGGCACCTTACTCCAGTGCACTCTCCCAGCCGTATCAGACCAGCATTCAATAAAATTGGTAGCCTAGCCCATCCCCCATACCGGAGTCGCCATCACCCCGTTCCAACACATCGAGCTTTCGCCACTGTGCAGGTGGCACTCCCCTCCTTTTGAGCGGTTGGTGTGTCCATATCCGCCTTGCAGGTGCAAGGGAAGTGTTTGTCCTCTGTCGGCAAATGCAATCAGAAGGATGACTCAGGAGACCCGCAGCTCTGCATTGCTGGAGGGTCTGTCATTTATACCATGGAAGAGGCGGCATCGCTCAGAACCCAACAGGAGACCCCAAAAAGATGGCTCAACACGAAGCAGAAGGTATCGCATCGGCTGCCCTACGGGTGCAGTCCTCGACTGGCAATTGCGTCTTGCCAACACAACACACGCGCAGAGGTTCTTTCGTGCATCGTATGCAGCCTTCATGCCAGCAACCACAGACTGTGGACTCAAACTGACTATCCAACCAAAGCGCGTTCGGATTGCATGCAGCAAAAGTTCCAGCGAAACAACATGAAATACACATCTGCTACTCTGCGAAATTCTGTGACATTCATGTGCCGCAGCTGTGCTTTGCATGAATCGCAGGAGGAAACGTGCCAGTGCCTTGTCAAAGAGCACATCGCACAGCCACCACGCTCCGTTGGTCAGCCACGCATCCAGCTGCTCTAAGGGGCTCCAAACCTAAAAAGCATGACTTGCCAAGCAACTGTTGGCAATGCGGAACACATGAGCTCTCGTGTTGTGTGAATAACAAACTCTCAAACAGAAACTGCCCAATCATCCAGAGAATCTCGCCACTCTACAATTGCAACACTATCCGATACCAGCAGGGGAGGCTGAGCAGGCTGACGACAAGTCGGTGCATCCCGGTGTCAACATATTGGCTGCACATTGGGTGAAGCTGATTCAATTGGCGGTATAGGTGTAATTGTCCCCCTTGCACATCTCAACACAAGTAGCATCGAACAGCTGGCAACGAAGAGCTACCTTCCATTGACACATCTGGCTTGGGTACATCTATATACTGCACAACCGCCGGTGTCATCAGCCTCCATTTTCGCTTCTGTCTCGAGTTCACACCCAGCCTCTTGTGTGCCCGTTTTAAATACCTCTCTTGCTCACCGAGAGAAGAATGACAGGGCAGGCGTGCACTGCATAACGATGGATCACATTCCTCATAGGGGAGTGTCTGGGACTTCCAGTTCCTTGCACCGGTAAAATGGCACAGCCATGACGAGGCGTTTGTGGACACCCTGGCTTGACCACATGGCTCCAAGAATGAGTAAAGATAACCATCCAGCGTCACTGTCCCCGTGCATGTGCAATCAGGGCTGGTAGAAATATCATCCGCAACCTTGTGTAACACACGGTAACATATTTATGCTGCCAAGAGCTTTGCGCAACATCACGCTCAAGAGCTGGTGATTCTAGTAGGTGTAAAGCGCCAAGGGCGCTCGTCTTTCCAAAGCAAGGCTAGTTGTGCCAGCTTGCCCCTTAGGCACTGCTTGTTTCTGTGATCTATTCCTGATATTCTAGAGCCAATTCACCACGCGTTCTATAACCCACTGGCCTCACCCCCTGCAACATGCAGAGCCACACCGAAATCTTGCTGTGGAAATCTACAGAATGTCGTGGATGTCTTATGTTGGGGGCGCGCTGGGGTATGATCACAACACAAGAAGCTGTGCATTGGGTTGAATGCTGAATGCAGTCAGATTTTCTATGTTGGTCCATTTGCTTTGTTGGGGGCATTCAAGGACACAACTTTGCAGATTGACATTGCTGTCAGACCAGATCGGCCACTTGCATGATACTGCACAGCATGCAGAAAAAAAAGGCATTGTTACACATACACAAACACTTCATCTGTTCAAAGGCCACTGGGCACCTACAACATACTCCACAGCTTCCCGAATTCCCATGGCCAATTGTATGCATCCTCGAGGTGGAAAAAAGGGACATCAAGACTGTCTGGAAAATGGGGAAAAATCAGGAGCCCCCAACAACTATCACAACAGTAGTGGCGGCACCTATGGTGATAACAAACGCATCTTCCACGATGCCAAAATAGTTGAGAGCTCATTCTGTACGCTCACATCAAAGCTGTGGCTGCACTGGGGAGGTCGAGTCAGATGCGATGGCATCTGCCAACCAGACTCTGAAGCCATTTCCTGGTAGTCCACGACCCATCGTCGTATGGACACTCCAAGGTTTCCACACTCCTTGATTATTGCCCCACAGAAGGCGCCACAAAGCAATCCGCCACACACTCCTGGGGGTCGATGTCCACAGCTCATGACTCAGTCCTCTGAGACTGGGGCCCTGCAAAAAGGAATGTGTGGGCACAACGCTGGTGTCACGAGCCTACGACTCGACTCATTTCCAGACCAGTGGCCAGCCACTGTGGAAATACTCAGAACAATCAATGGTGGTCTTCCACAGCAAGGAGTTGTTTTTGCTAGTCGGGCGGAATACATGCACGAGATATGGCTTCCCCCCACCCCCACCCCAAAAAGAAAAAAGGCATGCGGACTTAGCATCCTGACTGCGGCGCCTTTACATCGCCCACGGGTTCGGAGACACCAGCGAAGGAGCGGCAACGTCCCACAGCCCTAGATCACGGACTGTTGAGGCGTGTCTATCAAAGCACACCATCAGGCACAGCGATCGGCACGTCAGCCGCCTTTCTGCGCAGCGGCCAGCCACAACCAGGCAGCAACACACAGGCGGCATCAAGCCCCCGCAAAACGACCAAACTCACTTGAATATCTTGACGAATCCGTCGTGGGCTTTGTCGTATTTCTCGGAGTGCTTCTCTTCAGGCTGGGCCGTGCGCCGCCTCTCCTCCGCGTCTTCTTTCAGGAAGTCCCGCTCCGGCTGCACGTTCACGTCGGGCAGCTCCGGCTCCTCGTGCTTCTCGGGCAACGCCTCGAAGGCCACATCCTTGTCGGGGGCGAACGCCTGGCCACCATACTCGGTGGCCTGGGCGTCGGTGACCTGGCCAAAGATGGCGACGAACTTCTTGTGCTTCTCGTCGAGCACGAGGGGCTCAGCGGATGCACCCTGCAAAGATGTCAGAAAATCGGGCGGCGTCAGTGGACCACCGCCCAAAAGTCTCCCCGGCAAACAGCGGCGGGGCGCCGCCGCCCGGCGCTCCATGATGTCACGAACCGTGGGGGCCGGAAAGGGCGACGCCTCCGACACGGGGGAGCGGCGCGCAGCCCCGGCGATCACCTTGCTGGGCAGCTCGCCGGCCTCTTCCATCAGGCTGGGGTGCTCCGCCTCGGGCATGGGCGGCTCGGGGAGCTTGTACTCGGGCGCCTTCTCCGCCAGTTTGTCGAAGGTGAGGCCGGACAGCGCCTCGTCGCGCGCTTTGTCCGTGCTGCCCACGGGCATGCCCGTCCCATCCCGGTCTGCGGGGACGGTGTTGAAGAGGGCCGCGAACTTGCGCTCCTTCTCCTCATGGGTCTGCGGCTTCGCGGCCATCGTCCTGCGCCAACTGTGTTCAGCAGACGGCTGGGGCCCCGCCACACGGAGTTGTGCCTTCAGCGATCGCGGGTGTTGGCTGGGTTGCGCCTCTGACCTCGGCCTCAGAGGGATCCCTCATATACAACAATTGAGGACGGCGTGGCGTCAGCCAGTCTGAGTGGTCCCCCGTGCGCGCCTCCGTCGCACCCCGAATGTACTGGATGGGTTCCTGCACCATCACGCGCGGTAGCGGCACGTGACCTACGCGCTGTCGCGGATCCTGCCCTATGGCGTCCTCACATGACAGTGAACACCATTGCGGCGCCCTGTTCGTGTGTTACTCATCGCAGCAGACCTGATCGTCGTGGTACCTTGGATGGATCGGTGGCCAGCGTGGGCGCTGTGGGTGGGGCTGTTGGGGACTCAGGTCGACAGAGACCCGATCTTCAAGCAGCGTAGGATTTTCCATTCCCCAGTGTAGTGATTGTCTCCAAATCGGGCTGACTCAACAATCAAAACAACAGCGTGCACCGTGCAGCTTTCAATTTCTACAGGGTAACGCGCGATGGGTCGATGCCTTGAACAACCCCAAATTTCCAAGACCCGATTTTCGGCTTTTTTTCTGAGCCCAAAGTTCAAACACGTTGATGTGCATCGAATGGACATAAGGGGAAACGGCCGCGCACGAGTGTTGTGACAGCAAAGGCTCCATGGAACCGCGCGGAGCACATCCTGTCGCATCTCCTGCGACTGTGCACATGCCGCGGGAATGGAAAATTCGCCTGCCTTAATTGTCTTTGAACTCAAACAGGTTTGCAGGTTTGCCACTGCTTGGCCAATTTGGCACGCCCCCCAGTACTGACGTCCTTATTCTGCCCGCCCTTATGCGCGCCACCGCTTGGGACCCCCTTGGCCGGTGTGGCCAGGGGGTGCAAAACCAAAGGCACCCCCAAGCAGTCCTGCCGTTGACCCACTGGTTGTTGTGCCCCGGCTGGGTAGGCAGCCTTGCGAACGGCAGAGTGCACAAGAATTGGCAGCCGAACGCATTTAACCTCTCCGCGAGGCCATCCAGACCGGCAAGGTGCGCTGCTGGAGCACGCGAGCTTGCGTTGATTGACGGCGGGAACTGACGATGCGAACACGTCCATTTCTGCAAGAATGACGAAGAGCGGGCGGGATTTGAGCCCTTCGACTCTTGCATTGACGGCACCTGTCGATGCCACCGCCTGATGCAGCTCCCGCATCAATCCCCAGGTTGCCGGCCAGGGCTTGTCACGGAAGCTCAGGATATTCTGAAACCGTAACGGCCGAAGCGCAGACATCACTGCAGACATTTCTTGCGTGGGCAGTTGCCAACGGTATGCTGCCTGTCGGGCTGATTTACATTGTTGTGATGAACAGCCATGAAACTGCAATTTGCATCCGCAAGGAAAAAGGGAGCCCTTGCTGTTTAGTCCCAGGGCTTTCGTCTTGGATAATCCATTGAAGGCAGCTTTGGCTTTGAATGCGGCCTTTGCTTTGGCGCTGCCGGTCATTGATGTAGGGTGCCACTTTGGTCTACAAAACAGACCTCATAGGTACCGATTCCAGAGAATTGGTAGACAGTGCCTGTGCAAGTGGCGTTTTCATATGCTGCATTTTTTGACACGTGGAGTTTGTCACACACATAGTATTGCCACTGCATAGCAGTGGATTGCACCACTGCATTGCACCATTGGACACAATGATGACTTAAGGTGTGAAATCAAATCAAATATCCGATGCAAGGTGTCATCCTGTAATGCAAGGTGTCATCCCAACAGCACTGCAAAGCGGCTATTTCCACATGGTGTGGCAGCTTGTGCAAAGATTGTCTAAATGCCTGGTATAGGAGATTGCTATCAGAAGCAGAGACTATCATTCTTCATGTCCCCATTGGTTGTGCACAGTGTGACTTGGCTCAGCCGCTGACAAGCCAAGTCTTTAAGCTGGGCAGACATCTTGGTAAAACTATAGACACCATGGCTGACACATCGCCATCATGCAAAGCAATTAAGCTGTCAACTACTTTGCATATATCTACTGTGTACTGCGTGTTTTGTTTGTATTTCCCTTTGCTCTTGGTGCATAGCACTTGGCACCTGAACATTCCATATTGCTGGTCTTCATCTTCTGTGATTTGTCGTCATTGCCCAGGTGTTGAAGGCATCGGCACAGAAGAATCCAACATTGGATTGTATGAGGCAGTTGGGGGTGAACGAGGTGTTGTTTGTGTCAAAGATGTTCAATGTGATGAGATTGTGATGCGAATACCTCTCTCTGCTGGCATCATAGACTACAAAGAAGATGAGGAGTCAAACCAGTTGTTGTATGAGGTGGGTTGAGCACTTCTGACTCTGCCACCTTGTTCTATTGCAGAAGAGGCCTTTCAAGCAGGAGGAATAATGTCCCAAAAAGTAGGGCCAGCAATGTCATTCACTCGCTATTTGTGTCCTTGAAAATCTCTTGTTGTGGATTTCGATCCTTCTGTTTTGACGATAAATGTTCAAAGGCAAAAGATTTTGCCAGGGCTTGCAGCATATTCTAGAACAAAGTACTTGTCAACGCCATTTGGACAGCCCACGTGCAATGCCCACCTTCACTGCTGCAGTACATTGTGGGTGTTATTGTTGTCAGCCAGAGCTTGCCACGGATGCTTTCCCAATTGGCCTTCCAAGAACTACTTACAGGGGAAAAATCTGACATGGTACTCTCTTTCCCCATTGAACTTGCCGCAGCCAGTTGGCAATAACTTAAGCTGTGCTGGATGTTTATGGAGTAGGAGGACTCAGCCAGATTGCTTACTTCTGATGTTTTATTTGCAAGGGGGCCCCCTGGAGTGTGCGCCTGGCGTGCAAGCTTCTGCGCCTCAAATCAAATGGAGGAGGCTCCCCATGGTCACCGTACATTAGCGTGCTTCCAAGGAAAGTGCCCTCTGTACTACAGCGGTTCGAATGGGAAGACATCAAGGAAATAGAATATGGGGATCTTTTGCGGAAGTTGGACTATGAGACTTGGCTAGTCTCCTATGCTTGGCAGAGATTGGATTCGGCTGCAACTGGTGGAGCCAGCAGAGATGAGTTTGAATGGGCGATGTCGATTGTGCATTCCAGGACATTTGGAATGGCTGCCAAGGAGGGTGAGACGTCATGCAGCTTCAACAGCAGAGCAGCCATCATCCAGTTCTCCACAATGTGTTTTAACAGTACTGTTTGGGAGCCAGCAAACATAGATAGCTTTATGTGAATGTGATGTGTTTTTGTGTTTGCCAATCAAACCACCGCTGTGAATGCCATGAGACTCTCCTGTTGCATATTCACATATTTATGTTTGTCTTTCCTTCGCATAAGAAGATTTCCATCAATGCATTGTCTGCTGTTCCCTCTGAAAGAAGCCTTGGACGCCTCAAAATGCCGAATGAATTCTGCACATGTGATAGTCTTGTGCCTGTGCTTGTGTAGGTGGTGTTGGCTGCCATATGCTGCTTCCCCTGGCTGATATGTTGAATCATGCTGGGGACAGAGTCCCAGGACTATTCCGGTGCCCATATGAAAGAATGGACAATGTGGAATGGAAATTTCAACCATCACAGCTGCACCCATCAGATTGGGAATTGGTGGTGAGTGCTATCAGGAACATCGACAAAGGAGAAGAGGTGGGTCAAGCTCATTCCCATGTGGTGGTTTGATGGCCTGCCTCTGGGGCGGGTACTGCAATTTCTGATTTTGAAGTTTTCCCTTGAGGATGTCTTCGCTCCTTGTTTCCGAGCACTGTTGCCCGTGCTTGAATTTCCATTCTGCATTTGCTGCTCTCCAGGTGCTCTTGTCATACGGCGAGCGAAGCAATGACGATTTTTTCCTCCACTATGGATTCGTGCCTCCGCACAATCCTCACGACGAAGTTGTGTTGTTTGGTGACTTGGAAGAGGCAGTGTCGTGGTATTTTGACAATTACTTGTTTCAGGTATGGCCCTTGCCCACCGTCCGAACGCCTGCATTCCAAACTCAGTGAGCACCGCGGAATGTTCTTGCACTACTAACGCACTAATACGGCAGGAAATTATGGGCTTGCAAGGACGTTTTTTGTTGTGGTTGGCAAGGATTTACTTCCTCTGTCCCAGATTAATTGTCGTCTATTTGAAAGGCTAAATTTGTTACGAAGCCAGCCTCAGAATTTCAAAACAAGGTCAAAATCGAAAAGATTGCGTCTCAAAACCCTTGACTATCAATTTTCAAGAAGGAAAAGTGAGACATGACCCTTTGGAGTGCGAGGTGAAGGTAAATTTTGGTCATTTTCGACCCCAAATATTGAGATTTACTATGTAAAAATACCCTTGATACAAAGTACTGCCAAATCCTCAATATTTAATGGATTGACATGAAATTTTTATGGTGTACTCATGACTCAAAAGCACAACCGTAGGCGAAATTTTATTGAAAACAGGTGTGAGCATGATGGAGAAATAGTGCATCAAAATCATAGACGACAATTAATCTGGGACGGAGGAAGTACCAAGTTTATTCTCTGTTGTCTCACAGAAGCTGCCAAGAATCACTGCGGCGGTGTCTTTGTGCACAACGTGATGAATTGAATACAATGTGGCCTGTTGTGGTATTGCCCCAATCAGGATGGCCACTTTCTAGCACGAAATTTATTGAACTGTGAGTTTTACCGAGTCCATCTGTGTATGGGAAACAGTGCCTGTTGAATACAGAGTGTGAGACGACCATGCTGGCCAGCATGTGGCGTTGTTCCTATGGGTTGTCTTGGCGGCCTTGCCACAGCCACATCCTCCCACATTACCTGTGTCTGCTCTTTTCTTCTTCGACTTGAGACTGATGGCAGCTGGTTCTGGAGTACTCGTTCATTCTGTTCATTGTTTGGTCGCTTCATGCAAGCAGGCAGGAGATGACACCAGTCGCCAATCCTTGAGGGAGGCCGCACTGGCTGCAGGCTTGGCTGCAGACACTCAGCAGCAACAGCCTCTCCGGCTGGACGGCAGTGCCGATACGGAGGCAGGCAAGATTCGAGTGGTAGCTGGGAGCTTCGTCGACGGGAGGTTGCTGGAGGCCTTTCAAGTTCTTGGCGAAGGGAGAGGTTTGGGTCCTGTCACAGCTGTGCAAGAGCGGTGCTGGGACATGCTGGCAGAAATGGCGTCTCTGGAGCAGGTGACCAGCAGGATTCATTGGCGGCATAAAATGTCCGAATCAGTGTCTTGTGGCTGTTTTCCTTGGGTATCTCCTGTAGTGCTGCGGCTAGGAAAGAAACCCGTCAGTGAAGGTGATCCGCAAATGTGTCCTCAAAATGCTGCTGGCTCAATGCGCTTATGCCCGCACACCGTTGGCGAACATCAGGTTTTGTGCGAGGTGGTGTCCCTTTGGTTGCAGTTGCTGTTCCTGATGGCTTGCCTCTGAGTGCGCCCTCAGGCGTTGAGACTTGTTGTTGAGACTTGACGTGGAGCACTATGAATATCGTCCAGCAGTTGAATCCCTTCCCTCATACAACAGCTTCTTGTTTAGGCAGCGGTCGTTGTTTGACTGAATTTCGCATGTTGGACAAACAGGACTTGAGTACCCTTTCACAACGTGAATCAGAACACAACTTCCAGTATCTCGCCGAATTCTACACTTCTGCAATTGGTAAATACGTCGAAGCCGGGGGAACTCATCCCAATCTTCAAAAGTCCCGCGGACAGAAGCCATCTGAGAGTGTTGAAGGAAAGCCCGAATCGACAGCAGCAAAGCCCCTTACGCCTGCAAGCCAGGCCGCGATCACATTTCGCGCATACAAGAAGATAATTCTTTGGGACGTCATTTTAGGCCTGGCCAGGCTTTGAAAGGAGCTATGTGCGATGAACAGGAGTGGTGAAGAAAGAGGTGCGTCGAAATTGCGCTGTGTACCCACATTGGTGAGCACAGTTTGACGACCTCACTTGCACAGTTCAAGAGACGTTCATCCTCGCATGGGTGCCTGTGCAATGCACAGTGTGCATCATGCCCCAAGAACTGGCGGATAGTGACGTTGCCCTCAGCGGTGGTGTTGACACAGGAGGCAGGGCTGTCCACTGAGGCGCCTCTGCGTTGCTCGAACCTTGGAGGCGATTTTAGATTGACAGGCAAATCTAAGCGCAGTGCGCCATCGCCCCATGACTGCGCTGCCAGAAGCAGACTGCGGCAGTCAGGTTAGCGATTTCAGTGCCACAAATGACTCATGACTCATTTATATTCATTTTGTTGTGAGAACAACACTCTGGTATGCCCACACGACACACGCTGAAACAGGAGGAGCAAGACATTGGTGGATGCGTTTGCTGTTAATAATGCGGTCTTTGCCCCTCAACAGCATGCATTCGAACGTGCAGGCATGTTTGGTGGTTATTGCAACTTTTTGCCCCTGAGCCAGTCAAGCCGTCCATGTGGACGGCGATATCTGCCGCCCTTGGATGCCTCAATGATCCCCTTGTCGTCACTCGGGACTGGCCACGAGGAACGCAGTGAGAGGCGTCAACAACCTGCCAGCTTCCCACCCATGGGCGTGCCATGGTACTGTTCAGCCGTGAGTGCGATGATGTTCGTGATTGCCAACTCCTGAAATGTGCACTAGCCCCAACAGTTGATAGCCCTCAACGGCAACGGCTAAGGGCCTGCCCAGGTCATCTGTGTGCTGAGCCACCACCCTTGTTGGGATATTTCACTTTCAAAACCCACATGCTGCTCAGGAACGTGGCATACACTGCCATGTCGGCATGGCTTTGAAGGCCGTGTTTGGCTGCTGAAGGCAAGGCTGGTTTCATGTGCGGCAATGAATAAATCCACCTGCGCTTCGCACGTCCATTGAGGCCAACGTTGTGCGTTCGGGTGGCGCCCCAAACAGCACCCTGACATCCATTCCAGGCTTTGAAAGAAATCACAGCGGCATGTGGTGTCGATTCTAAGACAGGATATCGCTTTGCCACGCACGAACGGCAGCTGCGTTGCCAACGTTGATTACGTTTGGACTATATTCGCTAGACGCAATTGCCGTCATACTGTATGGTACTTGCCAAGTTAGTCTCCTTCAAACATCAGCATTGACAGACTCGGTGTATGGAGCGCAGGAGCATTCTGCAACCAGATACTGTCCGAATGCGCTTGCACTTGGTAATTGACTCACCTTCAGTTGTAGTCGCGCGATAAAGCGCCTCTTTCATAACATGTGTCCAGAATGAATGGCAACAACTGCCATTCACCTACAAGATTATGAGTGAGTAACCTTCACGCAGATCAAAAAGGGTACACCGCAGTATTTATAATCCATCTCTCACAGCTCGTAAATCACAATTCATTGTCTATGACAACAGCTCCGGGACGCCAGCGGAGGAGCTGACAGCCATCCGCATCAATGTTTTTCATATCTCCTACCTGAGCCATTCGGAGCACTGGCACAATATCAGGCTCCTCGAGCACAAAACTTCCCAACGCCTTCGTGGCTGGAGATCCGCGCCAGCACTTATGCAGTTCTACAGTTCCTGAAAATGACCGATTAGTACTACAGCACATGAAGCTGCCAATTTCCTCAATTACTGTAGGAGTCACGGGTACCTCAGTACGAAGTCGTCACCGCAGTGTGTTGCATGAAGCACGCTCAATTCAAAAACGATGCTCACTGGCGCATCCGTTTCCGTGCAGGAGACTTCTGACCCCAATAGCACTTCGACAGACTCATAGTCTTCATGCGTCCTTGCCGCCTCCCATGCTGCATCACGTGTCTTGGACAAGCAATATCTTTGTTCCACGGTAGCCTTCTCGACACATGGCAAGTGCATGTCGATAGCGAGACATCGGCATTCGCTCAGTCCTAGTACCAACACAAGCAGGGTGGGGTTCAGAAATGCTGATGCAAAGCTTCCAGCCACGGGTCCATACCTTCGCCTTGTTCACATCTGTGGCTGCAACGCATGGCGACAAGCGCATCCTCATGACTGATAGCAGTTGTCAGCATTGATGGTACTTATGCAGTTTCGAGCATTGATCAAACTACCGTGGTGTGCAGCCGATCATGCAGCACATTGTCTTCACTGGATACCTTGTGTTGACACAGCCGCCAACCATGACAGGCATCTGAACGCGTACAACCCTTCTAGTGATCGACGGGAGCAGGGACTCCACACGAGACGGCAGTATGCAAGACACAAGAAGGGCTTTCCAGCACAATGTCGCTGCGGGACACGTGACTGCAATGCACCAACGAGGGATAGGTGGGAGCGACTTGACCACCATACAAGCATATGCCGCAGCGTCTTAACTACGAACAAAGTGCATGCGAACCGAAGTACATTGGACATACCGAGTGCGTATATACGGACACATTGGAGTGCGGTGACTTCGGCCGTGAGGTGCTTGTGGGTGCAGCCGCAGTGATCGAATAACCATGCAATGTTAGACAAACTCCCATACAGCCGCTGCACGCCTCAGCAGCACACCTGATTTTCAGTTTCCCCTCCTGCACAAGCTTCACTACTTTGTCAATGATGGCTGCTTTTCCAGTCTTGCCCATCTCCTGCACCGCTCGCCCAGACCACCAGAAACCCCGCACTCGGATGTCTCTGAAAATCAAGAGCGAGGCCGGAATACTGACTGGCTGCAGCGACATTGCGCCATAAGTCACAACTGTGCCGCCCTCCCTGCACATGAACACCAGCACAGCAATCACAGGCGACGAACAGTCGAGCTACAGTCCGTCAAATTTCAGTGTCACTGGGAGCCCGTTGCTTTATCGAAAGCTCACAAGCAAAAGGGGTGTCATGTGCAGTGAACCCGTCACGATAAAGACAGCACAATTGCCATCGTTGCAATGTTCAAAAGTGCTGACGGGCTATGGGCAGCGCCACATGCACCCAGGCATCGCCAATGGTGATGTCAGTGTTGTCCGCACTTCATGACGATTCCAGGGCATCGACGTGATGTACAGGAATGGTGCTTACAGAGATGGCAGCACTTGCACGGCCTTGATCGCTGAAATTGCCAAAATTGGGTACCTGAGAAATTTTGCAACTGAGGTAGTCGACCTGCCACCAACGCAGTCAAAAGCAAGTGCCGCTCGGGGGAATCCACAAGACTCTGCCAAAGCAACATGAATCACATCAGCGCCTACACAATTGGACAACCACTAGCAGCACTGGGTGCATTTCTTGCTCGCGTTTTGGGTGCTGGAAATGCCACTCTCTTCCCAAGAATGCCAATAATGGCCGAAGTCAATATCCATTCAAAAACTGCAGCATATACCAGGTCATCAGCAGATCTGCACCCCGGCATACCGTACACAGATTTGGCGTTTGCCTCCGTCGCCACAGCAGTGGCACCCAGAGACATCAAGTGATCTTCAGTGGCCTGCTGGTCTTCTTCGCGTTGCCTATAATTGACACAAACCTCAGGGTTACCTTATGCCCATGCCCTGCAACCAGATGGTCTGCCAGCGCTCCAGCAGACTGCCTGGTTATTGCTTTCGCGGCTGCATCTTTATCTGCTTCCTGTGCATGCTTCAAGCACACTGAAGGGAGAGCAGTATTCCTTAACTTTGCTGCTGGTGCATGGAGGGTTAACAAAAGCAAGGATGAGTATCCTAACTTGTTACTGTGTACCTTCTCCGGACAATATTCATAGTCTTCACGTCCATTTCCTTGGCAAGTTGTATCACCACCTACAGCGCACTTCCCATGCTCAAGCAGTCAGAGAAACAAGTGCGTAACACTGCTCAAAGCAAATATAACTTTAACGTCAGCTAACTCAAAGGGAACTCGTTGTCTTCGTCTGTTGCAGTAGGGCAAACATGACAATGACATTGCATCCACCCACTCCCTCGTCTCTTCTCGCTACCTCAGACGATGGCTGCAATCGCTTGAGATCTTCCTCCCAAAGCAGTTCACCATTCAGTGCGAGCAGTGCAAGGAGACAAAGCTGATCTGCGCACTCTCTTGGCCTTGCCTGCTTCGGTTACAGTAGCAGCGGAGTTTGTCCAACATGATATGTTCTGAACTCTAGACCCTTTTCCACATCTAACGAAAAACTCACAGAGCCCATCCAGTGAAATGCTCTTTGAAAAAAAGAGTCCAAAACTACGTACCATACATCCACCCACAAGCTGACAAAAGGTGCGCTGTACATTCTCTGCCTGCCTTTCATTACAGCGTGCAGACTCTCCATAGCACATGGTCAAACTGGTTGCATAGTCTGAGCACCCCTCACCTGCCCAACAGTGCTGTTTGCCCCATTCTGGACAATGACGTCCCCTTTGTGCAGCTTGGCAAATTTCTCCAGCAGGCAGAGGGCTGTTGGTGGACTGGCGACAGTGGTGATGCCATGTTTCACATGTCAGGTGAACTGCGATCCCTTGCGCCCATTTGATAGCCATCAGGACATCAGCAAATTATGCAATTGCAAATGCTAGCACACAAAAGGCTGTGCCCACAGCAGAAAAACGTTCAAACAATATGATCTTATCAGTCAGAGCTGAAAACTGGGCGCTGTCAGCAGTCTCATTCCTTGTCAAGCACTCCTACTTTATGCTCATCGTGGCAGCAGATTCAAGGGGCAAATCTCGAGGCACCTTGTGCCAAGCCGTCCGTTTAAACACTCCTGCCTCACGCCATGTTCCAAGTCCACTCTCAAGTGGAACGACCCAGTCTCCCACGGTCAAATCTGATACCTGACATGCGCAAGTGATCTTCTCAGCTTCTGACATAGAACAGTAGCTCCACTTTGCAATATCACAGTCCATGTACTGTTGTGCATTGTGGTGCTTGATAATGGGTGCAAACATCGCAGCCCCACTGGTGGAGGTGTCACATTCTTGTAGTAGCTGCCAGTATTGGTGAGTATTGGTGAGATCTGACACAGAGATGGCAGCCTCCAGGAGTTCACCACACAGGCACCTGAGCCCAATTTTGTTGATTGCACACTTGTCACAACATGACAAGGCAAGCCCCCTCACCAAGCTGGCGATGATTGGCAAACAGTGCAAGCAAAAGGTTATGCTCTCAAATCATGTTTGTTTCCACCGAACTGCCTTGAAGGCAACCAGGATTCCTATGAACAACAAGTCAAGAAAGATGACAGGGAGGCCTGCCACGATGAAGTGAATGGGAGCACTAGGTTTGGCCTAGCATCAAAGACACGCACACAGCAGCCACCTTAGAGCTGTGACAGGTGCTTCCCTACTATGCTGCACCTTTGCTCCAATTGATATTATCTCCCCAACACCCTCGTGCCCACCCACTGCTGGTAGACTCTGTGGCAGCAGTGGGTACTTCCCCTCCACTGTGTTGAGGTCAGCAGGATTGATGGGCGACTGTGGCGATCAAAAACTTCGACCTCATTCTCAAGTCAATGACACACAATGAGGGCCCACATCAGCCTGAAGGAAACTCCACAGGCCTTGAATTTCAGCTTACACGTCCAGAGATCCCAGCACGGGGCCCACAAACTGCTGTCAATGGACATTTGATTCACTTGCTCACCTGCTCACTTTCAAGCGATGGCCATTGATGCATAGGCGCTGCACTGAAATGCACTGGTTTACTTCTGGACAATACTAAAGTAAGGGAAGTAGCAAGAAACATTGCTCGCGGCTAGAATCAATTGTCCACCTGAAGCCACGGCCAGATGGGACTGGTTCGCTTGCTGGATACTGTTCCATTGGAAATGGTTCGTACCGCCAACATCTTGATCTTTACGTCCTCCGGTCCAATTTCCGTTGGCAGGTCGTAATCTTCCTGGGAAAGAACCTCGGATGGCTCGCCGTGTGTTTTATACGCAAGGGCGGCCACTGCCCTGCGGGGCGGCCCATCCATGGCCCTCACTATCGTTGGCCATGCAAACCCGATCCCCCTTTTGAACATTGCGGTACTGGGGCGACAAGGGCGGCGCAGCGCTGGCTCGGAAAAGAAGGGGGAAGCCGTCCGGAGAACACTTCGTTGTTGTCCCGCAACACTTGTAACCAGAGGAGCCCTTGCACGCTCGGGCCAACACAGCGTGAGGCAGGAAGTACTAGCGAGACCTCTTTCCCGCCACATTCTGCAGCTGCGCCTGTACCCGTGCTTCTGTACACACGGTGCAAAATCGGCCCTGAGCACGCCATCCCCGGGCTTCCCGCCAGTTGCCAAGCGCACGGCCTGCTGAACGGGCCACGCGCCCACAGCAGGCCGAGGAAGGGGGCGCCATGGCGGGGGAAGGCCTGGCCAGCAGCATTAGCCACGTTTTCATAGATCTCGACGACACCATGTATGTCAACCCCGTGGTTCCTGCCATCGTGAAGCGCAGGATTATTGGTGAGACAGCAGCGCCTCTAGGCGTCGCCCACGCGGCGCGCTGTGCCTTTCAATGGTTGAAGTAACGGGAGGCATGGGTGGCGATCCTCTGGGTTCGTGGCCTGAGGGTGCGCTGCACAGTGGGTCTGCGTGGCGAAGGCTCGAGAAAATGTTTCATCCACGCTGACAGGGCCCCTGGACGTCGGGATGGGAGACATGAAAGTGCACAATGCTGCTGTCTGGTGTCTGCGCAGTGTTCTGCACTTCTGGTACGCACGGATTGCCTATTCTTTTGTGGTAATGTTCAACAGAGTGCCGACGTGGCTCCGAACAGCTGTGCGGTGCCAGTCCTTGGCGCACCGTCATTGCGGCGAAAAACGAAAGCGGCTGTCTCCAGATATCCGGACCTTGCATGCTGCATTTGTTCGTTGTTGGAATTTTTTGCCTGCAGTTCAGACAAGAGCATTGAAGAAACCGTCCTTTGCACAGAATACATGACTCAGCGCTTGGCAGTGCCCCCGGATGAAGTCGAGAAGCTGTGCTCCGACCTGCACGCAGAGTACGGAACGACGCTCTGTGGATTGCTGGTGAGGGGCCATGTTCCATATCTACTACGAGTGCAGCAGCTGTGCATGTTACAGCCTGTGGTGTGTTATGTGCAGCACTGGCCTTTCTGCTGGCCACAAGAGTTCCAAATCTGTACAGCATTGTCAACATTTTCTGTATTTCGATTTGATTAAATGTCGAATTGCGCGTCCTGGAGTTCAATCGTGGGCAGCTTTTGGATCCGATGCACAGAATTCCAGCCTGTAGGGTGCCCTCCATGGATTTCGCTTGCCTTTTGGCCTGCTGATGTCATCTGTTTGTTTTGCAGGCAACAGGGTATGACATTGACGTAGAGGAATGGCATCAGTTCGTGGAGGGCACTCTTGATTACGGCAAACTGATACATCGGGACCCCACTCTCCGAGATATGCTTTGCCGGATTCAGCAACCCAAATATGTTTTTACAAATGCTGACTACGCCCACACGCAGAAGTGCCTACAGTGTTTGGGTGTGGAAGACTGTTTCCAGGTAAGCAATCTGTTGCCGTGTGGGATATTCAAGTGGTCGTGGGTCCGCTGTGGTGAGCCTGCCAAAAGGCAAAAAAAGCCACGAGTGCTGGCACTCTTGATGGGACCTGGCCTTGCAAAAGGCCTCCATGTTATCAATATCGCATGGCATAATTTTATTGCCTTTCAGCCATCAATGGTTGCACGTGCTTTGCAAATGTTTTGTTTGCTGTCTCACATTGATAGCATTTGCTTTGCAGGGAATCGTTTGCTTCGATTCCATACAAAAGCTGGGCCAACAGAAGGGTCTGGCGGACCGCTCCAAAGTCATCTGCAAGCCATCACCATTGGTGAGGGCATTGACTTTCTGAAAACTCCCTCAGCCTTTAATCATGCATAAAGACACCCCATGAGCCTTGTCTGTTCATGCGTTTTAATGTCTTGCCTGGCCAGGGCTGTCAGAATGCATTAATGCACTACCATTGGCGAGTAAAACATCCCTTGTTTCTGCTGGCAGGGCTGCATATGTCGACACGGATGTTACTAATGTCGCAGTGGAAATCACGCATGAGCTGACATAGTGGCGAATAGCCTGTTCTGCGTGCCGTCCTGCTAGCATAGGTCATCACGGGCTGAAGAATCAAGACTTGGCTGATATGCTACAGAAATTGTGCAGCATAGGTTCATAAGGTGTATTGTAACTCGCCATTGCAATGAATCTGTGCAAACCAGCCTGTAATGTGGGAGATCCAAAGCCACGCTGGTGATGTATGTTCTGCTGCTGTTATCTCAGCGTTTCTTTCCTTGTTCAGTGCGGTCCTTATGTGCTCACAGCGAATTGCGCGATATTTGCGCCACCACAAACGATTGCTGGTGCAGCGGATTGACGTTGCTGCTGTGGGCTCTTTGGACAGGCTTTTGAGCTTGGGTTGGAGCAAACTGGCGCACATGCATGCACCAGTGTATTCGTGGACGACAGCCAACGAAATGTAGCTGGAGCCCGGTCTGTGGGCATGTTATCCATTCTGGTATGGGAAGTCTTTTGTTCAAAAGTATTGCCGCATACCCGTGGCTTCGAGTATGCTAGTCATGATTGGGCCAATTCCCCTTTCCCCTGTATTTGACGATCTGGGAGGCTGCAGGTCAGGAGCGACTGATACCTGCATCCTCACTGCGGACACAAAAGGGGAGTGCTTACTAGGAGCTGTGCGTGCAGCAATGCAGGCAGAACGTACATGAAGGCCACACATTGTCACACGGCGTTGCCCAATATATGCTTATCCTCATAGACCGATTATAGTTGTGCGCACAGCGCTCATGCTGTAATGTAGGCGGCGGAACTGAATGACCTCACGCTGATCAAACCAAAATGTACCAAACCTGGTCCCCTGGATTTGCATCTGCCTGCATCCCGCGCAGCCATTGGCTAACACCGCATATGAACAGCGCTGTTGCTTGTTCTACCACACCCTGGGCAGCGGGAAGGACATTAAATGCTGTTGGTTGTTCTGTACGATCCCAATGAGTACCCCCGGAGCGACTTAACTTTGTTTCTGTTCTATGGACAGGTGAGCGACAAAGGGAACCCTTGCCACACTGGTCTTGCCATCAGGCACATTCACGAGTTCCCAAGGGTGCTCCCACAACTGTTCGATTGTGGCAGTGAACGAGAAGAGTTGGTCATTCCAAACCCCATCGCTTTGATGGCTCCGAGCTCTTCATAGCGGTGAACACATTCGATGCCACGAGAATGCTACTAGGGCACTTGCTCTTTCAGAAGAAAGGCGTGGAGCACAATAGTCATCGCCACCTCCACATGTGCATGGCGAAAGCACCCAATTTGAGAATGCTCTGTTCGCCGTGGAACGGCGTGCATTTGATGGCAGAATCTGATTGGATGCGGCGATGCCCATGTCGTCACTGCGCCTCAACGTGTTCTAAAGATATCAGAACACATTAGGAGGGAAGGGTGCCGGCTAATCTTGGTGTGCGCTGTCCTACCTGATGCAAAAAATTTCGTTGTGCAGCAAAACAACTGCCTGACTTGCAATAGGGTCGGTTGGTGCTTTCCACGGCGATAAAGGGATTCCAATGACAACATGCAACATGCTCTGGACACCACAACTTCACAAGAATGTTTGATGCAAAATGGCCCTCCCCCTTGTCCTACACTCATGTGTCCCTGGAAACACAAGCAGCCTTTATTCCATCTGGCGCCCCTGTTGTCCCGATAAAGCAAACTGCCAGGACGTGCCAAACAGGCGAAGAGCAACAAAACTGGTTTGGCACAACCATGCGTCCTTGTCTCTCGTCCCCCATCAACCTTTACCAAACGGCCGTGGCCAGTTGGACGAGGCCCTTTGAATTGCACCTGCCGCCGAAATGACGAGATGGCGGATGAAGCGCAACAGTTGGGACATCCATGCCATAATGACAACCGCCACATGGCGAGAAAAACCGACCACTCGGGTCCACACAGCAAACCACCACTGCTGCCATTTCTCCATCAAGCTCTCCTCGCCGTACGGTCGCAGATCGGCTGCCTCCGATGCAAACGCTGCCTGGAGGCATAGCACTCAGAAGGTCGCATCCTTTCAAATGGTGGTGCCTCGTCGTGCAGATTAAGAGCAGTTAATTCAAACAGATCATTATCATATCAGAGAGGAAAAACAGATACTGGAGGTAGTAAAGTTGAGCCACGTCGGCAAACGCTGTGCTCCTTCAGCCAAATCACAGGAACGTTGCTGGGCAAGACATGCGTCCCCTCCCATGCCTAGTTGTTGGAACCACTGCCAGCAAGTTTTCAAGTGATACCCAAAATCAGCGTTACAATTAAGCAGCATAATGCTCAACTTCGCAATCATCTAACAGCCCATAGGCTTGCAGAGCTGGATAGTCTCACCAGCTGTGCGTGGATATCAATCCACTCAAAACCATTTACAACCAAGCCTGGACTGGGGGCCTTGGCCCTTCAACGTACCTGCGCTTCTGCAGAATCTTCGTATCCTGCTGCCATGGCAGCGGCGTTGGCAGCACGGTCTTCAGCTCTTGCTGCTGTCTCAGCAGCTTTCAGAGCCCGGTCCTGTGCCTACAGTGTGCACACAGGGCGAGCTCAATAACTCATTCAAGAACGACAAGTCTGCCATGGTACCACCTGTGCTTGCCATTCTCAGTGTCTATAGTCTACAACCCAGAACCTTAACACAAGATGCTCTGGGCCTGGCCCATGACTTGGGCTTGGCACATGTTCCAAACCCCAAGGATACGTCAGAACTGGTGAACACATGCCTTGCTGGGGAGGGGATACCTGGTGTTTGACCTTCAGCTGCTGAACATAATCTCCTCTCCACTACTGGAAACGGAAAGTACAGGTTGGGAGCCAAGTGCCTACCTCCAAAATGGCCTCTTCAGCGCAGCTTTCCACCGCGATTTGTGCTGAGCCTGCTGCAGCGGCAGCCCTCTCAGCTGCTGCAACTGCTGCTGACGATGCAGAGGATGCGGCTGCCGAGTAAGCAGCCGCTCTCTGAGCAGCATCGCTGGCAGCTGTAGCAGCTCTGGCTGCAAGCTGAGCACGTTCCCTCAGTGAATCCATAGAATAGTGGCTGGCAAGTGCGGTGACCTCTTCAGACGATAGAGCTTGGGGATCCTCCGCTTGAGGTGAGGCGTTGGCAGTTCCAGCCTCCTCGTCACTGCCTTCCAGTGGTGTTTCAGCTGCCAATGGTGCCGAGTCCACAGGCAACACATCTTCCCCAACAGCACCCGCTGAACCATCAACATATCCTGCACCGGTACCACACATCTCTACTGGGTGACAAATCACAATAACGTAGCAACGCCATCGTTAGGCAGCCATGCGATTGTGGCCCCAGGTGCAGGTTCCGGGTGGCAGTTTCACGCCTTGCCTCTACCAGGTGGCCTTGTTTGACTATGCAATTGTAGCCTTATATGAACCCAATTTATTCAAACACAATGCCACAGGGGAAGACAACCAGCATACGATACTAACTTGTACAGATTCCTGTGATGAATCTGCCAGTATCTCATGTTGTGATCAAGCAGAAACAGGCCTACAGATAGGGATGGTGGATTTCAGGCGCAACAAAATGGAAGTTGCAGACACATACCTGCCACATTCTGTCCTGCTAATGGACAACTGAAATTTGCTTGTTGATCTTTTACGCCCCAGTTCACAGTCTATGTACCTTCAGTGAACATTAGCCACGTACTCACATGCTAAAGCCCATTTTGTCGCGAGTGTCTAGGTTCTCACCAGTGATCAACATACAAAGGGGATTCAGTGCATAGCACTGTCCTGCTGAGGGCAGCAATGTTGTCCATGTCTGAACATTGCTGGCAGCGGAGTCGGGTTTAGTGAACGCTATGTAATTAAGGAATTCATCATCATCATCATCCATGTCTGAACATCTGCAACCACGCAGCTCACCAGCAGGCCCTTCATCCACATTTGACCAATCATCGATCGATCCCCAACTCTCCCCACTCTCCACAGTATTGGCAGCCATGCCCAGACCTCCATTGCTGTTGTAGGATTCCTCTGCGCCCTGTCCATAATCTCCACTTGCGCTGCCTACTACGCTCTCTTTAGTGGCAGCATTATCTGCCTTCAAACGCGAATTCGTCACTTGGCTTGTACCCTGAGATGGCTGCCTTGTAACCTGGGAGGGTGATACCCGATGTTCCTGCTCCCGCAATGTCGTGGCTGTCGGCAAAGTCCACCCAAAGACCTGGAGCTGTTCCTGGCTTTGCAAGAAACCTGTGGTGTGCATGCACATTGAGTTGTTGATTTGTTGTGATGCCAAAACCTGCATCTCAGCTTAGGCTTTCAAAGCAGCAGCGTTCAGTGTCTGTGGCGTTTGGTGGGTGACAACAAAGCACCTTCTGTTCTGGGCAGAATCATTACCTTGCAGCTTGATGACAAAGTTGAATCTTAGGTATGTGTTGCAGATCTTGTCTACAGATCTGTCTTCCTATCAACACCGTGGCAACACAAATCACCTGGCTGTTTCCCAAAGGCTTATGCAGTGCAAAACTGTAGCCTTTCATGAAGCTGCAACACTGTTGTTTTGGACTGCCCCCAGCTGCATTCACATATCACAAGAAGATGGCAAGACATCAAGCAAAAGCATCCGATGTTGCAACACAAGGGTAGCAGATTAGCATCAGCAATCCAAAGTAGTGGGTGGCAAGGAACTGACAAGTCCTGACCCAATAATCAGCAGAATAGATCCTCCCGCCCTCCCTCAGGATATACTGGCAGTACAATCCGAACAGCTCGCTATACAGGGACATGGAAGAGCTGTGAGGTCGATGGGTTTTACTCACGGAGGACACGGGCACCAGCAAACATGGCTGCTCCCACCACAAGGATGGTCCCTGACATGAAGACGAAGAGGCCTGCACAAAGAGCCAAGGCCTTGCTCCATCAGCATTCAATCCACAACCTACTCTTCCACAAGATATCACGTACCAGGATGAATATGATGCAGTCGGCCACTTGCCAGGCAGGTATTCGACTTTCTGACTTTGCAAAACCAAGCCATTGCCAAGCTCTGATCAACCAGCCAAGCCGAAGCTGGACAGCACTAGTCCGCCGATGCACTTGATGCCTGCAGTCCAGCGCAGCACGAATCGCCAGGTGCCAGGGTGCTGCATTCCAAGCCAGAGACCCACCTTTCGACTGGTTTGCACCGCTCTCAGCCCCCTCCCAGTCCTGCGTCCCCGAGCCCCATCCATCCTCATAGCTCCCCTCGCCAGCCTCCAGCGGGCCAGCCCCGCGCCGCTCGATCCTCTCCGATCCCGAAATCGTCACAGCCCCAACTTCAGCGTCAGCATTCTTCGACGACCGCGCAACCCAGATCTTCCGGGCGGGGCCCGCGCTCAAGATCCACTTCCTCTTCCTCCCAACGCAATCTCCACAAACACGTTCGCAATTTCTCGGAAAGGCAAAAACGCGCACTCCCCAGGTCCCCTTGCTGTAGGCCACCGCGCGAAACCGAGCCGCAGAGTTGAACCACCCCTCCCGCAGTTGCAGCTCTGCTGTTGCAATCCGAGGCGCAATCGGACCCATTGGCCCCCGCAAGCGTTGAAGATGGGGGCCAAATGAGCACGGGTCACTGGGGCGAGGCGAGGCAGTCGGCCTGCGGCACGGGGCAGGCTTCCATAGCGCCCTCCGGGCTTGCCGCGCACAGCCCCCTGAGTCACGGCGAGACGCGCACAGTTGCGGGATATGACGTGGAAGCGGGCTCCTAATTTGGGGGGCGTTGCCAGCAATTACTTTAGGGAGCACAGCGGGGAGGAGCACACCTTCGGGTGGAGTGGACCGCTCTGTCTCCCGAGCGTCAGCTGCTGCCGGCTGCCTGCTGAACGCAGAACCCGTTTATTGCGAAGTCAGGATGCCTCCCGCTCCCCGGAAGAGCCCCATGCGCGCCCCGCCGCTGTCGTACGCCCAGCGGCGAAGAGATGAGGCACTGCAGAGGCAGAGGGCAATGAGGCAGGAGCGAACGGATCTGGCCAGGAAGGTCGCCATGGCTGACAGGGAGAAGACGCCTGAACTGGTGCGGCACTGGATTTACCGGAATGGGGATCTGGAAAGTGGTAGATCCTTTCGATGCTTGGGGTGCTATTCTCAGAAGTCACAGGGCGCCCATTGAGTGGGAAACTGCCATGCGCCTGCCCTCCGATGCAGCTGAATTGACGCCTGAGCAGCCAGGCGTGCATGTCCAAGAGCTTCATAAATTGAGCTGGTGGTGATGAAACGGTGCCAAGAACGGCAAGTTCTTTTGTGTCATAGACATCCAACAGAGCCGTAGAGTTCTCTGCCTTGCATAGATCACGATGAACACATGATATGCGTCAGGGACACTTCCATACTGCTGGAAAAAGAGGTGCAGATTCTTAAAAATGGTAAACGATGACTTTCTGATTGCAGCGCGTGTATATGGCACAATTTTGTTGTCATTGCATTGGAATCGCAATCGATCTACCAGAACACATCTCCGTGCTCTGCTTGCTCAAGCTGAGCACCACATCACCTGTGCTTAACGTGTTGCTACTGCGGCCCTGTACCTGCAGCAGTGTCTGCCAGAATTGTGCTGCAATGCATTTGGAGGGTTCACAGAAATCTGTGGAACAGCTAGCACATGCAACGGCGCGCTTTGCTGATTTCTCCTATTGAACTAATTCTACACTGGTGGAAAGCGCGCCCATGCGGGGAGATGTTCAGCATTTGGATGCTACAGTGCAGCACAGGATTCGTATGGTTTGTAGTGCGCACGTGTCAGGGGCATCTACTGTTCTGCTGGTGGAGTGATTCTGCACGAGATGACAATTTTTATGTTCCTTTGTGCCCACCCTGCACAAACGGCCCACCCATGTACAGAATTTCCACCTGCATGCACAACTTCTCCAGGGACATACCTGGCTTAGCACTGTACCCAGCAACAGCTGTGGTGCTCAGGTGACTTTAAACCACAGTAGGACAAGTCACCCAGTGTTACAGCCAGCTGTACACTGTCTGGAAAAATGAGGTGCAGGTGCACTGTCAGCCTGGCATGATGAAAATCAACGTCCTGCAGAAGATCGCGTTCACATTTGTGCTGGCTCCGCAGTTATGGGACTGGATGCCTGTTCAATACATTGCTCTGCTTGATACTCCAACGAGTCCAGCACATGCCAATCCTGTCTTATTAACTTGTGTCTTTTTGCACACACAGTTTTCAACCAGTTGAGTTTGCCCTGTGTGTACCGACCGCTAACATGTCAGACAAATTTTGGGTTAGCACGGAAGCATGTCAGTGAAAACAACTGCTACAACATTCTGGTGGCTGTGTGCGCTAAAGCTGAAGTTTCATGCCTGCTTTTCTTTCCTGTTTCTACGAATCTTCTGTCTCAGGTCTTTGTGTGAGATTGATGGAATCATCTCGTGCTATGCCATTGCAGGAGCTGTGTGGCCCTAGTACAAATTCTTGCGATTGGGATCTTCACCAGGCCTTTGAGTCAAGCCTTCACATTGATGACAGCCGGTCAAGCTTATGTCAAGCAGGGCCTGATAGGGGGGAGAAGCCCAAACAGTTTTACTCCAAACAGCTTATGCTACCTGAGTGGATGACTGATGTGCCTCCAGACCTTGCAAGCAAATGGTGGGCAGTTGTGCAAGATATAAATGCTGCTGTGAGTCCTTGGCAACTTGCTGCTGGGCAAGGTGCCTGGAATATAGAGCAGTGTTTCTTGGAGCCTGCAGGGAATATGTGAAGTGTCAAATGCAGGTTTGCTATATGCATGTGTGTAATTCCTCGGTCTGTATGGCAGGGCCTCAGCAAGCAACGTAGTGGATGGTGCCCAGATTCGTACTCAACTTTATGGACTAGCCTCAAAGGAACAGGTGCAATAATGTGTCAAACTATTTCATCGAAGACTTGGTTTGGGTTGGTGGAGGTCTTCAACCTGAAGCATTTGCATGTTGTCCACTTCTCTTTTGCAGCAACTTGCTGCCTTTCAAGAAATTATTTGTTTGTAACTTGTAGGAATTGAAAAGGTGACCCAATGCGATGACTGCACTGTTGCAATGAAGAAGTGAATTCGTCAAAGCCAAGTAGCAGGGTATGTTGTGCCATTGGTGCTGGTGCATTCCTGTCAGGGGCATGACATTTGCAACACAGAGTTGTCACGGGGGTTTTATGCGCACAACACTGTTCAGTTCTCATGCTTTTCTGTCTACCGCTCCCAGCACCAGGAACAGTGCTGTGTTTTGGTGGAAGTGCAGCTACTATGGATACTGCGACAGAGATTAATGCGGGTCTTCTGTGGCCATTTAGCTTGCTGCCATGTGGACTTCGCCCTTCAGTGTTGTGTCTGGTGGTGAATGCACATGTGGCTGCTGCACACTAGGCTTGCTGCCACAACCAACAGAAGTTGGCCACTGCAAGTGTTCTGTATACAAGAAATGCAAAGCAACAACAATAGCACAGCAGCAAAAGTACGAATGATGCATGAATCGAATGGATTGTCAGAACGTGCTTCTGCAATCCCACGAGTTTGCTGCTTGGTAGACAACCAGTTGTGCTGCTGACTTCAACTATGTTCACTAGTGTGGTGTAAAGTTAGTGACTGTTCCTGCAAACCCAGAAATGCTTGGCATAATCTTAATGCTGATGACAAAATGGGCAATGATACAGCAAAATTAATGTGCTTTCAAGTTGTGCTCTGGGCCACTGTACTTGTTGGCTTGTTTTGCACAGTGGCAGTGCCACTGACACTTGGGACTATATCTCCCTTGTGTGAAAGGCTGCAACTACATTTCTGAGGGCATGTGTTTGAACTGTTCTAGGATTGTGATGCCACGACCTGAGGGACGGAGGTGCCTCGTGACATCTGCAAGGTGTGTAGTGGCCTTGATTTCAAGACAGGCCCATAAAGCAGGCACCAGCAAATAGAACTGTGGATGCATCCATTTGAATTCCTGCAGAGCAGTGTGCATTTGACGATTTATGTAAACAACTATACCATCATTATCTGCGATGGTTCAGTGCGAATATGATGTGCTCATGTGGGCCTCATCAACCCAGTGCTTACCAGATTGGGGGGTGAAATAGTGGTGTGGTGTCCGGACAGTACTTGGGGGTGAAAAGACACAAATACTGAAGTAGTAGGGAAGGCATTGCAACAGACAATGCAACATTGCATAACAACTATCACTCACTTCACAGCCATTGCTTCAAATCCTTTGCGTTTCATGCCAGGTCAAGGAGGTGTGTATTAGAAGCAGTGTTTTCAGCTAATTGTCTTGACAATTGTGAATGTTAGGTTTTGTGCTTTGCTATTTTCTGCATCACATGACCAGTTTTATGGCTGGCGCTTTGCTGCTGCTGCTGGTACTGCAGGAAAATGACATGCTGTTTGTTGTGTAGTGGCATAACTGTGAGCCGTCTACGTTCTGGGAGCCTCCTGCATAGATTTCAGTCTGCACTTCCTTCCGGCTCTCAGGACACTGCTGGACCTGCCAACAGCTTCTGCATTCTGGACTGCGTTTTCCAGGAGGGCAAGAACACGTACTATGTGATGGATCTGATGTGCTGGAGAGGCATGTCATTCTACGACTGCGCTGCTGAGTTCCGCCTTTTCTGGGTGCAGCAGAAGCTGGCAGAGACAGAAGGAGTGCTGGATGCAGCCTGCAATGAGGGATACAGGTGCAATTTCGGGCCTTTGTCTGTGCTGATTTCTTTGAAATGCAAGATTCAGAAGATGTACTGTTCCGCTGCTTGAATTGTTGCAGACTGGGAGTAGTTATTGACTGAGCATGCTGCGAACTGCCTGCACTGCAGCATTTTGAGGCGTTGTCCTTGGCAATAGCTGAAACTGTTTGGTATGTGGGGATGGTGCACTCTGGATGGTTGCATTGTTTGCTTGGTACCATCTCACATAATATTGCAGATTTGAGTACGAACTGCAATCAATTTTCGCGATAGGATGGAAACGTGAAGGCAAGTCGTTGCAAACCTAAAGCTTATATCTGATAGGCCTTGTCCTTTCCTTTCCTTCTCTTCATCAGGCCATGTTGCTGGCAATGAACGGGATCCACATCAAGGGAGGGCCCTTGAAGAAAGGACTCAGCTCTTAGAATGGGTCCAATACTATTGTTTGTAACAAACATATTTGGGCTGGGCGTCAATCGCAACAGCATGCTGTCTGCAAAAATGACATGACGTCTTTTGGCCAATCTTCCAACATCCACCCACTCGTTGTCTTGAACGTCGTCTGCTATGATTGAGAACAGCCCATGTGCTCAATGTCGGATTCCCTACAGATATTGTTGCCAAGGGAATTGTTGAAGCAAACCATTTTGCAGGTATTTCCATGAGGTGTATGGAACCCTTATATGACTGCTGCAGTTTTTTTTGTTCTGCCCGTGCCAGGTTCTCGTCGGTGCCCAGTTGCTGGTGCTCTCCATCTGGCTTCAGTGCTGCAGTACGCTGTGAGGTGCCCTTTGTGCAGGATGGGTTGTACCTACTGCATATGGATGGCTACTACATGCCTGGACAGTCACCTCTGGCTCTCTTGTGGAAGGATGCATCATGCAGCAGATACTTCTTGGATACTGATGGAGAGGGCAATGTTGGGGAGTTTCAGGTGAACAGGGCAGATGTGGCAACAAGTATGACAGCTGTACAAAGTTTCTGTTCCAACAGCTGTGGACATTCTCCTTCACTGTGCTGAAGCATTTTCAGCATCCGCAACTGTCAGCTTTTGTCAGTTTTCCAGATGCCAGTGTAAGACAACGCAGTTTCGCACCACTTGCCTGTGTTGGGTTAAGGGAGCCCCTCAGTTGCATGCAAAACCAGGGTTAGATTGCAATGGGTCATGCCAGACAAGATTTGCAACCGAAGTTTCGCATAATGAACTTGCCACACCCACTACTAACGAACCATGTTGAGAATGCTTCTGTTGTCCAGCACAAGCGCGTATAACTAAACAAATGTTGTGATCCTATTGGGCTTCTGGCACTCTGACTGCTTTCGCAATTGGCGATGTCTATTCTTGTTGATGGGAGGAAACCAGTGTTGCAATAGGCGTTTTCCAACAAATCACTGGATGTTCTGGCTATGAAAGTTGTTCTACTTGTGGTACCAGATCCCTGGCGCTGACACCTATCCTTGCTCTTGTCTTGCAGCAAGTCACCCTTGTGTATCAAGGGGATGGCTCACTTGCAACTGGAGACACCCCCCCTGTCGCCCTGGGCAGATTGCCTGAAGACTTGCAGTCGAGTCTCAGACACAAATTGAAGGCTGGGAAGCTGTTGAGGTGCACGATCCGGGAGCAGGGAATCCGGACTGAGTACGGGCAGCCCCTCAGTGCAGACTTGCGATTTGAAGAGTTCGCAAACCAGCGTAGGGGGCATGCAGATACTGTGGGCAAGGTGTTGTTTCAACACAATGCCAGGAAGGGCCTCATCAGCCATGACACTGTCGTTGCAGAGCTGCAAGAACAGCAAAGACAGACAAGTGCATATGACTCATCAACCAAGGCAATGCAAGAAACAGAACACTTGCAGGGCTGTTGAAGTGCAGGAGGGGTCGTTGTTTGGGAAGCATGGATAGATTTGCAAAATGTATCTGTATGACAGAACGTTTCGTTAGCACTGTTGCAGCCTTAGTTGTGGAAAAGAGTCTCCCATCCTGTACTTGTGCGGTCATGATGGTGCATGACATCGAATGTGGCACTTGAAGGAACGGTTAGTGGCCCAGCTTGTTTTGCCATGCACGATGTCCTTGCACTTTATTGGGCTCTAGCCATTACAATAATACAATAAGATCATGCCCCCACCTATGTTTGTTTGAGAGTAGCCTATGAATCTGGATAAGGGCATCTTGTTGAAGATCTGATGTCAACAATGAATGGGCAGCTAACTTTCGTACAGCTGCTGGCCACCATAGGCTAACCTCGTTCCTGCATGTGATGCCACTCTGTGTACACTGCCATTGGAAGCAGGGGTGCCTAATATGGCGGTTTTTCATGTTTTACACGGATAGGTAGCTCAGTCTCTATTGGGATACTGGCATGGGAGTGGAAGGCAAGCCTGAGGGAGTCACGTCCCCAACCTCACAGCTTTTCTTGGTTGTGTAAATGCGCGTTGATACAATGTGCACTCACAGTTGACAAAATGAGTGTGATACAAAATGATGTAAAATATGATACAAAATGACCGCCTTTTTTCGCCTTCTTTTTGTTGATTATCTTAATTCAGCAACAACTCCAGCAGCTTGAAGATTGTTCTAAACCATACGGCATGAGTGGTACTGAGTTTCCATTTGTCTTACACCCCCTCCTCCCCACCGCAATGCGGGCCACCCCACCCGGCCACACACGCGTCGAATATTCTTTGCAACCAATGCAACAATATGCCATGAAGTTAAGCCCTCACCCCCCAAGCAAAAAAAGTGTGTCCCACTTTGCCATGCCGTGAAAGATGGTGCGAAAGTCTTGGCGTGATGGGAACGCAGCACACCACGCGAAGCACTATGTGGAGCAACAAGACACGCACTCCCAGGGAGGAGGAAAGGTAGGGGGAAAGGGCAGAAAAAAGGTGCGAAAACGTCCGTCAACCGAAAGTACCTCTACAAACACAAGTCTGGGGCCTAACGAAGTTAGTACAGGCACCTGCAGGTGAATACAAACCACATTTGCGCCCTCAGCGAGACATCCCTTCGGCAATGCCGTTCCTGTTTCTGCGAAGGCCCACGAGCAAGGATGAAAGGAACGCCGTGGCCTCCGGCTTGCGGTGAGGCGGTGGCGGCGCAAAACAGTGCCTCTAAGCGCCAGCCATGCGAGCACACTGACCAATTGCCAGACGCTTGCCTCCGGTTGTTCGTCTTGATACGAATGGTCCGTGCGATTGCCAAAGGCGCTGATCAAAGAATGAACACAGATCAGTTTACCCATTCCACCCCACACGATCCGTACCGCGTCCCTCTGTCGGGCTTCGCTGTGCAGGGCTTTGACCAGCTGATCTGGTGGTCCTGTCATGCTGTGCCATGGGGCAACCGAGTTGCTGGAAAATAGAGGTTCGACGCAGTTTGCGGGGTTTTGGCCTTGTTTACCAGGCAACCCCATATATGCCACATCGATGGCTACGTCGCAAGCGCTGATTCGGTTTGTGACAAAGAAGAGCACGTACAATTTGCAAACTCAATTCCCAAAGCAAACGGCCTGGTAGCCTACGAGAGGGAACAGTACATTGTAGTTGCCGTCCAAGAGCTGCTTCACCTTGAGATGTTGTGCCATAACCCGCTCCATTGAAACTGGGTTGTTCTCATACAAATAAAGATGATACAGAAACCACTGGAGACGATAGGATTGAATCATACCAATACAATGTACCTGCAGGTATTGAGGTTGCTTGGGTGCATTTCCGCACTTGCAGTATTCAACGATTGATTGGCACCCACCGTCCTAGCAACTTTGGATGTCAATGCTACTGGTGTGCACATTGAAACATCAAAGAGGGCAAACGTGCAACCCTTATTGCAGAAGATGCGATGAAGACAAAGAAACCACGTGTGACAGCAAAAGCGATTGGTAGCTTAGATTCAAATCTAAGATACTTGGTGAAGACCTTGGGGACGATGTAATGCAGGTGTGCATTTGCTTGCCCCTTTGCAGTGGAGGGCACAACTACAAGCATGTTGGGTCTACTGCCTCAGGGCCCCCCTTGCCAAACGAGCTGAAAAAGGAGGGCTGGTATGAAGTCTCCAGGAGAGTGAAGGTCAGTCATCAACGTAAAGGTTGGAATGTTGGAATAGCGCAGGGCCCTGCTTCATGCCCTGCTGTTCTGTGTGCCACAACCATGCTGATCTAAATGGCAAACTATCATCAGAAGATGGTGGCGACGGTGGCGAATTCGAAACTTACCCTGGCACAGTGAGAATCATGGGAGTTATGTTCTCCAATACACATGGGAGTTTTTGTGGCATTGAGTAAGAGATGCAAGAAAAGTTTGGTGGTGGCAAGTGGGGAATTCGTCCTGAAGAAATACCTGTATTTCTGGCTTGATAGGTTGGAACTGGGAGTGCTGATTTTTCAGTCGCAAAGCAGCTTCTCCAACGATGGGGCCATTTCCAGCTGCCATGGACTTATGTCAACTCGGCCACCCCGATTCGTGTGGGACAGGGATTCTGTGTAACGGCCCGGGCATTCGTCCCATGGACGTGCAACCCTCTCAAAATTCTGTAAGTTTGGGCAGGGAGAGCCCGCACATGTAGAACAGGGTCTTTGTTGCATGCCTTCCTGTTGAATTTGAGATTCTGAAGGTCATTGTTGTGCATGTTGCTTTGTTGTCAACTTGGTGAAACACTGCTGTTTACTTGCAAGGTGATGGCAAGGATGGGCCAGGCTGCGCCATGCATGCAGTAAGATGGCCAGGCAGACTGACTGTGCAGCAATGTAACTGTGGAAGAGTGCAAACTTGAAGCCCTTGAAACAGATTTCACTGGCTGACGTGTTTGCGTTTAGGTACATAAACAGCAGACTTGCTGATGGCACTTCGCGAAGAGGTACACGGCAATTTGTGCACAAGTCTGCAAAATTGGACCTTGTATTATTCAGTTGCATGCAGAGCTGTGCCTGGCTGCTGTTCTTGACATCAGTGCCCAGTAATCTTTTGGGATCTGTTGGGATGTCTGTGAAGTTTAATGACTAACTGGATGGAAACATAATTGAGAAAAGCTTGAATAGCAAAGAAACACTGGAATAGGCCCTTTCAGCACATCATCACCACGTCCCAATCGTGCCGTTTGTAACACCTGCATTGGCATTTTGTTCTGCATATCGACACCTTTGCAAACAGCCTTTTTCTTTCTTGCAAAATGCTTTGGAAGTGGATGGGTATCCTAACTTCAGACCTTCAGTGATGCATATTCTCTCCAATTAGCTTCATATAACTGTTCATTGCTGTGCTATTTTGGAATGCATTGCATTGTCAGTGTCTGCAGTGGTGACGAACACAGCATTACTAAGCAGCCAGCTGAGTTGAATCGCAATGATACCAGTGGATGACTGTGCCCCAAAGGGGCTCATGTTGCGACAGGCATTCAACACTTTTCTATCGGGGGTGGAACTCTGAAAGGGCATCTCATCGCCGGAGAGGAGAGATTTGCTGTTGAATGGAACAAACAGGATGACAGTGTATGGTATGGCGCGCCACTCGACACTCAGGGCCGTTGGGAACCTATTAGGCGTAGATGTAGTGTTTTGGCAGCGAATACTGGAATGGTAAATGGATCTATAGGATAGAGGCTGAACCTCTATCTTCTAGACTATTCGATTGTTCCTAAATGCAATTAAAGTACAACAGCACTCAGCCATACTACCAACAAGGGTTATGTACAGCAGCTACGTGCTCACTTGTGACTGTCTAAATCTATTGTTGTTATTTCTCCAACCTGAGAAAGTGAGCCTGGGCACATGCATGATAGTCAATATTGTTCCTGAATTGACTGCTCTGTGCCTTCCAGCCACCTAATGCACGAGCTTGTGGTGCCTCAGGTATGAGATTTACAGCTTTTCTCGGCCATCGCACATGCTGTCTTATGTGGGACTGCCAGTTCTGAGATTCCTGCAGAATGCATTTGTGCAGCAGTCCATGGCGTCGGTTTTAAAGTCAGTCAAACAGCAGCGGCAGGCCTCTGCAAGTGAAACCAATGGGGGTGTTCTGCGATGAGGTTCATTCTGCCCCCAACAGCCGAGCGCCTCAAGTTAAGGTTGCCTAGGCCATTGCTCAACTGTGGAGGAAGTGTTGCAGCATCGCGCTCTTGGAAAGATCACAAGGCTGGGTGTGTGGGGTGTGGCAGTAAACTCAGCGAGCAATTTCGACGAACATTAGGAGCGATGCGTTTGAGTGGACGCATCAGTTTCAGACGAGCTCATTTATTCAAAGTACACTTCTGCGCACTGCTGGAACTTTTCCTTTCCGTTCTTTTCTGCTACTTGGGTCAGGATTTAACAATCAGGGTGTAGGCACAAGCTGTATCCATTGGGAACATACGTCTTTGCCACGATTAAATGTTCTCTATTGTGTTCCCTTGGAGTGGATGAGTTAGGTGCAGGCGCTCTGCCATGTGTGTTGTAGGGGACTGGTGGCCATCCGCATTGAATATGTTGCCGGATCGCCCTTTAGGCGATGTCAGTCGTTGTTCATATTTATCGTTTCTATTTTGTAGAATGTTTGAGTGACTGCTACGGCCTCGATATCTGGCAGGTGCCAGTGCTGTGTCCTTGTGTTGACAACTCGTCGATCATGGAGGCGTTCCAGAAAGGTTACGCATCTGAATCCAAGCCTTCCCCCTTTCTGAGAGTGGCCCCAGCATACTATGACACCTGGAAGTTGCATCTCCCAAGCGGCGTTGGTCGCCCACTTCAAGCATCATTGTGGTAATGCAGCCTGCGACCGAAGGTCATTGCACTGGACTTGACAGTCATCTCGCTTTGCCACGTGGCACAACTTATTTGCAGATCAGATGACCCATCTGTAGCTTGGCCGACGACTGCTGGCGTGAGTGCATGGGATGTCAGAGTGGCATGAGGCTGCATCAGCGCTCCAAGGTGGGACAGAGCGGGGTGGCAAGCCCTCCCGTGCGCGCCAATCCCTGCTTGATGCGGTCGCCACAACTGCAGCAGCAAGGTGGTCCCCTTGTGCTGCCCTGTGAAGCACTTCACAGTTGTGCATTCACAAAAGTTAACAGAAGTATGCAGAAGTACATTCTGTTTGTTACCTTCCACATATTGGAATCACTAAGTTCTAAAGGGGGGCCCGGGGGGGGGGGAGGGGGGCCGGCCGCCAAGTTGCTCGCAATGTACTGCGCGAGCACCACGAACTTAAGTTTTCCTTGGCACCCCACTCGAATGGGCCATAGCTATTGGGACACAGCTAGGTGGCTTCGTGGAGTAGAGAAGTCGAGTCTCATTCTGATTTGACCGGATGATCGCATTGGGATACTTAAGAAGCAGCAATAATGGTGCAAAGCAGTCATTGGCTGGGCATCCCTCCGTGCTTCCCAACCAAGCTGAATGATGATTGACAACCTTGCGACGCCTGAATTGACAAAGATGACCCTGCGTACTTGCCTGTAGCTTCCTTCCAATGTACTCTTCGGGGAGTCCAAGGCAATGCAATGGTTCCATCAAGCATTGGTGGTTGCCTGTGTAACTTCAATGCCCCCTTAAGCTGTCCCCTCGGGGCAGGTAACCAGATGGTACCCAGTGTACCGATGGCATAGGACCGTGGGGACAAAGGGCGTAAAATTCAGTCGAAGGAGCGAACACTTCGGGCTTTTTCGAATTACTCCTTTTGTCTTTCTTCCAGTTCGCTGGATTTCCATGTACTGATCATTTCGATTCCGCTCCGCAAAATCGAGCAAGGATCATGTGATGGAACAGGATGGACAAACGTGGCCCTGCATCGCATTTCCTGTCAACGGGCCCAGAATTTGGCCTTGCATTGGGACATGGTTCCTGCTGTAAGAAATTCAACATCCCCTTAAATGCGGGCCTTCCCATCCCAACCGACTCCAAGCCGAGTACATCGCCTTCCCAGGAATGTCTTCGGCGAGGCACTGCACCCAAACAAGCCCAATTTCATCATTGGGCCGCACAATAAACGAGGTCCTCCGGCGCCCCACAGGGCCCCTGGCTTCCTGGCTCCAGGAGGGTGCGCCAGATCAGTTTCGGGCGCGCACGCCCGCAGGTCGACCGCCCTGCGTCCTTGCCAGCCGGAAAAGGGGCCCAAACCTAGTTCTTCCCTGAGCCTTTGCCGCACTGTTCAGCAGCAAGGAATCAGGTCAACCGCAGCGTCCAGTCTGCGGCGCAAGCCGGCAATCCAGACGCCCAGTGAGCAAGACAGTGTTCGCACAGACCAACGTTGCGCATCTCGCCAGCCGGGCCGCTCCTAGCGCCCGTGGAGGAACGAATGGGGCAAACCCTGTCGTCCTTGTGGTCGTATTGGTTCCCCAACAAGGAGTACCGGTTAGTGATGGTGAGCGGTTGGAGGCTTGAGTCCCGACACCACATCGACACAGCGCGCGGCGTCCAACCGAAGGGGTGTCTGCTGCCTTCCCTTTCGGTGACGGGGATGGCGGGGGCGGTATTGGGCTCGAGCGGGCAAAGAGTCAGGGGAGGCTGAGAGGCTCTCTGCAGCGTGGTTGGCTGCCGGGCCGGGCTTAGACCATCACGTCCACGCGTGCACCCAGCTTTCCATATTTCGTGCGACTGGCGAAGCTCCTTGTGTGTCCTGCCTCTGCGGTTCAGGGCAACCTTGGCCTGCTGTGACGCAGTGTGTCGCCTTGTGTCGCTGGGGTGATCCCTGTTTGCATGCCTTGCAGGTGGGGCTGGACAATGCTGGCAAAACGACCACTCTCTACAAATTGTTGCTGGGAGAGGTGGTGGTCTCGCAACCGACTGTGGGGAGCAACGTTGAGCAGATTCCCTACAAGAACTTGATATTCGAGATATGGGACCTGGGAGGGCAGGCGAACCTGAGGGCATCTTGGCCGGCGTACCTCAGGTCCACAGACGCTGTTGTCATGGTCGTGGACAGCACAGACAGGGCTCGAATAGGGATAACCAAGGTACCAGCCTGCAAGAGGCATCCCCCACCCCCAGCCCTAACCCCATCCCACCCTTTTCTGTCAAGTCTTGAAGAGACAAGATGTATTTCCAGAACCCTATTGTGTGTGTTGAGACTCCTCCTTGAGGCTCGTTAAGGGGCTAATAGCGAACCCAAAAGGCGATTTGCATTGGTGGAGCAGACACTCATTTCGGCGTGCTGCTTCCATGAAGCCAGGTTCTTGGCTGGCATGCCATGCACCAATGCTTTTGTATCCAACGCCTGCCGGTGCATTTCAGGGTATTGTGCACCATTGCTCGCTGGCATTGCCAGGCATGTTTCAGGAGGCACATGGGCGGAGAAACAAATCTTCTTCCGCTCACCATGGTGTGCCACCCCATTGAAACTGATCTTGGGCATCGGGACAGACAGTGCACCATCTTTCAGCAGCAGTGATGTATGCTCACTGCAGTTGATGCAACCTAGCACCTGCTTTGTGCATCGGTTCCAGGGCGCCTATTCCAGTTGTTGGGTATGTGTGGTGATGTCTTCTTTGTTTGAACTTTTCTTTAGTCTGTGGCACATATAATGCTTGAGATAGACCTCTACGTGTTTCTGTGACTTTCTCTTATGTCTGCATCTTCATCAAATAGGTGGCTTCCTTTACCTACAAGTGTCTTAGTCATCAGCCTCGATTATTGTATTTTTGGCTTGCTGCACTTCAGGCTGAACTTTTTACCCTCTTGGTCAACAAGGACATCGTCAATGTTCCAGTCCTGGTTCTGGCCAACAAGCAGGACCTGAAAGATGCGATGGATCCAGCAGAGCTGTCCCAGGCCCTCGCGCTGCACACCATCAGGCAACATGACTGGCACATACAACCTTCGTGTGCTGTGACTGGTGAGGGCCTCTTGGATGGGCTGGGGTGGATAGCTCAAAAGTTGAAAAGTAGGCAAGTGGCAATGCAGTAAGTGGCTATGTGACTACAGGCAGCAGGCGTGGTTTTCAGGAAAGCAAAATTTCGTTGTTCATATGTTGTCCAGCCAGGGACAAATCGACACAAATAGGTGATGCAGGGCAGGCTTGAGGGAGGCAACAGAGATGGACTGGGGATTTAGATGTATGCGATTTTTGGGAGGGCTGCTTGCTCTTGTGCAGCTTGGGTATTCATTTCATTTTGGCTTGCACACTTACTTATATTATTTTTGAGGTGATGTTGCTGGCCATTGTTCGTATCCTGTGTAATACGAAATATTGGGATGCAGCCTTGAGCGCGTTGGGGGAATTACAGCACTGTGCCACATTGCACCATCAGTGCACTGCATGGCACCTTGGCCGCAGGTGCTGGTCTGTTGACACACAGTATCTGACTAGCCATACTTTTGGTACGTATTGAGGACTCTCGCACAACTGTGATTAAACTTCTGCTTCTGTTCAGACCTTCATATGGAAACGTTCTTCCCCCTCAGTTTTGCGAATCGACGCTCCATCATCTGATGCTGTCGTTTCCAGTTCACTTGTGGAGGCCCTGTGCACGGTGCACCTGAGCAGCGACTGCATTTTTATAAAGTATTGCAGATCTAGCAGCAGAGCCTGTTTCTAAGCGGAAGCTCCGCAGAACTGCACCCCGAGAGGTGGCTGCAATACACGGTAGATCATCCACATGCCGCCCGTCCCTCCCATGCCTCGGTCGGACCTGCCTGTTGCGAAAGAACGAGCGTGGTCCTGGTGCGGGATGCCGCGACGCGAATAACGCTTCCAGGTCGCCGCCGCTTGTCTGGTTCCGCAGCCTTGTGCAGTGACCGCCTTGCCTTTCAGGGGCGGCGTCCCCGCAAGAGTGCGTTGACGCCTTTGGTTGCCGACCACCCGGCCCCAGTGCGCTTTCACACAGCAGCTTCGCTATGCGCAAAGCCGCCCAGTCACGCCACTCCACGCCAGGGCGCGGCGGCAAGCAGCGGCAAGGGCTCAGCCCCAAGGGGCGCCGCCTTCCGCCAGACCCGCAGCACATCGCCCATCCGGGACGCCGTCCCCGACGCCTTGCTCGTTCAGGCCAATCCAGTCACAAATTATGAATCCCCAAATGAGCCGATGGGCATATTGGTCCGCAGGCCGCCCAGCTGTTGCGGGCGGCAGCCGAATGGAGTACTTCGAGTGTGCGCCCTGCACTTTCGCGGGCCGTGACCTTTTGGCGAGCGTCTTCAGCGTGGGGAACGTGGGCGGCCTGGCAGCGGAGGTCATTCACCACACCTTCGAGGCGCGGCTGGTTGGTCGCATTCGAGACAGGAACGTGCTGCCCTGCGTGGGAAACCACAACACTGACCGTGGCGAAGGGCGCCTCCTCGCCACCAGCTTAGAGGTGTACCACATCACTGGGCCGAGAGAGTTCTTTCTGCTTCAACAGAGGTCCCCGGCCATCGCAGGGAGGCAGAGAGCGTTCGACTGCGACCTGGCGGAATGGGCGCAGTCAGTGCGGTTTGCACGGGTGGTCGTTCTTGGGTCTCTACAGGCCGTTCTGCGCAGAGATGCGGATATTCGGGAGGGATCTAGAGTCCGCTGGATTGCCACGGGTGAAGATGCGGAGCGACTGGCATCTGAAGGCGGATTGCAGGCATTGGGAGATGAGGATCTGCTGTTTGATCGGCCTCGAACGGAGCGCAGGACGCCGCCATGGCCTTTAATCTGCGAATGCGAGAACCGCAACGTACCCGTGGTCGCCATACTCGCCTTTGCAACCGAAGGTGACAACTTGGGAGACGCGATCGGGCTCAGCAATGCAGCGAGCACAGCAATGGGCTGGGGATTGGAGGCAGGCAGTGCTTCAGCATGGCAGATACCCCCTTCCATGCGATGCCTATACTCCCGCCCTGTGGAAATGTTGGGATAGGGTGCCTCCACCATTGTCTGAAAGCGAATCTTTCGCACTGGCAACTAGTAATAGAAGTTTCACAACCTGGATACAAACTGCTTGTGTGGCGCCTTCGACAGTGCAAGGAGCTGCCTGGGATGCCCGCCTTGCCCCTTTGGACAGTGTTGGTTAACTAGCTTAGCGAGATTCTGGAGTCTATCAAAGGGCACAGATGGATGGACTCGTGGAACACAAGCTTTTGTCCCCATGAACGGCAGGACTCCAGGCACAGAAGGCAAGGGCATCGAAGAACGGGCATCTAAACTTCAATTTTGCTCTTACCAGCTGCAGTTGCTTCTACTTGTTATCAATGTATTTTGCAGTGGTTTCTCAAGATCCAGGTTTGCCAACCAATAGCTTCATTTCAACGTCATATTCTACATTTTGGCCCTCCGGTGCTGTGCATTACTCGTGGGTGGGTTTTGTGAGGCCTGTGTTGCGTTCTTGTTGGCATTGCAACAGAATATCTTCGTTGTCAGCAAGAGGCATACTGTTATTGGGATAGACAGTCCTCACAGTGTTGTGCACACAAAATCGACGGTCAGGCTTGGTGCTGACCACAGTGCTGAGTGCTTGTGGCCGTTCCCAACCTTTGGGCAGGCTCTTTGTGAAGAATTGTACGCTCTTGGGGACGTGGGTGCATATTCTGTCATGTAAATACAGCATTTGGTGCCAAAGTAGAAGCTGTAGTTGTGCACTGACACATGCCACCCTCACATTGGTAGATTGACTGGTGTTTCAATGCACTCTCTTGAGAGTCCACAGCAGTCGTCGCCACATAGTCAAGTAAGCGGCTGGGGTATTGGAATGGAAGATGGGCTCTTATGCTTAGCTTCACAATGCAGAAACAGTACAAGGCTGGGAACGATCACACATGGATGAGTTGCAATGGGAGGTTGCAGGCATGTTCCATGCGACAGTGCTGGACCATGGACTCTTTAGCAAACAAAAGTACATGCCACACAATGGGTCCACCCCTAAAGCAAAGGAATATTTGAGACTCCTATCCCTTTTGCAAGGCTTGGTTTGCAAGTATTCGATTCCATGAGAAAATCACGACACTGAAGACTGTGCACTCGCAGTACAACCTGCAAACACCTCAACCCTGTGGATACGTGCTTAACGCCACTTTGCAGAGGCAATCTCTTATGCGATGATAGCAACAACGACAATGCCAGCATCTCTCGTTTGAAACCTCGTGAATTGTGCGCTAAACTAAATGAAAACCAACAGAACGGAGGGTTGGACAGTTTTCCCCAACACCGACTACCTCTCCCCCACGCGTGTGAAGTCTTTTCTTTCTGGAAGTTGACTTCTGGTACACGGCTGCAAGTTGGAAAGTCAGTTCGTCTCCCAGAACACTGCAGTTGTGTATCCTTAACTATGTAAAACTATTGTACAACTAGATGACTGGTAGGCTTTGCCCCTTGTGCTGTGGGCGCTAGCCTGCAGAGCTACAGCGCAGGTTTGGCCACCGCAATTGGTGACGTGGTGTATCCATATGAAACCCGTACGCAGCACACTCCGCAGCTGTTCCAAAGTGCTCCTCGTCATTCCGCGATCGTCGCTGCTCTCCCCACCTCTTAGTTTCAGCTTATTTAGCCAATCCGGTGTGCAAGCTCTGGAGTCCACCCCCGCGATCGTGGAGCATTGGCTAACCCGCTGGGTTGGCCCGGTATTGCTCCATAAATTGTTCTGCAAGCTGGGTTACAAATTTCAGTACTGGATCAGTGACGGGCATGCCAACATGCTGACGTGAGCGAAATCTAATGTGGGCAAGCTTCGCATTACGAGGTGAAGAGAAAAATATGTGCAACGTAAGAACAGTGCTCTACATTGCCCGGATGCCAGTCCTGCCAGCATCCATCAAGGGAATCTCCAAAGTGTAATTTGTGCCCCATGTGCTGGCGAACAAACGCATCATCATCAAGAATTCTTACATATCAAGGCGAGGAGGCAGCAATCAGCTCCCCATTTCACCCGAGCAAAGCAGTGTCCATGAATTGTTTCATGAGTACAGATGCAACCCCGGCTTCATTTACGACGTACGTGTAAATGTGAACTCATTGAGTCCCTCGCAACGAAACTGACTGGCTCAGGGTGGCCAGAATTCGCAGCCAATCCACGTCACCACACTGAATCGGCAGAATCGTTTTCAGTGATAAATCATGGACATTCAGCCATTCTCGGGTAAAACAAGGAACCGACGGCAATCTTCTCGCCTTGATATGAACTGCCTCGGTAACGGATGAGTCCGGGAATCGTCGGGAAACGTGGATTACCGTGCTGCCCCGCCGGCATGGCCTTGAATCAATTGAACAGGGCTGACGGGAATCGTCCCAGCCGCCGACGCCACACACCGACAGAGCGGGGGAAAGGGCTGGACTGCAAGCCCTCCTCCCGCGGTCGTGCCACGGTCACACCACCGGTGTGATGACGGGTAAGATGAGTGGCGCGGCAAGGGCTGGGGAGAAGGCTGGCGGGAAGCTGCTCCCTGGCGCGGTTGATTATGCGTCTGCCGTGCTGGGGATGCTGTGACGTGCCAGCAGACGCACCGGAAGAGGCCGCCCCGGCGAACAGGGACAGCGCATCGACTGTGTCCTCGACAAGCGGAAGGGTCCCGTTGCAGACGAGAGAGCCTGAAAAAAGAAGCGAGAGTCAGCACTTTTCTTCAGCGGGGCAAATAGCCAACAAGAAAATAAACTTGACGCCGGTGAGGTGTGAGGAAAGCAGCACCTCCCGGGCGTGAGCTGTACTGACGCTTGACAATGAGATTTAAGAGCGCCGCGCACGTGGATGCCCGCTAGCCAGATTGACTTGGGCGCACGGCGACGTCAATCCCCCTTCCCAGGGGATGGTTCTCCGAAAAAAATCGGTAAAATAAGCTCAGGGAAATTGCTGAAAGAAAGCAGTTTCCAGAAACAAGCCCGTTCTTCGCTGCAGCGCAGAACAGTTCTTTATGTAATCTGTGCACAGGGGTGAAAATATTGGGCATTTGAGGCGAATAGGTGCAAAGCTGGACATTTTGTCCACAAGATATTTTGGCTTATGAATGAAAGGAATTTTTCGGTTGCGTTTAGGAAATTCCACACGAAAAAATGTTTCCGTGCCCACTGTGTATCAAGATTGACAGAAACTGAAGAAGGTGCTGTATCTTGTTGGGCGAATAGTCAACAACATTGGTGGTTCGGTCTTCGAGATGTTCACGAAGAAATCATCCATGCTATGGTTTCTGGGACATATCATTGTCCTTATAAGTGCCCGCGAATTCCCTTCAATCCTACTGCATCGCGCAAATCTATATCTCGTGAATAAAGCAAATTGTTCGCTTAGCGTGAGTAGCAACAGCGTGTTCGAAGGGTGCCACAGAGAGCAATTCGTTATATTCAGAGTGCACGCGACTCAGCAGCAAATCCTTTCTTGTTCAGTTGATGGGCCCACGCGCGACGCCCATGCGGTTGCATCTACTTAATTCGTTTCAAATTCTGCAACTGATTCACGTGGCTGTTTGTGAGTCAGGCGGATAAAGCACGCATAATAAAGCTATTGAACGACGGAGAGGATTTCGATTCGCACAGGTAGCTTACGTTCTTTATTGGCAACACGATTGCCTCAGCAGATTACGACGTGTCTTTCGTTTGCAACGTGGCGCGAAATACCACCAAGCCGCGCTCGGCATTGTCCATATTTCATCTCCGCCAACACCCGTTTCGTCCAGCTGGAACATGGAACCAAGTACATGGAACTGCAAAGAATGTAGCTACCCGGATTTTTAATTGACATGATAGTTCTTCCATTATGTCATCCACAATTAGTCATGATTGTCAATCTTGTACTCATGCGAGTCAAGAGTTTGTACCGAAATGCGTAAGTAATGATTGTTGGCATTACTATGAGAACACTCAGGGCGACAGTTTGCTTCGGAATTTCGGAATAAAACACTAGTCGGGTTCCAGGGGGCGCCCGTTAGCGATGCGACTACAAGCTGCGCGCAAATGTGTTTAAAATTCCATCTCACGTTAGACAGTACTGCTGCTTTCCTGCGTGTTGTAATTTGCAATGGCCATTTGATGTCATTGACCACCGACAGGCGGCAGCGATACTGCTGGCTCGACCCATTTTGTGCACAGTGCGCACTAAAGAGCAGAATATTCCTCATAATGTTCGTGGATAGAATTGTCCGGGAATCCGCCTTGGTTTGTTTCCAGACAGTTCTGATGAAATTGTTAAATTCCACTGCGCCCGCGCCTTCTATGGCTTTCTGCAAAGTTGTGGCAACTCCAACGACGCTCACTGCAGTCGGGTATGTGGCGCAACTTGGCTATTGTTGTCCTCACCGCCTGTTTTGATCTTCTTTGGAAAGTCAGTGGCCGAGCTCTGTGGACGCGAGAGACCTCGCCACCATCACTAGCGTGCGGGTTCCAACGGGTTTGGAAGTGCCCTACGTCACAGCAAATGTAAGGATAGGGCTGTGCAGCCAGATTCATCTGTAACGAACTTCCCACAAAGCTGTCACCGTTCTCGTTCTAAAGCACTGGGTTGTGGCTGTATAAAGAATGGCAACAAGTGTTCGATGCGTTTAAATACGTGTTCCTGCCGAGTTGTTGCCGCGGTTTTCTCTTTATGCGGCTGGATGATACGATTCCAGATGTCTATTATCTTCGTACTGCATATGACAACTGTGATATGGGTGCAGAGAGTGCGCAGTTGACAAAACAATGATCCTGGGATTGTTCAGCCTTCGAAGGCTTGGCAATCGTAGGAATATTTCCATATCGAAATTCCTACGAAAGCGCAGAAGTGCTTCCTTCGTTGGTGTTCCGCTTCCTCGACATCCGACATTGCACTTTGGTATTCTGCAGAGCGATGACATCATATCTGTTCCCGTGTGGTCTTTGCGAGCGATGGCGAATCGAAACGCCCAGAGGGAGAAAGCGCAGCAGGAGCAGAAGGGACGGATGCTGAACGAACGAGGTGGGGGCTTGGAGTTTCTATATGCGGAGAACGCCAACATGTTTGATCACACTACCCCAATGTGTGGCAAACATTGTCGGCAAGCCGGTGGCAACATACTTCCATGAGCATCGTTTGTTCTGGAAGATTCGCTCACATCCCTGTAATCATTTGCCTTGGTAAATGCACGAAGCACCCAGATGCTCACGCAAGCTGCAGCTGGCATTCAAAATTACTGTGCGGCATCACTCGCTACTGCCGTCGCGATGGTCAGTGCATCATTATTGGATCATCCTTTGAAAAGTTAGAAAGTGAATCAATAACATGAATTGAATTGCGGCAGGAGCGCTCGTGAACTGAACGCGAGCATGGTCGTTAGCGAAGTCATGCAGAATCGTGGAGTCCAAAATTTGGTGCTCCCTGTTTCAAACGGAACACCGTATGATGCCATCGCTCCGAAATATAGCAACAACGATAGAGAATGGAATTATACAGATTGGCGAAGCCATGGTTGCAACACACAATATTGAAGTTGGAGACACGAATTTGTGTCTCCATTTCAATTCATTCAAACGGGTGCGGCGACCACCGAGAAAACATCCAAGGCCGCCTTGAGTTCCCCCGCTCTGCTGTTGTGCTCTGGCAAGTGTACGTTGAATTGAAAGCCATTTCTTGGTGCCCGTCAGTGGTTACAAGTAATTTTCTTCTTAGAATATGGGGATTAATTGTGCGACATGTCCTCAAGAGCTTTGGGTGCAAATGTGACAGCTCGTGAGAGGCTGCGAAAAGCGGCAACAATGCGTTCCCGCGACCAGCAACGCAAGATTTTGGCGGACGCCATTATGAGGTCCAGAAGAACGTTCCAAGACAACAGTGGGTCTGGGTGCTCAATCTCTGAGAACATGTGCTCACAAGCGACGTTCGACATCCCGGATATCATTCTTAAGATGAAGTCTCTTGCCAATGGTCATGGATCATGCGATCTGGGGCGATGACGCAGCCAGGCATGACGACCGAAGGTGGCGTCAAGTGACTTGGTATGTGTCCATGTCTTTCCCATGCAATAACTCCATTGGAACATTCATCGACAGGGTCCGGTTTTGGAGCCACGCATGCTCGGCAGGCGCTAAATTGGCACTGTAATGTAGGGGACACTGTCCTTCAAGTCCCCTTCCTCACCAAGCGTAACAAAATCGACACAGTGTCTTCCCTTTAGGGGAATGCAGACAGAGCACAACGTGTCCAACCCACTCTTTTGCCCAATGGCTTGTGCGGTCGGCGACAATCTAAAACTCTCTTTTCTGGACTCACGAAAAATCTGTGTGATTCAGGGGTAGACTGGATCGCCTTCGTCGAGGCAACGATGAGCTTGGAACACCTCAGCCCCCAACACTGTTCTACGAAATCCGATTGGGCTTGTGGCACACGTGTGTACTGCCTTGGCAAATCACATCGCCAGTTGGCCTCAATCCACAGTCTGGGATGCGGTTAAAATGGGATACACCCACTTAGGGGTCTGTGCATCTTATGTGGTAGGTAGGCACCGCGGCATGGGACAGCGCACGCAGTGCAAAAAGACGAATTTCGACCATGCAGACTCAAGAATTGAAGGGAGAAGTTTGGGCAGCGCCGACGAAGGCTCATCAACTCTTTTCGAGACGTCACTACCCTTGCAGAGTGCTGGCGGACCACAACAAGAAAGATGGGGCACATACGGTGGCACGGTTGGTTGCGACAGTGAGGCAATGGCACACGTGGTGGCCAACAATAGTTGGCACGATCGAATGCTCACAGCCAACAACTGACACAGTCTGGCCGGGCCTTCCCTCCACAGTTAGAAATGGCGGATCCCTTTGGCACGCCAAATCAAGGACTCCAGCAAAAATTACGCTGTTTCTGCGGCAAGCGCCCTTCTGTGCTGTGCAGATGGGTCCTCATTTAACTGGTTTAGTAAGACATCAACCAAAGAGGGTCCACCTTGTGCATTGCATCCAGCAGTCGCACAAACGAGCTCTAACCTTAAATTCATGCCCTGTTCAGTCCCATGCAGAAAGCGGGACATTTGATGCGGCGAAGTTGCAGTGCTCATGGCTGGATAGACATGGTGATTAGCTGGAGTACGGAAATCAAGTGATAGATCATATTGGTCTGTCGCCATCGGGGAACAACTCGATGTCCATATTCCGGAATATTGCATCTAATCTTCATTTGGAAGGACACTGCTGGTGACCAAGCCAGCTGACTCCAAGTAATGCACACGTATCATTGTTTGGCCCTTGGCAGAGACAGCAGTTCTTCAAAGTGTAGCATGTGACATATCCAAGCAAATACTTCAGAACATAAATTCCGTTGCAAAATCCATGCCAATTGCAAATCCAGACGTTCTTCAATCCGACGTTCTTGCGCTCGACCGTGCTGTATTACTATTTCTGAACTGATGAAACTGAAAGATATACAGCCTGTGAAAGAAAACCCAAAACGATCAGCTAAATGATCACCAGTGTCAACCTGCAAAAGCACCACAGTGCAAGACCTGAGCAATGCATTGCCTACCACTGCTCATTTCTGGGGTCCTCAAACCTGGGCTGGTGGTCCCTGGGGCAGAATGCACAAGACTCGCCTACCCATGGACTCAGGCTATACATTGCAACCAGGCTTTTCAATCCTCAAGTGCTACATTGCCACCTACCATCACAACAGTCCACAGGCCCAGTGTCAGGTACGGCCACTTGCAACATGGAATTCTGGCGATCAGTAGCGCCTGTCAGATCAATCAGTTCTGTTTGGCCACGAGTACCAACCCTCTTCTCCTGGGATAGCACCTATAATGATATTGGTTTACTGCATTGGGTGCAGGCAGGTACCTGTCCATCAGTGCAGCTCCCTAGGCTTCCCAACGCCTCCTGGGTAGCAGCATGTACTGGCAGCTGGGCTGCCTCTGCAAGGGACTCTTGATTTGGCTCACAATTTTGTGCATTTTGCAGTTGCCCGGCATCTGCTTGCATGCCGTATGCTGCAGCTCTTCTGGTCAGTGACCTGAAAGGGTCCTCTGCAGCACTGTGCTGCTGGCCTGAGCCAAGAGTTGCATCAGGAAACACTGAATTTGCCAAAATGCCTGCCTTTGATGCAAGCCTTGTAAGTGCTGACAATCCCTGCAGCTCCCCTTGCCTTCCACAGCTGGCCATTGCTGCTCCTGCTGGACTGGCAGCCGTTTGTCCTCTGCAGGCCAGATTTCCACCAGTTGCCTGGCAAACATCGGGCCTTTCCTGGCCTACATCAACGGCTGTTGGCACGATACGTCTCCTAACTCCTCCCGGCTCACTGTCTGCCTTGTCGTTTTCTCTGCTGTTGGCATCGCCACCAGGTTGTCCACAAGCCCCAGCACGTGGTGGAAAGCCCTGTGGCTCAGGATTGCTGGCATCTGGCGATTGTTGAACATTGCCATCGTTGCCAGATTCCTCGTGGTGGCTGTCTGCTTGTCTGCTGTATGCGGCAGCCTTTGCGGTCAACGATGCAAATGGGTCTTCCACCTCTGTGGTGCACCATTCAGATCTTTCGAATAGGGAGTCCGGAAATTGTGACTCTGCAAGGATCCCCGCCTTGGCTGCTAGCTTTGTGAGTGCAGACATGCCCTCCAGCGCCCCACGTGCTTCAAATCCGACAGCTAAGGTCCCTATTGGGATGGCAGTGGTCCTTCCACTGCAGCTTGGTTGCAAGCCAGTTGCCAGGTGTCCAGTGTGGTTCCCCTGTTCACCATCAATGGCTGTCGGCATGATGCGTCTCCTAGCTCTCGGGTTATAGCCTGCCACATGAGTTCCCCCACTGCTGCTCTGGCCACCAGCGTCAGCTGTAACAGCGATGTCCAGCATAGGCGTTGGCAAAGGATGTCCTCCTGACTGATTGGTGCATGCTCGTTGGTGGCAAGGGTCACCAGCAAGGGGAGTTGGCATGATTCGCTTCTTTGCTCTTCTTCCAATGTCCCCTGTTTTGAAAGGAACACTGCTCTGGACCACATAGGACCCATTGCTGCCCATGCTCACCTGCGCAGCAGTGTGCTCGCCAACAGATGGCTGCTCCTCAGCCTTGCTGACATGTCCTGCTTTCTTATCTGATCCCTTGGCCATCGAATCACAGCAGCCGCCATTCTCTATTTCTCTGCTTTGCACTGGTGCTGCACTTGCATTCGTTCTGCTTGCCAGGTCAGTAGCTCTCTTTTTGGCTGGTAGCTCACTGCTGTCCCCTCTCATCTCCTGTGACCCCAATCCCTTCCTCAAAATTGTCTTGGGTTCAAAGCACTCTCCAATATCTGTTGGGCGCCCGGCTACCTGGCCGCTCTCTGGATTTTGAGGGGCACATCTTTTCACTCCCCGTTTCTCAGGGGCTGTGGGCAGTTGTTGAAGAGATTCCAACCACTGTCTGGCTTCATCAGGAATGCGCTCTGGCAAAATGGGGACCCCGAGTTCCTCCTCTTCAAAGACTGCAATGCTACAGTAACCGTCCCTTGATGAGATTGCTAGATACTGCCCATCCGGCGACCATGCCAGGTCAGTGATTTCAGCATAGTGGACTGATCCCAGCAGGCATATGGGTTCTGACTCCTGCAGGAACAGAGACAGAAATACTGTGGCAATCCACTTTGCAAGCGTTAACTCAGGGGTAAATGAATAGACCCTATAGTTTCTGGCAACTGTTCTGCAGACCTCACTTGTATTTTGCCAGTACTTCAATTCTGCTCTCAGACACTGCCCAATATGCCTCGTATCCAGGGCAGAAAGTTCAGACACCAATGCAGACAGGGCCTGACTTCTCTGATGCTGTTCCTGGCACATTTGTATGATTTTCATGACCCGTGGTAGCACTCAAACATTCCACACAGCTCTTGCTCAAGAATGGGGTGACAAGTGTGACAATTCCCCTTGCTGTAACAGACGGTCGTCGACTCTTTCGATGCCCAAACATGCACCCATGAATACGAAAATCCAAACGAGGTGAAGGCAGGTTCTATTGCTTGACCACAAGTCACAATCACAGACCATTTCTTCTGAGCAAGCACTCGACTGGTGCCCACAAAGCAATGCACACCTCTGTGCTATAGATCACCACACTGTGTCGTGCCGCAGCAGCCAACACGAGCTTGTAGGGCTGCACAAAACCACAAGCTGCTGTGTTCTCCTTTCCAAGGCTTCGTTCATAAAGAATGGGACAAAAACGGACCACTGCAAATGGTTCTGGCAGCCCCATCAGGTGCCCAACAGGAGCGGCCCTGGCACACAATCATTGACAGAAATCAAGGCATTGATATTGATGCAGTGCAGGGAAAGTCCACCTGCATGCTCCAATGTCGAGTGGCTGCAACAACTGTTATCATAGGTAGTGGATGGTTACCGCTGGAAGCTGTGGGGCAACTCGACTACAGGAAGCTGCCAGTCATGTCAACTGACATGATGTGCTCAGTGCACGTCCCCACTTGCAACGACCCTTGCTTGCTTCTGATATGTCAGAACGATGTTTCAATACAGGAAAAGTTCCCAGTTGAAGAAACAGTGCTACACAACTTGTCTAAATGCAGGTGGCAACGTTGCCACATGCCGCAGCAATCGTCGAACTGGGTCCAACAGCAAACTGCTACAATTGTCAATGTATGTTGGTAGATACCAGAGTATGTGAGTGTTCTGAAAAGCCCTCTTCACAGACTAGACAAACAAAATTCGTCAAGTGTCTTCCTAGTTGAGAAATTGAATTATCAGGAATATATGTTATGGTGAGCATCACCCTAGCTGCCACTTCCAAGTTCAGGTATCCAATTTTCAGCTCCCTGCCCATTACAAAAGTGCAAACTCCATTGTACCACGTTGCATGGCAAGGCAAGCAACACAAAACTTGCACAGCTTGAATACAAGACAATGCCATGCACCTGCCAACACAACAGTATCATATATTGGAGTGGCAGTGTGTAGGACAATGGCCCAAGGGCAAGTTCCTGAATCCAGCCCATGGAGATGCTTGCACTTGCATTGAGCCAGACAGGAGCAGCAGCAAAAGTACGGCAAGACAAGAATAAAGCGAGGCATACAGATTGCACTCGAACCGCCCATACCATTTTCCCCGTGCATATATGTAGGCTGTGTGCTGTGTGCTGTACACACCAGCTGGGATGACCAAGAAAGAGCCTGTTGGGTTGTAAAACAAGCACACGTCACATCAGCATTGGGCAGATAAAGCACCAAACGTGAGCGCACAGATGGACTGAATTCACACCTCAAAACTTGTCGGGTGGTGACAATGGCAAGCTCGCTGTGCAACCATGCATGAAAACAGTCTTCACCCGAAAAAGCTACAGCAATCCCTGGCGCCTGAGGGCTCACAAGGGGCGACACTTCAACAGGCTCCTCTGCTCATGTCCATGGACCCTGTTGGAAATACCTATTGTGTACCTTATCTCTTGAAAAGTTGCAGAATCGCCAATTTTCTGTACAACGAACGCACCTTCTGGTGACCATGCGAGCCGCCTGAAGAAGCTGGACAATGTGTCATCATGGAACATAAATGTGTCCCGTGCCTCATTCTCGCCTACACAACATTGTTCAAGGGAATTAGCCCAATATTTGAGGTTATTTTCTGAGCTCAATCAAGCCAAACAATGACAAATCTTGTACAAAGCAGATGTCCTCAGAATGCAAGAAAAGTCTTGGGGAAACCCCATTTGCTCAGCAACATTGGCTGCAGAGCTGACAAAGGTTGTTGCCACTAAGTTCTAAGCAAGATCGGACGATGTTGTCACATAATCAGGTGGCACCATTTTGCCAACAGCGTGCAGTGCTACTGAACAGCACTGACCAGTTGTGAGTGCCTTTGTACCTCCAACTGGTCGCTTGTACAGCAACCTCTCTTGCACCCATTGGCCGGCCGTCTGAGCTGCCGAGGCGTCAGTCTGATTGGACAGCGGCGGCCTTCCATACACACGGCATGTGCGATCACCGCTCTGAGACACCAGGAACTGGTTTGCAGGATCCCATGCCACACCCTGGATGTAGTGTTTGTGTCCATCAAAACGCGCCTGACCAGTGGACAAGAATCAACCATGAGTTCTGGTACAGTCTCTAGTGGGTGCAACACAGAGAAAATGAACTTCACAAAAACTGCACACCTATCGATATGATGATGATGGGAAGTTGTCAGTAGCACACTGGGGCAGCAGTTGAGCCATCCACAAAGAAGTGTGCTGCTGTAGCAGAATTGTCAAGCAGTGGTGCCAAAACATATGCAGCGGTGGATGTCACCACAAATGACATACAAAATGCGTTGATGCAAGATGTCTGGGTGCAGATTCTGATTGGGTGTGCGCCTTCCAGAGAAACACTTCTGATCCAGAATCCCCCTCTGAAAAACTGAAACTACGGCACCTAAGTCAGCAAATGAGGTCATCACCTTAGCTTTTGCATGTTGCACATCCCACACAATCATAACATGCTCAAGGGACCCAGAAGCCAATGCAGTGGAGTCAGGGGACCAGGCGATGTCGAAAATGTCATCCAGATGACCCCTGTGCACACACATACCATGTGGGCCGTCACACCAATGCCAATGCGAGTGCACTGCTGGTGCAAGCCATTCTATTCTCGAATTTCAAATGGTAATGAGGAGAGTTTGATGCAATCGCACTGAATCAGCGACCCACACCTCAGCACAGTGGAGGGCTTCCACGGTTTGCTATCCTTGGAAAGGGATTCGTCTTGTGCGTTCTCTTTCCAAATCAGTAGCTCGCCCTTGTCCCCCGCAGATGCAAGCCGTTCACCTGTGCTGGGGACGAAGAGCCCAAATCACCGCCCTTTTGATTAGCAACAGAAACGAAACTGTGGACTGTAGCTTTCGTTTGGATTCGTCCAACTTTGTCCAACTTTGTACGCAAGTTTACACCTGACCAGCCCACCACTTAGCCCTTTGTGATTATGCAGTAACACATTAGATTCCAGCACACCCATCATACCAGGTTGCAAAGCCCACCAAAACTTGAAATTTAAAGGGATTAATCAAGCCAATCCATGCCAGTTGCAGAACACAATTACCGTTTGGTGAGAAGCGGATGCAATTGACTGGGCCCACGTGTTGATTGAGCTCCGCAACGAACTTAACAGCAGGGTTACCGTTGTCCGTCTTTTGGATCTGTGACACAGGCACGCCAGTTGCGTTGTTCAAGCTCCTCAGCACACTTCCGCCCTGCTCCAGACCGCGTCTCAGCCTCGACATCCAGAGCAGCGCGCTCCTCGCCACGCGCAAACAGACGGATCCAACTCGCTGCAGCCTGCCAAAATTTTATGGTTGCCGCCGCAAACGAGGCTGGAGGCACCACAGTGGCCAAATTCTGTGTCGATCTCCCAAGCGCTTCGCTCCATGTGCCCAATCCACGACGACACTTACCTCCCACAACTGAGGAAGCGCCGCCCGAGAAGGTCCCCGAAGAAGAGACACAACAAGCCAGGATCGTCAGACCACAACGTTGCGGCTTCACTTTCCAAAGGCCAAAGAGGCTGAAAGCGGGAATAGCTCGCACCCTTATGCTGTTGTCTGCGCCTCCCGTTGCAAGGCGGCCAGACGGATGGAAGTCAACGGTGAAGACGGGGCCTCTGCTGTGCCAGACAACTTGCAGTGTCCTCAGCTTCACCATGATGCAATGGGCGAGGCGAAGGGGACGCCGTTGTCGGCAAACGGGAGTGCACCCTGCAGACGCAGTTGGTGTAGGTTGGGATGTTGGGGGGCGAAGAACAGATTGGCGTTTCTGGCGGGCAGCCCGCCCACTGTCGTGGGTGTTGATAGTTTATTCAACAATGCCCGAGGAAAATTGGACAAATTTGGTGGCAGTTTACTTCGCCCCAACGAGCCATTGAAGGGAGCAAGAAAGAGCCACAAGCCTTTCACTGATGTCATGAGCCAACAGCCACCATTGAAGGTGCTAATCCCCAATCTGGGGAAAAGTTCCTAACGCGCGTGAAGTTAATTCTATGCAAACAAAGAAATTTCTTAACCACCTATGATAGGCGGCCTATCATGACCGACAAACGGCCTCTCGCCATTGCATTCTCAAAACTTGCAACATGAAGCATTCTGGCGTTTTCACACCAGACAAAGTTTTCAAACCAACTTGAAGAAGAATTAACAGAATACTTGGTGCACCGAATTTGTAGCTTGTGGTGATGGTGATGTTAAGTTCTCCTAGGAGGGGGCTCCTTCCCCATTAAGTCTAAAACCCACCTCGCCAGACACCTAGAACCTATTAGGTCCTGGGCGGGAACCCCCTACTACAACTTGGTAGGCCTGGAGGTATATAAAATATTATATAAATGATACAAAGTAAGGCGTCCCCACCTTAGGCAATGAGTGTAGTAATTAGACACTATACTATGCTTTAACAGGTAATTAGATGTTTAAGATGACTTACATGAGTTTATTTGTGTCTGCAAATGTGTTAATCATGATCGCCATGTTCATCTTGTTAGGCTGTAAATGCTTTTAGCACAGTGTGCTTTCCATGAGATGCACACAATGTGCGCAGCCAGGAACTCCCCTTACAGTGGAATCTATGTGTTGGCATGGTGCTCAAACGTCTTCCATTGCCGATACTATTTTTTCTTTGCCTTTTGCGCCTACCCATTAAGTGTGGTGTGATTTGCATTTTTGTATTGGAGAGAAGAAGGGAAGGCACCATTGGTGTTTATAGTCCGGGAACCATTGCATGTTTTTGGTGATTATTTTTTTGTACTTGTAATATTTCGTTGGATGCACAACAACGCTATTATATCATTGTTTTTGGAAACCACGTGGTGCACCAGCCATCTGTGAAAGTGGCACAAGCCTTCAATATGGCCAACAAACCCTTGAACAGCACAGCGGAACCGCGCACAAGAGGCCACGCAAGTGCAGAGCCGCGGTCTGTTCACAGATGCATGCACTGAACAAGACAGATCCACAAACCACACAACGACAACAATAGCGGTTCCCCATGAGGACCGCGAAATCCGTGTCAAAATGGAGTGGGCGGGAAGTCTCATGCAGACGAGTAGACTGTCGAATGGAACGACAGAAAACAGCAGTGGACAAGGGATATGAAGGCAATGCATCGCCCTACATACCACACGACCCACCACATATGATCGCCAGCTGCCAAGCAAACAAGAAGTATCTGCCTCAAATTTGCACTGCCATGCAGCCTACAGGTAACCTTCCCAATTTGTACAACATGCCTTGCAGGCATACTTGCTCGCCCTAGATGTTACATCCATCGTGTTGCTACTCATTCAAAGGCCAAAAGCCCTTGGAATGGCAGCATCTTGCTGACCAGCATGCAAAAAGCTGAAGACGTCATCGAATCCTTGGATCTGCAAGTAGAATTGAGGTTGTGAGTTCCCAATCTAGCCATTGCTCAAACCCATCAGGTGCCGTCGGTGCGCGTCGGGAAGTCTGGGTCTCGCCTGAATATCTCCTGGAACTTGGTAAACCACCTGCACACATATTCCCCCAGTGCAATTGGTCCCAGGTCCTGCTGATTGAGCCCAGCAGCAAGCAGAAAACAAGGAGAATCCACACAATTGCTACCAAGTGGCAAACTGGCCACCTGTTGCTAGCTTGTGCCAGAAAGGAAGAGGAGGAGGCTGGCAGATTGCAAACAAGTTGTGAAAACGAAACGGTGCGACATCGACTTGCGAAAGTTGGCAAAAGCGCACTGACAAGCAAACAGATGATCTTGTCAGGCACCCCAAAGTTACCTCTCAAAACAGTTGGTGGGCACCACAACTTGGTTGCATGCTTGTGGGGTCTCAAATGAAGACATGAAGCAGTACAAGTCGAGCGCCACCCTCTTTGCAAAGTGGCTGCTATCCGTAAGCCTTCCTTCAAAGAAAGCTGGTTCAAAGGCTCCATGCAGACCCAAATTTGAGCAGGTGTTGTACCCACAAGGCCACTTGCCGCTATGCCTGGCCACTGCACAGGCACAGAATCCTCAGGTATTGAAGAATTGTGGAGTGTGCATTCACAGAAATTTGTGAGGTTACCCATTCTGCCCTCTGAAGTCCATTCTGTAGTCTTGACAGACTATTTTGATCCGTAAGGTCGGCCCATCAGGTGGTATTAGGTTCAAAGATAGAAAACTCCTTATTTCGCAGCTTTTGCTGCCTAAAATGGCAGTTTGTGGATGTCACCAGATGTTCTGGAATTCTGTTTCTCACAGCCATTGCTATGACTACATCTAGCCATGGGAGCTCCTTTGAATAAGCTGCTGTGCACAATTTCGAGAAACTCCATCGTTGTCACAACTACTATCCCCATCATACAGGCCAAATGGCAAACGGCCACCAGCAGCTGCAAACAACATTCAATACATCTCGTCCCCAGCACCTTGTGGGCCGTGGACTAACCTTGCTAGTGCGCCAATGCTTTGACTTGAAACCTCTGCCAGTCCATCTGAAGGAAACACAAGCAGGGGCACATGAGGCAGTCATGATCAAACTTTGATCAACAAAGATAGGCCCTCTCCAGCAGGCCTGGAGATGCACACACTGGTGATGGTGGGATGAAGGAAATGACAAGGCCCAGTGGAGCAGCTGAAGGCCTGTGGGGAGGTGCCATTGTTGTCAGCCCGCAAACTAGGTGACATAAGGAACGAGCAAATGCTGCAGTGGCCAGTCCCTGGATTTCTTTTACCTTCACCAGTCAACACGGAGCCCATACGCTTGAAGGTAATGATGGAAGATTGCCTGCAGGGCCAACTGTATTAATGGGACAGCAAGGGAGAAAGTGCAGATGCACCCCTTGCGTTTGTGCTCATCTGAGTGGCTTTTCCTGGGAAAGGCCAGCATGACAACGACTCGAAGGCACAAGGCAGTGGTTGTCACGTTGATGGTCAAATCAGGTTTCTGGTGACAAGTTTCTGAGGTCTCTCCCCCCCCAGGCATGGTTGTGGGAAGAAGCAAGGGTGGGATTCTGCAAGGAGGCCCCAACTGCCACAACCTTCAATTGCAGGCCATTCGTAGAGTCGTTTGCAAGTGCCTCTGCCTTTTGTATATGGTGGATTTTGGTCTCGGCAATGCACACACAATGCAGCCGTCATATGCCGATATCGTCCATCGTAGCTTTGATTGCCTGTCTCACTGACCAACCCATCCTGGGCGTTCAGAGGACCTCCCAAGTTCAGGGACAAAGAGGGCCCGAATTGGAGCACCCTTGTATCATCATCTCCAATGCTTGGCTGGCTTGTGGAGTTTGCCAGGGCTTGGCTGACTAGTGCGTAACCTGGGTATGCCGATGCAGCAGATCACCCGCAAGGATGTGGTATTGAACGATTTTCCCCGCACAGAGTGCCTGAACGGTACAAAAAGATATGCCTTCACTTATTCTATGAAACTGGAACTCGTGGGCACTGGCCCAAGCTCTGTTGGTGGGCCTGCCCGCCAGCAGCCCTGTGCCCAGTTTTGGCGCCTCAGCGCTCCAAATTACAAAATGGCTATCAAGTACTGCTGCCAAGTTCACCATTGCCGTTTGTTTCACTGGGACTGATGGGGATGCAGCAGGGTGTTGGCGAGAACGCAGGACGGGACGGGCCCGCGAATGCCGACTGACAAATGGTCAGGAAAGGTCTTGCCCTCATACCGAAAAGCTTTCGCCTTTCACCTGAACCTGTGAGAACACAGAGCGGGCACCAATTTCGCAAGCGCAGGTGTTGTTCAGCAGGCTAGAGTGCGAGCGAAAGTGCGCTGACAGTTGTCACGCACGAGTTGTTTCTGTCGCAGGGAATGCGTCCATTGGCGGCTTCCAGGAGGGCGCACAAACAAACTGGCCCTGGCACCGACAGTGGAGCGCTTTCCTAGTGCGCGCGACGAAGCGGGGAGTCTGCTGCCGAAACGCGCACCGAACTGCGTGGCAACGCAGCAGCAGTTTTGCTGAGCAGCGACACGCAGAGGCTCTGTCCGCCACTGTGTCCACCACCTGGTAAGACCGTTTGGCGGGAACTTCCGCAGTTGGGCACACGAAGTTCGCAAGGACCCACCGTCCACCGACATCGGTCAAAGACACTGGATGTTGTATGCCAAATCAGCTGGGGAGAATATTGTATTGCCAGGAAGAAGGCACTGCCGAGATTCGAACTCGGGTTATTGGATTCAAAGTCCAATGTGATCACCACTACACTACAGCGCCTGCGCTCACAACTGTTTTGATTATAAACTATATATGTTTGCAAATGGCAAAATGGTCCCGACAGCAAACTTCGGACAGCAAATGCTGTGGAGGAAAGGTGCATTGCACGCTAAGGGTTGGCCGCCTCCCATTCGTTTTGTCCCGAAAACGGCTTCCCTTCTAAAAAAATCTGAAAATGTGAACAATGGCGGCACGTGTTGGGTGATGATATTCTCGCTCAGAATTTCAAGTCAGCTTCCAAAACTCGAATTCACGACCCGCTTAATGCCCTTTTGTTCACAGTACAGCACAGCAGCGCAGCCTGCTGTGTGGACCGGAGCGCACGAGGCGCAAAAGCGAAGGGCGGGCTGCCAGACAAATGCTGGCCATGGTCCGTCCTGCCCAAGAGAACGGCGCTGAGCTCTGTGTGCCACGCCAGGGCCGGCACTGCTGGCGACCTCATATCGGTTGCCGGCTCCAAGAGCAAAGGGCGCGAGCATCAGTGAGAGGGCGGAGGAAGAGCATGCAACTGTGCGCCTTCAGGCACCGCAGTGGCTATCCTTTCGCCAACAGATTCCACCAATAGTTTCGCAGGAGCTGGTGGATACCTCGGGCAGTTGCAGGTCTGGTGGATAGGATGGCATCGTTGTCAACTTGTGGAATGCGCTCAGACTGTGGTTGCACTTGTGGAGAGCGTTATGGAGATGTAGCCACATAGCAGATTCTCTCCGACCAGACCACAAGCACCTTGTAACGCTCGGTTCTAGTCTCCAATAGAGGTAAACCGAGCAGATCCCTACAACAACGGGGACGGAAATTTTGTCAAGAGGATCAACGAAACGACACCCATTACTGAAACACTTGGCAACGCCCTGGCCCTGTGCCAGCTTTCTTTTGCCGTTCAAACATGAACACAAACAAAACGGCGCTCATGGTCCAGCAGCTGCATTTCCGGTGGCGAACTTCGGCTGCCAAAGGGCATCTGATTGCTCAGCTCAGGAGAATCTGCACGAGGAGCATCCTGGAAGCAAAACCGGACTAAAAACTCGTTGTTTCCACTGTACGACTTGACGCCAGTGGAATGGGGCTGGATTCCATATTGCTATCCCAGCAAGCTTTCCCAGATCGAAAATGTAGTGGGCCTATGTCCTTCGATTCTTTGTGTGTGGTAGACCCTGAACTGGCTCCAGCTGGAACACCAGGTCATCCACTCAATTACTTATCAAACTGTTTACTGTCTGGTAAGTGCAGGGTAACTGTTTCAGAAATTTCAGCTGCAGGGAATGCTTCAGTGAGCAGAAAGTCCTGGGACCAAAACACTTGCAGAAGAAGTTCTGTACTGGAAAAGAGCACCATGATATGTTCCCAACAAAACACTGGTCACATTCAGGCATTTGCATTTCTTGCGCATGGCATCTGAACGCAATTGTTGTTAGTGCAGGCCAAATCGGCAAAGGCTTCACGTTCCTGTGCAGGGATGTGGGGTTGCCGATTCTGGAGTGAAGGTGTCTACAGTCCACAAAATCCTCCCAGTGTGAGGACATGAACAAAAGTTATTGGAAATGGAAAGTTATTGGAAATGTTATTGGAAATACTGTTGATGGACTTGTACTTGTAGCCACATCGAGGTTGCAGAGGGGCTGTGCTTCTCATGTCTGGACAAGGCATTTAGAACAGATCATTATAAAGTGACTACATTTTCTTTGCAGGCAAGCGCAACCCAAAGGCCCCAGGCATTGATTTGGTGCTGTGGGGTTGCCAATTCTGATGGCGACGTCCTCAGAATCTGCACATTGACCTCCAAGCACGGCACAAACTGCTAAGTACCCCACATTTGCAGACATTATGAAGCGAGGAACCAGGGCGCCTGCTCACATGCCAACAGCAGAGTCCGTTCGAAGCCACACAGAAATGATTCGGCTTGGTCTGTGCTGCACTTTCAAAGAAGTTCCAATCAAATTTCGTCAGACGACTGTCAAGAATGTCAGGAGATTGGAGGAGCCTTTATCTTTCATTTCGAAGTTGATTCTGGCCAACTCGGAGTCATTGATACAGAGCATCCAATACTGCAGATGCAACAATGTGGGCAGTTTCCGTGTCAACAGCCAGTTTTGTCCGTTGTTTACACATCCAGAATTCGGATACTCTCTGACAGATCTACCGGAACACGAAGCCATACTTGCGAACCTTCAAGAGTCCCGACGCTTGAGTCAGAAGCATGACATCCGTCTAGTCATGCATCCAGACCAATTTGTGGTGTTGAACTCTCTGGACGGTGAAATCGTCGAGAGATCTATACTAGAGCTGGAATACCACCAGATGCTTGCCAAGGTAGGTAATCGGTGCCCACACATGTCAGTGCAAGCCACCTCAGCACATATTTTTCCGCTGTGTCACGAGCTGTGGTGGTGAAGCTGTATGTTGTGGACACTTTCTGCCTTCCTTGACAACAGCTAAAACCCCTAACAGCATCTCAGCATGAAGGGCCAGTCTGTTTATTCCTGTGCATGTTCTGCCTGCAGCATTTAACCTAGGAACCCTTTGGCATGAACTTTGGCCAACGGTGGGATGAATGGACTCATTGTATTCATGCCATTCAGATTATAGGGGTTGATGTCATCAACATTCACTGCGGTGGCGTGTATGGAAACAAAAAAGCTGCACTGGAGCGCTTTGCCACAGCATTTCAGCGCCTATCTCCAGAACTGAAGGCCAACCTCACGCTTGAGAATGATGACAAGAGCTACACACCGTCAGACCTCCTCCCACTTTGCCGGGAGCTGGGGATTCCGTTGGTCTATGACGTGCATCACCACAGGTGCAACCCTGACAGCATGTCTATCAAAGAAGCCACTGATGAGGCAATGAAGGTACAGCAGAGTGGGCAAATGGAGACACCTAGCCTTTTTGCTGCATTGCACACTTCCTCTGCAGAGGTGGCTGCCACCGTAACCATGCCAGCATGAACAATGTTGTCCCTGTTTGAACTGCAATCTTGGCCATGGATAGTGTGCTTGGCCAAGTAGTTGGTCGGGCCTGAGGATACGTGTAGCAGCCAAGGCGCTGGCCTTTGTGCAGCAATAGCATGGCTGATGCTGAAGCAGTTTGTGTGAAAATAGCTGCTGATATGGTTTCTTTCCTTGCAGTTAGTCATGATTCAAGTGCTGGGACATGTTCAGGGTACACAACAGTTGTAGATCGCGAATTTGCAACCTTTCATCACCCGCACGAGAGTGCACTGCATTGACTAGAGGTGAGAATAAGTGAAAGCCAGGGATGTGTGTCAGGGGCGTGTCCTGGCAAGCAAGCCCTGTGCTGGGGTACATGTTATGCCTCCTGTTGTGTGTCTTGTCCAGTTGTGCGGAACTGGTTTGCACAAGACAACAACAGTGGGGCAGTCCTAGGCCATCATTTGATTCAGTTGGGATGTTCCCATGTAGACATGGCAACGTGAGCCGTTGTTCCATATCTCAAGTCCCAAGGACGGATGGAACGGGCCAAAACCGCTTCGCCATCACGACTACATCTGTGAAAGCGACTTCCCAGAATACTGGCAGGAAATGGAGGGCGGTAGGTTCACTGTCGAGGTGGAGGCCAAGGCAAAGGAGCTGGCCGTTCAGCGGCTCATGGCTTGGCTGAAAGACCAAGGTGTCCAGCTCTGGAAGCAGCCACCAGGGATTTGTGAAGAGAATGGATCATTGCCACAGCACGCTCTCAAACTGTTCTCTGACGAGTTTGCTGATGATGCTGAGACTGCAGCATGATTCTTGTTGCGGGTCGTTGCAGACGAGCCGTTGCCTTAGCATGGATGGATCCATGCCATATCTGGCAAGGGTGGGCCCTGCCAGTCTATGTGCAGAGTGTACAAGGCTGCGGGTGGTTTAAGGGATGTTCCCTGTTGATCGGATTTGTCTGTGCTCAGAAACTTGAGGACACAGGATTTGGGTTGGCGAACTGGGGTTGCACATGTGGCCCAGCTTCAAGTGTGTGTGTCTGTAACGGCATGTGTCGTGGGATTTCGGCAATGCTGCCGCTCAGCGGAATGCCTGTGTGGTGCTTGTTGTATCCGAGGCGCCTGGTCGCCTGGCCCAACATCTTCTTTGGGCACGTTGGGTTCACACCATGGTGTTCTTCTTTTCATCTGCTGCTCGATGCCCCTTTCCAATGTAATGGTGAACTGTCAGGTGTGCATGCGTTGTGTGTGGAGAAAATGGGCAGATCTATTGGCTTTGAAAGGCGCCGCTTGTGATATCTGTGTTTGGCAAAGAAAGACGATCACCCTCTTCCTCCCGCTGAGCTGCAGCCGCTGTTGCTAGGCGTCGACGGTTAGTCGCAGGAACGTGTGGCCACTGTCTAGTTAACAGCTCAAAAAGACACGCTGGATTCGCAGGCAGTGCAGAATTTCAATGTTGATTCCGTTTTAGGTGGAAGATACACACGACAATCAGTTGAGATTTTGCATACATGGAAGGAAGTCAGCATTCTACAAATCAGGATCAATATTGCAGGAGTACGGGCGTCAGTTAACTATCGAATGACGTAGTACAATGCGACCGTTGTTACTTTGTGATACTATGGAACTGGACGGTGATCCAGAAAACAATGAGCACCCTGTGGTGATATCCTCTTCAAATCCGAAGATCCGAAACACGAAGCGAAGCAACGGAATCCAGGCACAAAGTTTAAATATGAATGCTCACTTTGTGATTCTATGGAACTGGACGGTGATCCAGAAAACAATGAGCACCCTGCGGTGATATCCTCTTCAAATCCGAAGATCCGAAACACGAAGCGAAGCAACGGAATCCAGGCACAAAGTTTAAATATGAATGCTCACTTTGTGATGTCTTTCGCAGTTGATGGCACTCTCTCCTGAGTCATTGTGGAACGCCCTTCTCAGCACAAATTAGGCAATTGGGCGTTGCACACTTTGTGTTTTTCAGCTTTCGACATGTCCACCCTGCGCGGCACATGATTCTCAGGGTGTTCCGGTGTTATCAATCCTGTACCCCTTGGTGGCCCCGTCTTCAGTACAGGGAGGCGGTGGCTTCCTCACCCCCACATTGCGGCGGAGGGTCGGATGGCACACGAATGGGGGTCCCCTTCTGAGGGGACAGTTGGCCAAACGCGCCCACGTCCCCTCAGGGTCCCCCACCGCGACAGCTTGGGGCAGCTCACCCAAGATTTCCGTCGACGCGTCGCCATCGATGACGTCACACCCCACGATCCTCATGGATCGCAAAGCATCCTTTATCATCCGCATGGCGCGCCGGAGCACCGCACCACTGTGACACGGGGCGCGCTCGGGGCGCCCGAGGAGGAGAGTAGCTACTCGGCGGCCGGCAGCCGAGGGCGGCGGCTAGCGGGCACCCAGAGTTGTTGGTTGCGGCCAAACCGCCGTCGACCCGGAGCCAAGTGCGGCCATGGAGAGGCAGGCGGACTACATGCCCGGGTCGTGGGCGCGGTGGATCCAGGCGTCCGCCGCCTCCGACCTGCACCTGCCGGATTTCACGCGGAGGGCAATGCCCTGGTATTTCGCCCTGGCCACGGTGGAGTACGTGATTTCGGAGTTCCGGAGGAAAAAGGTGTACTACCGGCGGCAGACCATGTCCAACCTCTTCACGGGCCTCATTGGCTTCGTCCTGACGGGTGAGCCTCGGGCTGGGCCTCCTCCCGCTGTCTCCGACGCGAAACGACACGCCGCCGATGGCGCGGGCGACATTGCCGCGCCATGCAGAGGCAGGCCCCGAAGCGTGCGGGGTCGCGCCCGTGTGGACGCCAGCCGTTTCGGCCTGTGCGCTCCGCGATTTGGCAGTCCAAGCCGCTTCTGACGAGGATGGCGCCACCGAGGTGGCCGTTCCGGCACAAGCTTGTGGCAGCAGATTCGCGCAAAGGCGGAAGCGAGCGCAGTCCCTCGTTTCCGGGGGAGATGAGCCCAGCGGTGTTTGCATCGATCCGCACACACGAAGCTGTTGGTGTTGGCGTGCAAGCCGTGGCATTTTGCCGCATGGCCTTATGCGCGGCCATGTGGAGCACGAGCGATGTTGTCGGCCGAAAACGATGGGCGTCGGGCAAATGCTTGCTCTTGATGGGGAGGGCTTGGGCTTGTTGTCGAAAGGACTTGACGGCGGCAGCTTGATAATACTCTTGGATTCGCTGGGCGTTGTCGGTCGGTGGGTTCTGCAAAATGATCTGCCAGGTCCATACCCCATTCCGAATTTGCAGCACTGAAACACCCTGTCTGTGAATGTGCATACCCATGCTCTAACTGCTGTTCGATAAACCCTTGACTGTTGTGTTGTGTGCGCACCAAGGGATCTTCATGAGGGGCCTCAACGTGTTCCCCTTTCTGGCGCTTTACCATTTCGTGGGCAGAAAAGTGTCTCCTTGGACGCCTGAGACCTTCAAGAACCCATGGGTAAACCTGGTGGCCTTCATTGGTTTCGACTTGGCCTACTATTGGTACCACAGGATTTCTCACCTGACGAACATTGGGTGGTAAGTGTAGCCCTACAATGCAATTTTGCACTCTCGGCCCGCTATTGTGAGGCTTCCTGTGCACATATTTTGTCCTACTGTCCATTGAAATTCGTGCAGGTGCAGCATTCACTGCGCGTATAGAAGATCAACCTTCTAAGAGCATTGAAAATTGCACCTTTGTCTCTGTGGACCTTTCTGTTGCATGCAGATGTGTGCACGAATATTTCCATCAGAAGAATCCTAGTTTGAGAATTAGAAATATCTGGACAACGGACTGAGTTTATGCATGAGCATAATATGGGTGGTACTGGCGATGGAGTACAGGCAATAGAACAATACACCCGGTTTCCACCTCAAGACATTAGATACATCAATAACATCAGAGCATAACATGCCTGTTTGGGCTCCACGTTGCAGGGCAGGCCATTACGTGCACCACCAGTCAAGGGATTTCAACATAATCACCGCTATGCGCCAGGGGATCACAGAGCCCATGGTAAGTAGTCGCTCACTCCTTGTGGTGGACCACACGCTCGAGTGGCAGTGCTTTGTGAATCCACTCGTTTTGCAGGAGCGTCTCCAGTGCAAAGTCCGTTAGCACCAATGTGTGCCATTCCGCAACTGCTGAGTTTATAAAGATAGAGTGGCTGTCCTACAGCTGAAATGCATCAAATGCACATGATGCTCAACAATTGAATGCATAGACTGCCAGCCTGGTGCTGAGTGCAATGTGTGTGCTGTGCAGATAACCTGCTGGTTTTACATGCCACTGGGGCTCCTCGTTCCCCCTGATGTCTACTTCTGGCACCGCACTGTCAACCTGGTCTTTCAGTTCTTCCTGCACACTCGTTTGATTCCCAAGCTTGGGCCGCTGGAGTGGTTCATGAATACACCATCGCACCATCGGGTCCACCATGCGAGGAACTATGGGCGTGCAAACTACGGAGGTGCGCATGAATGCGGCACCAAGAGCACGGCTGACCCACAATGCACCATTCACACAAAGGGTTGATGCAGTTGCATTGCACATACAGCACATAGCAGCTGGCGGAGGAACCTGTTTGAAAGTTGCGTCGCCTGGGCCAAAGCAGTGCCGAACTTGCATCTGTGAGCATGAAACATGGCGTGGAGAATTGAAACTCCTCCCTTTTTGGACACAAGGCACAATAAATTAGCAAAAAATCTGGTGGATGCGTCCAGGAAGATTTGTTCGTTGTACATGGCCCAGTGTGACACAATCGTCATGAACCCTGGAGTCTTATGGGTGGTAACAACGATTGCCACCAAATCAATGCACGGTTCGTTTTATGCCACAGAATGCTCATATTAATGTCACCATCAATTCAAAAGCACATATTAATATGGTCAAAGCAGTAACGCATAGGAATTGTGTGCAATAATGCCATAGGAATTGGATACTGAGCAGGCAATAGTTTTTCACCAGGGATCTTGATCATCTGGGACCGCATTTTTGGATCATTCGAGGCTGAGAGGGATGATCGGGAATGCGTCTACGGATTGGATACTTTGCGCATATCCATGGACACGTACAACCCCATGTGGCATCAGGGGCAGCATTGGATAGAGACTATGAAGTTGACATTCACAAGCAACCCTATCAGGGCGCTCTTCACGAGAGCTTTCTCAAAGAACATGGTATCCCCTCTGGTGACAGATGCGATGAAGGACAATCAAGGTATGGCTGGTGTGCTGTAGGTGGCGGCCGACTTTTGACTCCTTACGTTGCCTTGGTGTAGTCGATGTGTATCTCTTGTGCTCAGCAGGTATCCAGTCCCCCTTGCTTTCAACAGGCCTCTTTGTCTCACACACAGACACTTGTTCCCTTGACCTTGGATCCAAAAATGACCTTCCTTGGCGTTTCCTGTTTATAGGGAAGATCACCATCAAACCTAGCGAAGGCCCTATTGACCAGCGCCCCTTGTGCTGGATCGACATCTACGTTGCCATCCAGGCACTAGCTATTGGCGGGCCCTGCGCCCTGGCCATTGCAGCACATGCGCATGAGATGGAACCCCTCACACTCATCCTGGCAGTACTGAACTGTGGGGCGGCCTTCACAACGGGGGGCATGATGATGGATGAGACGCTGCGAGGCTTGCACGCTGAGTTCATCAGGTGAGTGCCCGAGGGCAACTATGGGATGGCGATGTGACATGATTGTGTGGAGAAGAAACTGAAACACACATAGCTTGAAGTCTCCCCATGTAACACAGTGCACATCAATGTTCCTGATTCATGTTCTGTGGTCGTCGACACCAATGGGCAGATTGCTGCTGAGTGCAACAATGTGATGCAAACATCAAAATTGCTTTGCGATGCTTTGCTATGACCCTTGTATGCTTCGATAACTGTGGGCGTGCTAAATCAAGTCAAAGCCATGAGAGATTGCATTGGAGGATGCGCGGAACTGATGGTTCAAAGCACGCTGATTTCCTAACGTGTTCATTGTTTCCCAGGCTGGCAGTGCTGCCCTTCTTCGCATTTGCGTATCTGCCCTTGATGTGGGCCCTGCGCACGGCTGCCTTTTGTGGTGTCTCAATCGTTGCGGCACACCTCGCCCATCACAATAACCACAAGTCTCTTCCGCTGTCCAACCTCCTCAAGAGGAGCGCAATGGAGATGGTGAAGAAGGCCGCATAGCGGGAACATGTACTTAAGTCACAACATGGACCGCAGGTCGAGTGTTAGTTATTGCAGTGTGGTCTGCTGTAGGCTGGATGATGAAGTATCCAGCTGAGCAGTTGCTAAAGTACGGGGAAGGTTGCATTCTTTGTGGCGTCAGTAAGGGTGCTGTTGCAGTTCCCTGGTGGCCAGCATTGTGAGTGCAGAGAACAGACGGACAGAGTTGCCGCGGTGTGCCGTAGTTAAGAAAATGGTGTTTCACGGGGTTGGGATTGATCCCGATGTCCTGACGCGAAATAAAAGCTGTTGCACGAGTGCGTGATCATTAGTCGGGTATGCGGGAATCGTTGGTACGAAGTTGTGTGGGAAAGAAACATGGGTGAATATAAGTGATGGCGGCCACAGGAACCTGATGGAAGCGCAGTCATCCAGCACCCATGGCAGTGGTCTTGTTTACGTCCCTTTGACAATGCTGGCGATGTAACAGGGGCCGCGAGTTTGGTGTAAGTTTGTGTTGGGTGGCTCGATTACAAGCTTAACGGTGTGCAGCGCTTACGTGAAACGGCCGGCTGCTCCCGCCCTTTGGGGCAATCAGCCGCACTCACACCGGAAGTCCCAATCAAATCCCATTAGTACAAATACACTGATGTACAAGGAGAGAAATCCGGATCTTGGGCATGACAGTTTTGCCTTTTCGGTCTGTGTGTCCCTATGCCAAGGCAAAGGAAACGACCCAGTGTTCATTATACCCTATGCAAAAACTGGGCCGTGGCGGGGGGGGGGGAGAGGAAATTCGGCAACAAAAGGTGGCGCTCACTGGGGCGCGTCCCCTTTTGGCTCCTCTGCCAGTGAGTCCAGAACCGGAACATAAAATCCAGGTCCAGGCTGGTTGTCCAGTCAGCACGGGGCGGCCCCGCTCTTGGTACTCAGGTGCCGAGTTCAAATTGTCCCATAGAATTAAGAGGAGCGCCGTCTCCCGTTCACATCCCAATCTGGCGCTTCCCACCCTGCGCCATTCTGGACGTAAACACTTTGACTACTGTTCGATGTGCCTGCAAAATGACCAGTTTCACAAGTCATCTTTGCATTTAAAGGATATCAAAGAAGAGTGCAAAAACGGGCTGACAACACGAATAGACTATTGAGTAAAGCGGAAAACAGAAAAGAAAGAAAGAAAGAAAAGGCAGCTCTGTTCCCCAAATATGGGGGAAACGCAGCACATTTTTTTCTAAATCACATCTAGTAGTTAGGGGTATGATGAGAGAGCCGGGGATGTGAAAAGAGACCCCATGCAGATGCCATGCCGCCCCGTTACCCGCCTGTGCGTCTTGGGGCATCCAGAACTTCTGAAGACTCCAACAAGCATGACCATCCGGACCATCCCCTCCGCGGGTGGCCGGCCATGCTCTCCGAATTTGTGAAGCCTACCAATGCAAAGATAACCCACTGGGAGGTCGTGTGGCCCGCTCCCATCGCAATCCACTGGGAAGGAAAGCCGAATTGCCGCCACTATATACTACTTTGGGTACAACGGTGAATGCAATGTCCTCTTAAGTACTGAAACACAACCAAGGGGGGGTGGGGAGTACTTCGTGACATGCCGCCGGTGCAGTGGGCGAGTGCGTGGCATACTACCTGCTACCATAAGTATTGAAGGACAGTAATTTGTAATAAATGGTAGTGAAAAGCATCCAAGGAAGCTGCAGTAAAGCTTCCCTTTCATCTCTTAACATCATGCTTATTTGTCTACCCATTTTTGTGAGCATGGTGCGTCACTACGCTAACACTGCTTACGTGAAATAGCCGGCTGCTCCATCCCTTTGGGGCAATTAGTCGCGCTCACACCGGAAGTCCCAATCAAATCCCATTAGTACAAATACACTAATGTACAAGGAGAGAAATCCGGAACTCGGGCATGATAGTTTTGCCTTCCAAATCAAAATGATCTTGGCCTTACTCAAACAAATGCCTAAGGAGGATTGCAGGCGCTTAGGGCCAGCACACATCCAACCGAAGAACTTGAAGTCTGAGGCAGTGGCACGGTGCGCCATGGTGATGTAGTGCTGAATCGTGTTGGACTTTAGACTCCATCCACCCCAATCAGCAATATTCAAAATGTCAACGCCTAGAGAGAATGCTAATGTGGCGCCACCTTTCTGCAATGAGTGATGAGTCAAGTCCGCCACGTCAATGCCATGAACGATAAATGCAGCTTGTTGGTCCCAGTGCTCCACCAACATCGAAGTGGGGGCATGGCCGTCCGCAGGCAGCACACAGAAAAAAGACTTCCAGGACCTGCAAGGGTGTCCTGCTGCCGCCCAGGCCACGTCCTGTGCACAGTGCCAGTTGGAAGCCAGCCCCGTGCAGTGAATTGGCGGTGGCGAAATTCGAGGTGAGACACTTGCTGGCCTTTTCTTCGGTGCCCCACAAATTCCAACGAGGTGTCCCGTACGAGGAAGCCACAATCATGCGCAGCGTAGGCTGAGTTTGCCCATGAGAAGAAGATGAAGCGCTAGATTGGGATGCGAATGGGAGACGGCGCTCCTCGTAATAATATGGGACAATTTGAGTTCGGCAACAAAAAAGATGGCGCTCATTGGCTTGTGCCCCCTCTTGGCTCCTCCGCCAGTGAGTCCAAAAACCGGAACACAAAATCCAGGTCCAGGCTGGTTGTCTAGTCAGCACTGCGCGCCCCCGTGCTTGGTACTCACTTGGCAAGGATTTCTGCCTTACCGGTCTCCTGAGCCCACCCCGTCATGTACCCCCATGACAATAATTACAAACAACCGTCAATCGTCACATTCCCGAGGTTCCCGTCCATTAAACTTGCCCATTCGCTTCGCTAGTACTTCAATGCCACTTCAGTGAGTGACTCCCATGAGTTAGCTCCCTTTCCCGTACTTCACTCCCTCAACTCCCTCACCATCCCACAACTAACCCGAACTCCACTATCCAGGGCGGGAGGGCTGGGTGCAAAACAAGATAAGGAGGGGGACCGAGGGGCTGCCTAAATAGCCGCCCTCCGCCGCCCCGCCAAAGCCCGCCAAACTCGAGGGCGCCCTCGCGGGCGGCACCTCGGAATACCGTACTTTGACTGACCCACGGTACTAGGGGTGGCCAGAAATCCCAAGGGACAGGGTTGAGTAAACCCCAGGTTCAAACTGCACCGTTTGAATCGCCGGTGCAGCCCACCCAACGTCGCCCTTGGCAGAAACCCATTAACAGGATAGTTAACTTCATTTCTGCCTTACCGGTCTTCTGAGCCCACCCCGTCATGTACCCCCATGACAATAATTATAAACAACCGTCAATCGTCACATTCCCGAGGCTCCCGTCCATTAAACTTGCCCAGTCACTCTAGGGAACGCGAGGCCCCTCCGGGGCAGAAGATGTGCCCAAATTGCTCATGCAGGTTGCGGGTAGTGATGTTCATCCAACCAAACAGCCAAAAATCCCACTCCGTGGGTAAACGGAAAATATCAATGTAGGACCACAGAGCGTCTGACTTCCACCCACCCCAATCCCGGATGCGCCGCTCCGCGACCTCCAAGGCGAAGCAGCTGGACGCGCCCCCACCGCGCAGGCCATGATGTGTGAAGGGCTCGTGGGCCAGGTCCGGAAAGTGCGCGAGCAGGGACGTAAACCAGGAGGCCACCATCTTGGACGAAGGGGTGGCGTCGCCGGGCAGGCTGTTACGCGCACCAGCCTGATGTGGGAGACGTCCTACTAATGGCCCTTGGTGTGGGGGACGCCCTGCCCAAGGCACGTACTATTCCTCACCCACTGTAACCTTTATCCATATTAGGAACTAGCTTTCGTGCAAAATGTCGGTAAGGGAGTCACGGAAAACAACAGAACATGCATCCTCTTCCCTTTTTGTGCACTCAGAAATGGTGATGTTGCGCACAAATTTCCTTGTTTTCTAACGGCCAATCTTGAGCACAACCGTTTTGCCCAAAAAACACATAATCGTGATGTTGTGTACAAGTGCAGCCTTTCGGACCT